GATTCAAGAGGCAAAAACCAAGAGAAATAAAAACAAATGCAAGAAATATGAAATGGTATGTACAATGGTTGGTGTTTGATACCTCAGTGCCCCCCAAAGATATGAGAGGCAAGATCGTGGTCAGGAGAGGGCAGGCGGCCGTCAGGGACGCTCCACTCGGCCGGGTTCACGTCGCTCGATCGAGCTTGCTCTTGGCTCGATCGAGTTGTGCCCCGAGTTGGTTGCCTTTCCTTCCCTAAAACTTGTTCCTGCAAGACTTAGCTGAGAAAAACGCAGAGATAAAAGATAAGAGAAATATGTACAAGATAGACATGGGAATTCCTCCCAAGTGAGCTTGTTTTAAGTCACATAGCTTGACCTTAAACCTTTTAGACCGGGGTTGGATCTTGAAGAGGAGTGATGATCTCCTCTGTGGGGGTCATTCCTAGGTAGGGCTTACATCTATGCCCATTTACTGTGAATTCTTTCCCTTCTTGGTTGAGCAGAGTGAGTGACCCGTAGGGTAGAACCTCATGTATCTTAAACGGCCCTGACCACTTTGACCTCAATTTCCCAGGAAACAACACCAATTTGGAGTTAAACAAGAGCACACTGTCCCCAACCTTGAAGTCTTTTAGGCGAATCAGTTTGTCGTGGGCTGCCTAGTTCTCATCTTGTAGATCATGGAGTTCTCATAGGCATTCATTCTGATTTCCTCCAACTCAAACAAGTTCATTACCCTCCTTTCTTGTGCTGCCTTTATGTCAAAGTTCAGCATTTTTACTGCCCATAAAGCCTTGTATTCGACCTCCACAGGCAAGTGGCAATCCTTCCCAAATAGCAAATTGAAAGGAGACCTTCCAATGGGGGTTTTGTAAGCTGTTCTATAAGCCCAAAGTGCTTCATCAAGTCTTGTTGACCAATCCTTTCTAGTGAAGCTCACAGTCTTCTCCAATATAGCTTTAATATGTCTGTTGGAGACCTCAACTTGCCCACTAGTTTGAGGGTGATAGGGCGTAGCAACCTTATGCTTGACTCTATAACTCTTCATCAACTTCTCAAACACCTTGTTGATGAAGTGGGAACCTCCATCCGAAATAACAACCCTTGGGATGCCATATCTTGGAAAGATGATGGTTCTGAACAGTTTGATAACAACCTTAGCATCACAGGCTGGGCAGGGGATGGCTTCAATCCATTTGGACACATAGTCTACGGCAACCAAAATGTAGTTGTGCCCGTTTGAGGAGGGTTTGAAAGGCCCCATGAAGTCTATTCCCCATACATCAAAGATCTCAACTTCTAGAATTGGGTTCAGTGGCATTTCATCCCTCTTGGTGATCCCTCCTTTCCTTTGGCATGCATCACACTTGGCGATGTAACTTGCTGCATCCTTGAACAGAGTAGGCCACCATAAACCAGATTGCAGAACCTTAGTAGCGGTTTTGAATGTGGCAAAGTGCCCTCCATAAGCAGACCCATGGCATTGCTCAAGAACTCCTTGTACATCTTCTTCAGCTATGCATCTCCTGTAAATGCTATCTGGTCCTCTCTTGTACAAGTAAGGTTCATCCCAATAGTAGTGCCTAGCATCCTTGAAGAACTTCTTCCTCTTGTAAGCATCGAAATTACTAGGGAATTCTCTAGATACCATGAAGTTCACTATATCAGCATACCATGGCAAATTCTCATCACGCAGAGCCTTAACTTCCTCCAGCCTGACTTTCTCATCAAAATTCTCTTTCAAGATCTTGATTGCCATAAGCTCTTCTTCAGGCATAGAATCATTGATGTGGACTATGTCTTCAACTCGCATCCTAGTGAAAGATTCAAGAGGGCAAAACCAAGAAAAAAAAACAAATGCAAGAAAATATGAAATGGTATATACAAGGGTTGGTGTTTGGATACCTCAGTGCCCCCCAAAGAACTGGGAGACTAGGTCGTGGTCTGGAGATGGGAGACGGCCATCAGGAGCACTCCACTCGCAACTGGGGTTGCCTCGCTCACTCGATCGAGCTTGCTCTTGGCTCGATCGAGTTGTGCCCGAGTTGGTTGCCCTTTCCTTCCCTAAAACCTGCTCCTGCAAGACTTAGCGAGAAAAATCATAAAAATAAAGAGAAATATGTACAAGATAGACATGGGAATTCCTCCCAAGTGAGCTTGTTTTAGGTCTCTTAGCTTGACCTTACCCCTTTTAGGCCGGGGTTGGATCTTGAAGAGGAGTGATGATCTCCTCTGTGGGGGTCATTCCTAGATAGGGCTTGCATCTATGCCCATTTCACTGTGAATTCTTTCCCCTCTTGTTGAGCAGAGTGAGGGACCCGTAGGGTAGAACTTCATGTATCTTGAATGGCCCTGACCACTTTGACCTCAACTTCCCGGGAAACAAACCTTTTGGAGTTAACAAGAGCACACTGTCCCCAACCTTGAAGTCTTTTAGGCGAATCAGTTTGTCATGGGCTGCCTTGGTTCTCATCTTGTAGATCATGGAGTTCTCATAGGCATTCATTCTGATTTCCTCCAACTCAAACAAGTTCATTACCCTCCTTTCTTGTGCTGCCTTTATGTCAAAGTTCAGCATCTTTACTGCCCATAAAGCCTTGTATTCGACCTCCACAGGTAAGTGGCAATCCTTCCCATAGCAAATTGAAAGGAGACCTTCCAATGGGGGTTTTGTAAGCTGTTCTATAAGCCCAAAGTGCTTCATCAAGTCTTGTTGACCAATCCTTTCCTAGTGAAGCTCACAGTCTTCTCCAATATGGCCTTTATCTGTCTGTTGGAGACCTCAACTTGCCCACTGGTTTGAGGGTGATAAGGCGTAGCGACCTTGTGCTTGACTCCATAACTCTTCATCAACTTCTCAAACACCTTGTTGATGAAATGGGAACCTCCATCGAAATAACAACCCTTGGGATGCCATATCTTGGAAAGATGATGGTTCTGAACAGTTTGATAACAACCTTAGCATCACAGGCTGGGCAGGGGATGGCTTCAATCCATTTGGACACATAGTCCACGCAACCAAAATGTAGTTGTGCCCGTTTGAGGAGGGTTTGAAAGGCCCCATGAAGTCTATTCCCCATACATCAAAGATCTCAACTTCTAGAATTGGGTTCAGTGGCATTTCATCCCTCTTGGTGATCCCTCCTTTCCTTTGGCATGCATCACACTTGGCGATGTAACTTGCTGCATCCTTGAACAGAGTAGGCCACCATAAACCAGATTGCAGAACCTTAGTAGCGGTTTTGAATGTGGCAAAGTGCCCTCCATAAGCAGACCCATGGCATTGCTCAAGAACTCCTTGTACATCTTCTTCAGCTATGCATCTCCTGTAAATGCTATCTGGTCCTCTCTTGTACAAGTAAGGTTCATCCCAATAGTAGTGCCTAGCATCCTTGAAGAACTTCTTCCTCTTGTAAGCATCGAAATTACTAGGGAATTCTCTAGATACCATGAAGTTCACTATATCAGCATACCATGGCAAATTCTCATCACGCAGAGCCTTAACTTCCTCCAGCCTGACTTTCTCATCAAAATTCTCTTTCAAGATCTTGATTGCCATAAGCTCTTCTTCAGGCATAGAATCATTGATGTGGACTATGTCTTCAACTCGCATCCTAGTGAAAGATTCAAGAGGCAAAAACCAAGAGAAATAAAAACAAATGCAAGAAATATGAAATGGTATGTACAATGGTTGGTGTTTGATACCTCAGTGCCCCCCAAAGATATGAGAGGCAAGATCGTGGTCAGGAGAGGGCAGGCGGCCGTCAGGGACGCTCCACTCGGCCGGGTTCACATCGCTCGATCGAGCTTGCTCTTGGCTCGATCGAGTTGTGCCCCGAGTTGGTTGCCTTTCCTTCCCTAAAACTTGTTCCTGCAAGACTTAGCTGAGAAAAACGCAGAGATAAAAGATAAGAGAAATATGTACAAGATAGACATGGGAATTCCTCCCAAGTGAGCTTGTTTTAAGTCACATAGCTTGACCTTAAACCTTTTAGACCGGGGTTGGATCTTGAAGAGGAGTGATGATCTCCTCTGTGGGGGTCATTCCTAGGTAGGGCTTACATCTATGCCCATTTACTGTGAATTCTTTCCCTTCTTGGTTGAGCAGAGTGAGTGACCCGTAGGGTAGAACCTCATGTATCTTAAACGGCCCTGACCACTTTGACCTCAATTTCCCAGGAAACAACACCAATTTGGAGTTAAACAAGAGCACACTGTCCCCAACCTTGAAGTCTTTTAGGCGAATCAGTTTGTCGTGGGCTGCCTAGTTCTCATCTTGTAGATCATGGAGTTCTCATAGGCATTCATTCTGATTTCCTCCAACTCAAACAAGTTCATTACCCTCCTTTCTTGTGCTGCCTTTATGTCAAAGTTCAGCATTTTTACTGCCCATAAAGCCTTGTATTCGACCTCCACAGGCAAGTGGCAATCCTTCCCAAATAGCAAATTGAAAGGAGACCTTCCAATGGGGGTTTTGTAAGCTGTTCTATAAGCCCAAAGTGCTTCATCAAGTCTTGTTGACCAATCCTTTCTAGTGAAGCTCACAGTCTTCTCCAATATAGCTTTAATATGTCTGTTGGAGACCTCAACTTGCCCACTAGTTTGAGGGTGATAGGGCGTAGCAACCTTATGCTTGACTCTATAACTCGTCATCAACTTCTCAAACACCTTGTTGATGAAGTGGGAACCTCCATCCGAAATAACAACCCTTGGGATGCCATATCTTGGAAAGATGATGGTTCTGAACAGTTTGATAACAACCTTAGCATCACAGGCTGGGCAGGGGATGGCTTCAATCCATTTGGACACATAGTCTACGGCAACCAAAATGTAGTTGTGCCCGTTTGAGGAGGGTTTGAAAGGCCCCATGAAGTCTATTCCCCATACATCAAAGATCTCAACTTCTAGAATTGGGTTCAGTGGCATTTCATCCCTCTTGGTGATCCCTCCTTTCCTTTGGCATGCATCACACTTGGCGATGTAACTTGCTGCATCCTTGAACAGAGTAGGCCACCATAAACCAGATTGCAGAACCTTAGTAGCGGTTTTGAATGTGGCAAAGTGCCCTCCATAAGCAGACCCATGGCATTGCTCAAGAACTCCTTGTACATCTTCTTCAGCTATGCATCTCCTGTAAATGCTATCTGGTCCTCTCTTGTACAAGTAAGGTTCATCCCAATAGTAGTGCCTAGCATCCTTGAAGAACTTCTTCCTCTTGTAAGCATCGAAATTACTAGGGAATTCTCTAGATACCATGAAGTTCACTATATCAGCATACCATGGCAAATTCTCATCACGCAGAGCCTTAACTTCCTCCAGCCTGACTTTCTCATCAAAATTCTCTTTCAAGATCTTGATTGCCATAAGCTCTTCTTCAGGCATAGAATCATTGATGTGGACTATGTCTTCAACTCGCATCCTAGTGAAAGATTCAAGAGGCAAAAACCAAGAGAAATAAAAACAAATGCAAGAAATATGAAATGGTATGTACAATGGTTGGTGTTTGATACCTCAGTGCCCCCCAAAGATACTGAGAGGCAAGTCGTGGTCAGGAGAGGGCAGGCGGCCGTCAGGGACGCTCCACTCGGCCAGGTTCACATCGCTCGATCGAGCTTGCTCTTGGCTCGATCGAGTTGTGCCCCGAGTTGGTTGCCTTTCCTTCCCTAAAACTTGTTCCTGCAAGACTTAGCTGAGAAAAACGCAGAGATAAAAGATAAGAGAAATATGTACAAGATAGACATGGGAATTCCTCCCAAGTGAGCTTGTTTTAAGTCACATAGCTTGACCTTAAACCTTTTAGACCGGGGTTGGATCTTGAAGAGGAGTGATGATCTCCTCTGTGGGGGTCATTCCTAGGTAGGGCTTACATCTATGCCCATTTACTGTGAATTCTTTCCCTTCTTGGTTGAGCAGAGTGAGTGACCCGTAGGGTAGAACCTCATGTATCTTAAACGGCCCTGACCACTTTGACCTCAATTTCCCAGGAAACAACACCAATTTGGAGTTAAACAAGAGCACACTGTCCCCAACCTTGAAGTCTTTTAGGCGAATCAGTTTGTCGTGGGCTGCCTAGTTCTCATCTTGTAGATCATGGAGTTCTCATAGGCATTCATTCTGATTTCCTCCAACTCAAACAAGTTCATTACCCTCCTTTCTTGTGCTGCCTTTATGTCAAAGTTCAGCATCTTTACTGCCCATAAAGCCTTGTATTCGACCTCCACAGGCAAGTGGCAATCCTTCCCAAATAGCAAATTGAAAGGAGACCTTCCAATGGGGGTTTTGTAAGCTGTTCTATAAGCCCAAAGTGCTTCATCAAGTCTTGTTGACCAATCCTTTCTAGTGAAGCTCACAGTCTTCTCCAATATAGCCTTTAATCTGTCTGTTGGAGACCTCAACTTGCCCACTAGTTTGAGGGTGATAGGGCGTAGCAACCTTATGCTTGACTCTATAACTCTTCATCAACTTCTCAAACACCTTGTTGATGAAATGGGAACCTCCATCCGAAATAACAACCCTTGGGATGCCATATCTTGGAAAGATGATGGTTCTGAACAGTTTGATAACAACCTTAGCATCACAGGCTGGGCAGGGGATGGCTTCAATCCATTTGGACACATAGTCTACGGCAACCAAAATGTAGTTGTGCCCGTTTGAGGAGGGTTTGAAAGGTCCCATGAAGTCTATTCCCCATACATCAAAGATCTCAACTTCTAGAATTGGGTTCAGTGGCATTTCATCCCTCTTGGTGATCCCTCCTTTCCTTTGGCATGATCACACTTGGCGATGTAACTTGCTGCATCCTTGAACAGAGTAGGCCACCATAAACCAGATTGCAGAACCTTAGTTGCGGTTTTGAATGTGGCAAAGTGCCCTCCATAAGCAGACCCATGGCATTGCTCAAGAACTCCTTGTACATCTTCTTCAGCTATGCATCTCCTGTAAATGCTATCTGGTCCTCTCTTGTACAAGTAAGGTTCATCCCAATAGTAGTGCCTAGCATCCTTGAAGAACTTCTTCCTCTTGTAAGCATCGAAATACTAGGGACTTCTCTAGACACCATGAAGTTCACTATATCAGCATACCATGGCAAATTCTCATCACGCAGAGCCTTAACTTCCTCCAGCCTGACTTTCTCATCAAAATTCTCTTTCAAGATCTGATTGCCATAAGCTGTTCTTCAGGCATAGAATCATTGATGGGACTATGTCTTCAACTCGCATCCTAGTGAAAGATTCAAGAGGCAAAAACCAAGAGAAATAAAAACAAATGCAAGAAATATGAAATGGTATGTACAATGGTTGGTGTTTGATACCTCAGTGCCCCCCAAAGATATGAGAGGCAAGGTCGTGGTCAGGAGAGGGCAGGCGGCCGTCAGGGACGCTCCACTCGGCCGGGTTCACATCGCTCGATCGAGCTTGCGGATCCGCCTCTTCTTCTTCTTCTTCTTCTTCATTGAAGTGTGTGTGGCTTCCTTGGCCTTGGTGGAGCTGTGCGCGCTCGAAACGGTTGTAGGGTGTCCAGTGGCTCTGAGGGAAGTCTTGGTAGGGCGCTGTACTCGAATCAGGGTTCTCAAACAGAGGCTCCTCCAGGTCAACTCGACCCTGAGCTCGGTCGAGCTCATTGATCGAGTTGGAGCGTCGCTCTGGAACTCTTCCTCCGCCTCTGCGTGTTGTTTCCTCCTTCCCTAGTCTCGATGAATAGGCTCTGTGAGGTTTTTGGGCAGGGAGTCTCCTTGGGGTGGTGAGGAGTGATCTACTCTAGGGAAAGTAGGGGCCATGGTTGCCTTCTTCTTCTTGGATGAAGAACCAGAGACCTTCTTCTCCAAACTCTTGATCTTGCTCACCATCTTGTCCATGGACTTTTGCATCTTGTCCATGGCTTTCCCTTGCCACTTGTTGAACCTTTGGAGAAGTCCAATCCTCTTGTGGGCAGCCACAACAGAGGGGTTCATCCTTGGAGCCTCATACTCCTCAAAATAATAGCACTCAGGCTCACCCAAATCCGCATTCACTTGAGCGTGGTCCTCAACTCGATCCTCAGCTCGATCGAGTTCAGGCTCCTCTTCTCGCAACTCCTGTTCATGCCCAACTAATGTGTGAAGTGGGGGCTGAAGTCAATGTTGTACCTCTACTACCTTGGTGAGCTCAGGGTTGGGCAGAAGAAGCTTGGAAGGGCCAGCCAATGGATGTGTGAATTTGAATTGGAACCTCCCATCCAACTCCTTGTGTTCAATGAGGAGGTTGGTCTTGCAAAACTTAATGTCCATCCATCCTGCTGGAGTAGACCTTCTCTTGTCCAAATGGACTCCAGCTGCACAGAGGATTGGCGTGATGACTCCTCCAACACTAAGCTTCCTTCCCGTTTGAAACCGAGTGCTATAGCGGTTGTCTTGTAGGAGAGTAGCTGGTCAATGAGAGGCATGAGATTCCCTGCATGGATTCTATCTCCTCTGATTTTCTTCCCATCCTTGGTGCGTGAGATGATGGGCTTGATTCCCATGTCAAGGAGCTTCACCTCCTTCATTTATTGTCCAGTGGCTTTCCTTGCAAAGAAGGTGTTGGCGAGAGCCTTGTGGACATATCTAGCACAGGGCTCCTGATCTGAGCAGCCTTGACCTTGAAGAAGAGAATCCTCTCAGCATTGTAGCCCATACTCTTTGTAGCTCATCCTCCTTGATATCCCAATGGGTTCCCTCCCCATAAGTGAAACCGAATAGGATCTCCAACTGCCTGAAGGTAATCACCTTCCTTTCTCCCCTTGCCAAGAACGTGATCCATCCCCAAGCCTTGATCCAACTCAGCTCGATCGAGCTGCCTATACTTGTGGAACCTCATCGACGCCAAAAACTCACAAGTGAGCTCCTTGTATGACTCCAAGCGATAGGAGAAGAACTTGGCCAAGCGCATGTTCTTGAGGACTAGCTCCACATCCTCAAAGATCCCAAGAGCCCTCATTGTGTCATCATGTGGGTACTTGGTCTCCACAAAGTCCATGGAGAAGAGAGCATCATAGTGCTCTTGGTACATGGGGAGCTCATCCTCTTCTTCCTCTGACTCCTCCTCTTCCATGGGCACATTCTCATTGCTCTCATGCTCACTTCCTCAACTTCTTGATTGACCTCTTCTCCTTCCTCTTGTGAAGAGTCATCACTTCTCCCCTTCCAATGTTCACCCAATCTCAAATTCTCCCAATTCACTCTCACTGCTGATTGGGTCATTCCTCCTCTTGGTCCTTCTCTCTTCCCTCAACCTCTCAATCTCTTCCTCATCTTCCTTGGTTAGTGTCTTAAGCATTCTCCTTGCTCCTCTCGTTATCTCCTTCTTTGTGAACGCTGCCTTGCTTCCTTCACCTCTCAACATCTTAAACTGGTTGCTTCTTAAAGTTGGGTTCCTGAAATGCATCAAAAACTCAAGGAATTAGAGTTGTAATCGTTGGTTCGGCCAACTCGACACTCAGCTCGATCGAGTCAAAAAACTCGAGTGACAAACTCGATTGAGTAAGTGAAAACAGAGTAACCGAACCTATATCAAACAATAAGAGCTGGAAAGGATGCTTAATAATCAAATCGAACCAAGAACATCAAGAATTGGAACAATAAGCAATTCTAGTGAAAACCAAAGCATCTTAACCAATACCAAACTCAAATTCAAAGGATTCAAGCACATGCAACAAGTTTAAGTCAAAACAGAGGTGAGGTGAGGCAAATTCACAAGATATATAATAGGAGGCAAAAGAAAGCAATATCAAGAACAAGTCCACAAGGGACACATGCAATCAAAAATCAAAGAGAAAACAAGCAATGGAGAGGAATCGAGATGAAGGATTCAAGGGTTTTAGGGTTCATACCTTGCTTGAATGATGGAAGAATCACAGTAGCTAGAACTAAAGCAAAACAAGATGATGAACAATGAAAATCGCAAAAACTTAAGAGAGAAAGAGAGAATTCGATTTTTCTTGTGGTGAAGAGAGAGAGATGATTTCAGAAAATTTAGAGTGTGGGAGAGAGAGAAGTGGGTTCGATCGAGTTATGGGGAAGAGGGAGTGTTTGAGATGTGTGGTTGAGATTAAAAGGTGAAATAAAGAGGGGACAAAAGGCAAGGGTTTTCTGATCGATTTCAGGAAGTGGGGGACCAAAATTAACTTGTGGGACCCACTCCCTTGACCAAGGAAACGGTTAAATTTGAATTTTGAAAACTTACCTTGGTCGAGTTGTGGAACTCGATCGAGTTGCCCTTGTTTCTAGCTCGATCGAGCTGTCGGTCGAGCTGGCTTCTTTGTCACCTAAACTTAACTTATTGAAAGGTTAAAGACACAAAATAGATAGAAATTGCATAATAGAATATGTACAAGGATAAACATGGGACTTCCTCCCAAGTGAGCTTGTTTAAGGTCCCATAGCTTGACCTTTACCTCTTAGGCATTGGTTGAGCTAGTCCCACCATCAAGGGTGATAGTGAGGACTTGAGACAGAAGCTCCTTTAGCTTGGTTGGGTCCCTGGACTGTTCTGAAGTCACCAAGGCTTTGGCTCTAGAGAATGGCCTTGATCTCCCCTTGTACCTTATCTTGTACTCAATCTTCCCATTTTCAAACTTGGTGGGGAACAAGGTCATTGTGAGCTGAGATGGCTTGATGAAGGGGCCTGAGCTGGTGGATCCTTTCTTTTATCCTGGTCTTGCCTTAGAGGCTACATCCTCCCCTTCTTTTAGAGCCCTTCCTAGTGGCTCATCAAACAAAGCTTGAAGGCTCTCTTCATCAAGCACACAAGGGGCTTGAACAAGTCTATCAGCTCGTGGCCTATCAGACGTGGTTTCTCAACTCTAGCCCTCTCAAGACGTGGCTTCTCAATCCTTGGTCCTCTATCAACCTTATCCTTCCCAACTCTTGGTTCTTTGTCAACCCTTTCCTTCACAACCTTTGTAGCTTCATGAGTCTTAGAACTGAGAGTGGTACTGTCAATTGTGGCACAAAAGTCTGAACCTCTAGGCTGCAAGCGATATGACACCAAACTATTCACCTTGTGAAGGATCACTTCTTGCTTGTGAAAGTCTATTGAAGCGCCAACTGTACTAAGGAATGGGGTTCCCAATAACAGAGGTAGATCCTTCTCTTCTTCCATCTCCATCACAGTAAGATCAGTTTGGATGATGCATTCTCCAATTTTCAAGTGATAGTTCTTGAACACTCCAAGAGGAGACTTAGAAGTTGCATCTCCAAACATGATTGAAGTAGTAGGGCGCTGCAAGGCTCCAGCAATGCCTAGCTTCTCTGCCATGGAGAGAGAGATCAGATTGATGCTTGCTCCAGAATCCACTAAGGCATTGTCAAGCTCAAGATGCCCAAGTGTGCAAGGGAGAGTGAATTTCCCTTGATCCTTGACCTTTGGTAGGAAAGTGGGTGAAGTAAGCAGGTTGAACTGATGAGTAGACTCTTCAGGACCTCTCAACTGTTGGCCATAACATCCTTGACCATTTGCATTTGATCAAATGCCTCACTCATGCTATCCATAGGAGGCAACTCAATTCCAATCCCACTGAGATCTCTTCTGAACTTGTGAATCACTTCCTTGTGCCTTGACTAAGTAGGCGAGACGAGGAAGTGTCAACCGGTTGGTAAGGATCAAGCAAAATCGGCTTTGGGACAGATGAGGTCGGACTCGATCGAGCTAGAGTTGACTCGATCGAGCTGCCGATCGAGCTTGTTGTGCGAGCTCAACTGGTGAAGTGTGAAGGCCACAGTAGGTGCCTGCACTTCTGGTTGATCAATCTGGACTCCAGGAGCCTCAGCAGCAACAATCTCATCATCATTCAGCAGTAAACAAAAATCTTCAATGACTCTCTCTTGATCCTCTTCTTCAACAAGTCCTTCTTGAGTGAAGATGACCTTGCACTGTTCCTTGGGGTTCTGAATAGCTTTACCAGGTAGTTGTCCTTGCTTTGTAGCAGCAGCAACAGAAGAAGCATGATTCTCCAGAGAGTAAACCTTGTGTTGAGATTCTCGATCTTGGAGTTTATTTCAGCTAGCTTCTTGCTTGTGTCCACTACACCATCAGCTTGCCCTTGAAGTAGTTGTTTCAGCATTGCCTTGAGCTCATTCTCTTGTGTAGGTGCAGGCTGGGGTGGTTGGTGGGGAAAGCCAGGTGGTATTCATTTGTTGTCCAGGAAAGTCCCTTGGGGTCCTTGGTAATTGTTCTTTTGACCATACCCATGTTGTGGGGCTTGACTCGATCGAGCTGCTTGTTGTTGAGGATAGACCTGGTCCTGAGGGTTAGCAACATCAGTGTTTCGGTATGACATGGCTGGGTTGGACTTGTAATTATAGTATCCTTTGTTGTAACCTCCTTGCCCATTGCTCATGTAGCACACTCAGCAAATTGTGTATCCTCCCCTTCTTGGACTGGTTCCATCTCTTCAGCAGACACAAAGTTGACTTTCTTCATTGTGGACTGAGCTAGATCAGCTTATCCAACTTCTCATTCAATGCCTTAACATCTTTTCTCAATTTTCGTCTGACTCGATCGAGTGGTGGGTCGAGCTCCGGTTGGTGCGATCATACTCTTCTCCATAGCTTCCATTGGAGTTGCTATGTTCTCCACAAGCTGCCAGCCATCATCTACATCCTGGTTGAGGAAGTTCCCATTGCTAGCTGTGTCTAGCATCTCCCTATACCTTGCAAGCATCCTCTATAAAGAGTGGAGAGTAGTGATTCATTGTTGAATCCATGGTGTGGGCACTGACTTGTGTAGCCTTTGAACCTCTCCCAAGCCTCAGCGAATGTCTCATTGTTTCGCTGGATGAAGCTGATATCTCCTCCTAAGCTTGGCTGTGCGACCGGTGGAGAAAAACTTAGCAAGAAAGGCCTTCTTGCATTCATCCCAAGTGGTGATTGTGCCATGGGGCAAGCTCTTCTCCCATTGGTGAGCTTTGTCAGCTAGAGACATAGGAAAGAGTCTCAGCTTGATGGCATCTTCAGAGACACCATTGATCTTTGTCAAATCACAAAGCCTATCAAACTCATCAAGGTGGTCAATGGGGTCTTCACTTGGCAATCCATGGAACATCTTGTTCTGACAAGGTTGATCATTCCCAGCTTGATCTCAAAGTTGTGGTTCTGCACTGGTGGTGGAACAATCCCTTGTCTCTGTTGGTGGCGGTTTGGAGCATCTCCTAGACCAATCGGTCGAGTTTGCCTAGCTCGACCGAGTCCATTGCCCAAAGGGTTTCCATTCCCCTCTGGTACATCCATTGTATCAGCAACAAGCACCTCAGGTTCCTCTTGTACCCTCTGACCTCTCTTTCTACCCGTTGTAAGTCTAGCTCGACCAAGTCTTCTGTAGACCGACTCGATCGAGTTCGCATACACCTGCAAAAAGAGACAAAAACCCAGCAGTACAATAGAACAGGGGTGGTATAGCTTGATCGTCCAAGTGTATTTGAAACTCAAATGCAACAAAAATAACCCAAATCGGCAACGGCGCCAAATTGATGATAGGATTTGTGTGTGGTGTGAAAGATATGAAATGAGATGTGGTGGAATGCAACAGTGGTATATGATGAGGTGGTAAGATGCAAACACAAACACAGTCAACAATTCCCTTTAACCATCATAGTTATAGTAAAGGGTTATCAATCCAAAATGGGGAAGTTGTCACTCTATGAGAATATGAAATAACAAGGAAGTCAAGCAAGCAGTAAATGATATGGGGTAACACTAACAACCTAAATGAAACAGTAATGAAATGCAGTAAGTAAATAAAGCAGTAGAGCAACAGCTCGACCAAGGACTCGAGTCGAGTGGGAACAGAGTACCGAGCTCGATCGAGTTTAGGGTCGAGTTGAAGTAAAAAGCATAAAGGCAGCGACTTTAACAAGCTAATGCGAGAATTAGGGTCTAAGACAGGGTTTACAATCAAGGAAGCTATACTTAATCAATCTTGCTCTTAAACAACTTGTATCAAGGTATCTCTTGATATTGAGCTTCTCAATGCCTAGCTAACCCTTTCCCAAGGTGAAAGCTATCAACCAAGATGATCTCAGAAACAGGGGGTTAGCCAGTGAGAATCAAGCCTTGGAGGCCATAGGATCATTGCTCAAACTAATCCATCCAACCCCTATGAACTCCATTTCGAGAGCAAGAGTTATTGGAGCTCTTAGTGGACCTTTTCCAAGCGATTTCCATCACTTCCATGTGGAGAATCGCCTAATGGACATACAAGCCAGGGGTAGTGGTCATGTAGCCTTAAGTTTCCAAAAGAGAGAGATTTCTAGATTAAGAACATAAGCAAGAAGGATTAAGCATAAAATCCCCTAATCTATCCCATCTCAAACCCTAATGGGTAACTACTCACTACACATGAATGTAAACACAAGCAAATGCAATGAAATAAACATCAAATGAAAGAGGAGATAAAGATAAACAACTTTTATTGAAATAAGCAAGTGCAAATACAAAAGAGATTATCCAGGATCTAGGATTCAAGAAGCAAGAGCTTCAAGAACACAAAGATGGGATTAGAGCTCTAAAAAGTAAAAGACAATAAATTAAAAGAAAGCTAAAACAAAAGTAATCTAAAGCTTGGTGGTTTTTTCGTGGCTTAGAGCCTTTAAATACAAGAGGATTAGGTTTAGGGTCAAAGGAAAGTCAAGGGGGAAGCAACATTTTTCGGGTTTGACTGTTGACTTCTCAGCTCGATCGAGTTGAAGCTTGGCCGGTCGAGTTGAGGAACTCGACCGGTTGGTCGAGTGGTGGTCGAGCTGGTCTTCAAGATGGCTTCCTCCTTCTTCCTTTGCGTATCCAGTTGAGCTGCGTCCATGCACCAAGTCCTTCCATGCTCCTCACGTCCCATATGCTCCAGAATGCTCCAAAAGACCTATTTCAAAGGACCAAACATGCATATGTATGCAAATGCAACCTAAAACTACTATGAATGCATAAGAAGAGAAAAGGAACAAGATATGATGCTAATGGATGCTAAAACTATGCAAAAGATGCATAAAAGATGTACTAAAACTATGTAAAATGCAAGTACATCAATATCCTTGTGCATCAACTTCTCGGAGTGGGTCATAGACGTTGTCGACTGTAACGGTCTAAAATGGTACATGTAGGTAGACGAAAGATACCCTTATTTAGATTAAAGAAAGACAATACAATTTTAAATTTTATCAAATTATATTTTGGGTAGTGTTTTTAAAACCGGACCAAAAGATAAACCGGATAGACCTATAGGTCATGGATCAATCCGGTCCAACCGGTTCAAACCGGGTTCACTATATATTATATATTTAGTACATATATGGCATTATATCTTTAAGTATATATTATGTTTAATATGATTTGCTACTCTTACGATTTGTTTATTAAGATTATTGTACTTTAAAGTAAATATAAATCATGTTGTCACCGAAAAACCTACTTTTTTCCCAAAAGTAGCCGCCGCCTATGTCATAGTCTCGTGACTCTTCTCAGTCTTCTTCCTCTTTCTTCTCCTTCCTTTCATTTTTCTCATGATTTAAATTTCAGTTCAACCTTTCTTCCGTTTCTTTTTGTTTCTTCTTTACATATACAATTCTACAGTTTTTGTTTTTCTACATCTGAGACAGATCGATAAAAATCAACAAAAGGATAATTCAATTGTGAATAACAAAATTGTGAAAAATTCAACAGTTTAAAACACCGGATTTTTTTGGGTCACCGGTTTTAGCCGGTTTTTTTGGATTTTCTTAATACCTGTTTCAGCAATAAACCTACCTGGGTAACATTCTGTTTTACGGTTAAATCGGTTCAACCGACCGGTCCGGTTCGGTTTTAAAAACACTGGTTTTAGACAATAAAATAGGATTTTACGATTTAGCAGTAAATTAGAGTTTTACTTTTTACGGTTTTGACAAAAAAACATTGATTTTGCGGTTTTGACGGAAAACATTATTTTGCGGTTTGGAGAGAAAAATGTGATTTTGCGGTTTTGACGGAAAAAAGTGCTTTTGCGGTTTTGACGGAAAAACACGATTTTGTGGTTTCAGCAGAAAAATATGAATTTACGATTTAAGCAGAAAACTGTGATTTTGCGGTTTTGAATGGAAAACGTAATTTCACTGTTTCGTGGAACTTTTGTGACTTTGCTGTTTAAGAAACACCACGATTTGTGATTTCGGCAAAAAAACGAGATTTTCAGTTTAAACGGAAAACACGATTTCGCGGTTTCCACAAAAATACATGATTTTACGGCTTAAGCGGAAAACTATGGTTTTGCGGGAAAAACGCGATTTCTAGGTTTCAGTAGAAATTTCACGGTTTTGCAGTTTAAGGGGAAAACCGCAATTTTGTGGTTTCGCCAGAAAAACGCAATTTCTATGTTTTGGCGGAAAACTGTGATTTCTAGGTTTTGGAGGAAAACTGTTGTGGGTTCGGAAAACCACTCTCAAAATTTATGTGTATTTTGTAGGGAGAAATTGCATGTGGAATCAGAGGTTAGATTCTAATGTAAGTCGAATGATTCGTAGAAAAATATTTGACGAAATCGGACTTAGGCTAATTGAATAAAGTGGTTACAAAACCGGCCTAAAAGACTATGTAAACACAAGGATTCGACTAAGCAAAAGAGATGGAAATAAGGTGGTGGTTGCGCTCGTTAACGAGCTGCCTACGTACCCTGTTTTAGGGATCAAGCCAGAACGTAGTTCGATTGTAAGTTGTTCTCTATTTCGAGTCGTTTTCTGAAGAGAAATTACCACAAAAAGAGCTAAAGGGGTGTGAAGATGACGATAAATCTCAGGTTATCGGAGTGATCCGAAGGTCAGAGATTACGTCAAACTTCTACCGGAAGATTCCCGGCTAGAAAGATCAGGACTTTCTGGGATTATCTCGAAGATCAAGGATAAGATCGAAGAGAAAAGATATGAGAATATCTCAGGACGAAGAAGAAGAACTTCACTCTGTTTCAGCTGTGAAAAGATGATGAGAAGAACTTTAGTAGTGATTTTTGATCAAAGGAAATCTTGTCCCGAAAAGACTTGTGATTAAGGAATTATCTGGCTTGTGATCAAGAATCGTCCTCTTTTTATAGCACCGAAGTAGATCGCAACCTCCTCCGCGTATCTCGTTCACGTGCAACTACCGATCCCGCTATTTTCGGATCTGAACAGTCGAACCGAGATTCTCGTTTGACTCGTTCAAACTCAGCTTGTGGACTTGACTCCGTCGAGCTAGAGCTCGACTTCATCTTCACAAGTAGCTCGGACAGTAAACAGCTGGATTTGGACAAGGATACTTGGTGGGCTCGAGGTCGCTTTACTGGGCCTGAGTGGACTTATCTTGATCTTAGGACTTAGATGATGGGCCTTATAGGCCGGATTTCTGGAGGGAAATCCAGGTCCAACAATAGCCCCCCAGCTCATTAAGTGGGTATAACCGAACTTAATGAGCGGTAGATTGTTTAAAAATTGTCCCGTAGTCCCGTCGAACTAAATCATAACTTTGCATAGTCGACGGTTTACAAGCGGGAAGGCGAAAGATCGTAAGATCCTGCCGTTGCTCGTCGTTAATCGAGATATGCCTTGGAAACATAAGACAATAATTATTTGTTTAGAAACAAACATTCTCGATAAAGAATAACCCAAAAAAGTTTAATGTTTTGGGTACCGAGGTCCTCGGAAGTAGATGCAACACTTAAAGTCTTTAAGATGATCTTACTTTCCATCTGACGGTGCAGATGCGGGGAGACGGAGGGTTTGTACGGCTCAGATTATTTAGCCTTACTTAAATTTCGTCGCTTTGTACGAAGCGTCCGGGTAGTTGAAAAACGTTCGATCGGACGGTCGAGGTCGATGCGAGGTAAATCCTCATGACCTCGAGATACTCAACGATTAGTGAATATAAACCCATCTCCACAAGCCCCTTCCAAACGTACCCAATTCTGAATCGAAGGCGATTTCTTCCTTCTCCTCTTTCGTATTATTTCATACAAGGATAGTTTTCAAAAGAGATTGACATAATCTCCAGGTTTATAGGGGTTTTTGGGTCCGAGATTCAGAACTTTCTGTCAAGAATCTTTAGTATCCCATCTTCTTTTTCCCGAAAACCTCTTCTTCTACGATGCATTCCGCCGAGGGAAAGAGAGTGTCGCCGACGGAAAGTACGGGCCACACGCAAAGTCGAAACTAGACGAAGAAGGCCTAGTGAATTTCCGACGTGAGTATAACATTCCCGACGAGATCGAACTCGTGCTCCCGACGGAGTCAGAAGGCCTTGAGCATGTCAGGCCGGGATATTGTTGTGCTTTTAAAGCTTACTTTGAGAGCTGCGGGATGATCTTTCCTATCCCTCGACTCCTATTGGAGTTTTTAGCTCTCCTAAAGATGGCTTTTCCTTAGATGCATCCGAATTTCGTTCGACACGTCATTGGATGTGCAATTCGAGCTCGAGAGGAGAATATAATTTTCGACGCTTGATGTACTTGCATTTTACATAGTTTTAGCACATCTTTTATGCATCTTTTGCATAGTTTTATCCATTTGCATCATATCTTGTTCCTTTTCTCTTCTTATGCATTCATGTTAGTTTTAGGTTGCATTTGCATACATATGCATGTTTGGTCCTTTGAAATAGGTCTTTTGGAGCATTCTGGAGCATATGGGACAAGGAGCATGGAGGGACTTGGCACATGGACGCAGCTCAACTGGAAGCCATCTTGAAGACCAGCTCGACCGTCTACTCGACCAACCGGTCGAGTTCCTCAACTCGACCGGCCAAGCTTCAACTCGATCGAGCTGAGAAGTCAACAGTCAAACCCGAAAAATGTTGCTTCCCCCTTGACTTTCCTTTGACCCTAAACCTAATCCTCTTGTATTTAAAGGCTCTAAGCCACGAAAAAACCACCAAGCTTTAGATTATTTTGTTTTAGTTTCTTTTAATTTATTGTCTTTTACTTTTTAGAGCTCTAATCCCATCTTTGTGTTCTTGAAGCTCTTGCTTCTTGAATCCTAGATCCTGGATAATCTCTTTGTATTTGCACTTGCTTATTTCAATAAAAGTTGTTTAATTTCATCTCCTCTTTCTTATGATGTCTCTTTTATTGCATTTGCTTGTGTTTACATTCATGTGTAGTGAGTAGTTACCCATTAGGGTTTGAGATGGGATAGATTAGAGGTTTCATATGCTTAATCCTTCTTGCTTATGGTCTTAATCTAGATTCTCTCTCTTTTGGATAGATCTTAAGGCTACATGACCACTACCCCTGGCTTGTAAGTCCTTAGGCGATTCTCCACATGGAAGTGATGGCATTCGCTGGAAAAGATCCACTAAGAGCTCCAATATCTCTTGCTCTAGAAATAGAGGTCTAAGGGGTTGGATGGATTAGTTTGGGCAATGATCCTATGGCCTCCAAGGTTTGATTCTCACTGGCTAACCCCCTGTTTCTGAGATCATTCCTTGGTTGATAGCCTCACCTTGGGAAAGGGTTGGCTAGGCATTGAGAAGCCCAATATCAAGAGAAGCCTTGATACAAGGAGTTTTAAGAGCTAGATGATTAAGTGTAGATTCCTCTGATTGCAAAACCCTGTCTTGAACCCTAATTTCTTTAGCTTGTTAAAGTCGTCACCTTTAGCTTTTTCTCAACTCGACCCTAAACTCGATCGAGCTGGTACTCTGTTCCACTCGACTCGAGTCCTTGGTCGAGCTGTTGCTTCTACTGCTTTTTTACTTTTGCATTGCATTTTTTTATTTAGGTTGTTAGTGTTACTTCAAATCTATTACTGCTTGCTTGACTTTCTGTTGTTTCATATTCTCATAGAGTGACAATTTCCCATTTTGGATTGATAACCTTATGCTACTACATGACTATGATGGTTAAGAGGAATTGTTGACTGTGATTGTGTTTGCATCTTACCACCTCATCATTACCACTGTTGCATTCCACCACATCTCATTTCATATCTTTCACATCCACACACAAATCCTATCATCAATTTGGCGCCGTTGCCGATTTGGGATATTTTTGTTGCATTTGAGTTTCAAAACACTTGGACGATCAAGCTATACCACCCCTGTTCTATTGTACTGCTGGGTTTTTGTCTCTTTTTGCAGGTGTATGCGAACTCGATCGAGTCGGTCTACAGAGACTTGGTCGAGCTAGACATTACAACGGGTAGAAAGAGGGTTCAGAGGTCACAGAGGGTACAAGAGGAACCTGAGGTGCTTGTTGCTGATACAATGGATGTACCAGAGGGGAATGGAAACCCTTTGGGAATGGACTCGGTCGAGCTAGGCAAACTCGACCGATTGGTCAAGGAGATGCTCCAAACCGCCACCAACAGAGACAAGGGATTGTTCCACCACCAGTGCAGAACCACAACTTTGAGATCAAGCTGGGAATGATCAACCTTGTCCAGAACAAGATGTTCCATGGATTGCCAAGTGAAGACCCCATTGACCACCTTGATGAGTTTGATAGGCTTTGTGATTTGACAAAGATCAATGGTGTCTCTGAAGATGCCATCAAGCTGAGACTCTTTCCTATGTCTCTAGCTGACAAAGCTCACCAATGGGAGAAGAGCTTGCCCCATGGCACAATCACCACTTGGGATGAATGCAAGAAGGCCTTTCTTGCTAAGTTTTTCTCCACCGGTCGCACAGCCAAGCTTAGAGGAGAGATATCCAGCTTCATCCAGCGAAACAATGAGACATTCGCAGAGGCTTGGGAGAGGTTCAAAGGCTACACAAGTCAGTGCCCACACCATGGATTCAACAATGAATCACTACTCTCCACTCTTTATAGAGGATGCTTGCCTAGGTATAGGGAGATGCTAGACACAGCTAGCAATGGGAACTTCCTCAACCAGGATGTAGATGATGGCTGGCAACTTGTGGAGAACATAGCTAACTCAAATGGAAGCTATGGAGAAGAGTATGATCGCACCAACCGGAGCTCGACCCACCACTCGATCGAGTCAGACGAAAAGTTGAGAAAAGATGTTAAGGCATTGAATGAGAAGTTGGATAAGCTGATCCTAGCTCAGTCCACAATGAAGAAAGTCAACTTTGTGTCTGCTGAGGAGATGGAACCAGTCCAAGAAGGGGAGGATACACAATTTGCTGAGGTGTGCTACATGAGCAATGGGCAAGGAGGTTACAACAAAGGATACTATAATTACAAGTCCAACCCTGCCATGTCATACCGCAACACTGATGTTGCTAACCCTCAGGACCAAGTCTATCCTCAACAACAAGCAGCTCGATCGAGTCAAGGCCACAACATGGGTATGGTCAAAAGAACAATTACCAAGGACCACAAGGCACTTTCCCTGGACAACAAATGAATATCCCACCAGGCTTTCCCCACCAACCACCCCAGCCTGCACCTTCACAAGAGAATGAGCTCAAGGCAATGCTAAAGCAACTACTTCAAGGGCAAGCTGATGGGGTAGTGGACACAAGCAAGAAGCTAGCTGAAATAAACTCAAGATCGAGAACCTCAACACAAGGGTTTACTCTCTGGAGAATCATGCTTCTTCTGTTGCTGCTGCTACAAAGCAAGGACAACTACCTGGTAAAGCTATTCAGAACCCCAAGGAACAGTGCAAGGTCATCTTCACTCAAGAAGGACTTGTTGAAGAAGAGGATCAAGAAAGGGTCATTGAAGATTTTTGTTTACTGCTGAATGATGAAGAGATTGTTGCTGCTGAGGCTCCTGGAGTCCAGATTGATCAACCAGAAGTGCAGGCACCTACTGTGGCCATTCACACTTCACCAGTTGAGCTCGCACAACAAGCTCGATCGGCAGCTCGATCGAGTCAACTCTAGCTCGATCGAGTCCGACCTCTTCTGTCCAAACCATTTTGCTTGATCCTTACCAACCGGTTGCCACTTCCTCGTCTCGCCTACTTAGTCAAGGTCACAAGGAAGTGATTCACAAGTTCAGAAGAGATCTCAGTGGGATTGGAATTGAGTTGCCTCCTATGGATAGCATGAGTGAGGCATTTGATCAAATGCAAATGGTCAAGGATGTTCTAGCCAACAGTGATAAAGTTTCAGAGGTCCTGAAGAGTCTACTCATCAGTTCAACCTGCTTACTTCACCCACTTTCCTACCAAAGGTCAAGGATCAAGGGAAATTCACTCTCCCTTGCACACTTGGGCATCTTGAGATTGACAATGCCTTAGTGGATTCTGGAGCAAGCATCAATCTGATCTCTCTCTCCATGGCAGAGAAGCTAGGCATTGCTGGAACCTTGCAGCGCCCTACTACTTCAATCATGTTTGGAGATGCAACTTCNGAAAGATCGTAAGATCCTGCCGTTGCTCGTCGTTAATCGAGATATGCCTTGGAAACATAAGACAATAATTATTTGTTTAGAAACAAACATTCTCGATAAAGAATAACCCAAAAAAGTTTAATGTTTTGGGTACCGAGGTCCTCGGAAGTAGATGCAACACTTAAAGTCTTTAAGATGATCTTACTTTCCATCTGACGGTGCAGATGCGGGGAGACGGAGGGTTTGTACGGCTCAGATTATTTAGCCTTACTTAAATTTCGTCGCTTTGTACGAAGCGTCCGGGTAGTTGAAAAACGTTCGATCGGACGGTCGAGGTCGATGCGAGGTAAATCCTCATGACCTCGAGATACTCAACGATTAGTGAATATAAACCCATCTCCACAAGCCCCTTCCAAACGTACCCAATTCTGAATCGAAGGCGATTTCTTCCTTCTCCTCTTTCGTATTATTTCATACAAGGATAGTTTTCAAAAGAGATTGACATAATCTCCAGGTTTATAGGGGTTTTTGGGTCCGAGATTCAGAACTTTCTGTCAAGAATCTTTAGTATCCCATCTTCTTTTTCCCGAAAACCTCTTCTTCTACGATGCATTCCGCCGAGGGAAAGAGAGTGTCGCCGACGGAAAGTACGGGCCACACGCAAAGTCGAAACTAGACGAAGAAGGCCTAGTGAATTTCCGACGTGAGTATAACATTCCCGACGAGATCGAACTCGTGCTCCCGACGGAGTCAGAAGGCCTTGAGCATGTCAGGCCGGGATATTGTTGTGCTTTTAAAGCTTACTTTGAGAGCTGCGGGATGATCTTTCCTATCCCTCGACTCCTATTGGAGTTTTTAGCTCTCCTAAAGATGGCTTTTCCTTAGATGCATCCGAATTTCGTTCGACACGTCATTGGATGTGCAATTCGAGCTCGAGAGGAGAATATAATTTTCGACGCTTGATGTACTTGCATTTTACATAGTTTTAGTACATCTTTTATGCATCTTTTGCATAGTTTTATCCATTAGCATCATATCTTGTTCCTTTTCTCTTCTTATGCATTCATAGTAGTTTTAGGTTGCATTTGCATACATATGCATGTTTGGTCCTTTGAAATAGGTCTTTTGGAGCATTCTGGAGCATATGGGACAGAGGAGCATGGAGGACTTGGCACATGGACGCAGCTCAACTGGAAGCCATCTTGAAGACCAGCTCGACCATCTACTCGACCAACCGGTCGAGTTCCTCAACTCGACCGGCCAAGCTTCAACTCGATCGAGCTGAGAAGTCAACAGTCAAACCCGAAAAATGTTGCTTCCCCCTTGACTTTCCTTTGACCCTAAACCTAATCCTCTTTGTATTTAAGGCTAAAAGCCACGAAAAAACCACCAAGCTTTAGATTACTTTTTGTTTTAGTTTCTTTTTAATTTATTGTCTTTTACTTTTTAGAGCTCTAATCCCATCTTTGTGTTCTTGAAGCTCTTGCTTCTTGAATCCTAGATCCTGGATAATCTCTTTTGTATTTGCACTTGCTTATTTCAATAAAAGTTGTTTATTTCATCTCCTCTTTCTTATGATGTCTCTTTTATTGCATTTGCTTGTGTTTACATTCATGTGTAGTGAGTAGTTACCCATTAGGGTTTGAGATGGGATAGATTAGAGGTTTCATATGCTTAATCCTTCTTGCTTATGGTCTTAATCTAGATCTCTCTCTTTTGGACAAATCTTAAGGCTACATGACCACTACCCCTGGCTTGTATGTCCATAGGCGATTCTCCACATGGAAGTGATGGAAATCGCTGGAAAAGGTCCACTAAGAGCTCCAATATCTCTTGCTCTAGAAATGGAGGTCTAAGGGGTTGGATGGATTAGTTTGGCAATGATCCTATGGCCTCCAAGGCTTGATTCTCACTGGCTAACCCCCTGTTTCTGAGATCATTCCTTGGTTGATAGCTTTCACCTTGGGAAAGGGTTAGCTAGGCATTGAGAAGCTCAATATCAAGAGATACCTTGATACAAGTTTTAAGAGCAAGATGATTAAGTATAGTTCCTCTGATTGCAAAACCCTGTCTTGACCCTAATTTCTCTTCTAGCTTGTTAAAGTCGCTGCCTTTATGCTTTTTACTCAACTCGACCCTAAACTCGATCGAGCTCGGTACTCTGTTCCAACTCGACTCGAGTCCTTGGTCGAGCTGTTGCTCTACTGCTTTATTTACTTTCTGCATTTCATTTTGTTTCATTTAGGTTGTTAGTGTTACCCAATCTATTACTGCTTGCTTGACTTTCTTGTTGTTTCATATTCTCATAGAGTGACAAGTTTCCCATTTTGGATTGATAACCCTTTATGCTATACAACTATCATGGTTAAAGGGAATTGTTGACTGTGTTTGTGTTTGCATCTTACCACCTCATCATTACCACTGTTGCATTCCACCACATCTCATTTCATATCATTTCACATCCACACACAAATCCTATCATCAATTTGGCGCCGTTGCCGATTTGGGATATTTTTGTTGCATTTGAGTTTCAAATACACTTGGACGATCAAGCTATACCACCCCTGTTCTATTGTACTGCTGGGTTTTTGTCTCTTTTTGCAGGTGTATGCGAACTCGATCGAGTCGGTCTACAGAGGACTTGGTCGAGCTAGACTTTACAACGGGTAGAAAGAGGGTTCAGAGGTCACAGAGGGTACAAGAGGAACCTGAGGTGCTTGTTGCTGATACAATGGACGTACCAGAGGGGAATGGAAACCCTTTGGGCAATGGACTCGGTCGAGCTAGGCAAACTCGACCGATTGGTCAAGGAGATGCTCCAAACCGCCACCAACAGAGACAAGGGATTGTTCCACCACCAGTGCAGAACCACAACTTTGAGATCAAGCTGGGAATGATCAACCTTGTCAGAACAAGATGTTCCATGGATTGCCAAGTGAAGACCCCATTGACCACCTTGATGAGTTTGATAGGCTTTGTGATTTGACAAAGATCAATGGTGTCTCTGAAGATGCCATCAAGCTGAGACTCTTTCCTATGTCTCTAGCTGACAAAGCTCACCAATGGGAGAAGAGCTTGCCCCATGGCACAATCACCACTTGGGATGAATGCAAGAAGGCCTTTCTTGCTAAGTTTTTCTCCACCGGTCGCACAGCCAAGCTTAGAGGAGATATCCAGCTTCATCCAGCGAAACAATGAGACATTCGCTGAGGCTTGGGAGAGGTTCAAAGGCTACACAAGTCAGTGCCCACACCATGGATTCAACAATGAATCACTACTCTCCACTCTTTATAGAGGATGCTTGCTAGGTATAGGGAGATGCTAGACACAGCTAGCAATGGGAACTTCCTCAACCAGGATGTAGATGATGGCTGGCAACTTGTGGAGAACATAGCAACTCAAATGGAAGCTATGGAGAAGAGTATGATCGCACCAATCGGAGCTCGACCCACCACTCGATCGAGTCAGATGAAAGTTGAGAAAAGATGTTAAGGCATTGAATGAGAAGTTGGATAAGCTGATCCTAGCTCAGTCCACAATGAAGAAAGTCAACTTTGTGTCTGCTGAAGAGATGGAACCAGTCCAAGAAGGGGAGGATACACAATTTGCTGAGGTGTGCTACATGAGCAATGGGCAAGGAGGTTACAACAAAGGATACTATAATTACAAGTCCAACCCTGCCATGTCATACCGCAACACTGATGTTGCTAACCCTCAGGACCAAGTCTATCCTCAACAACAAGCAGCTCGATCGAGTCAAGCGCCACAACATGGGTATGGTCAAAAGAACAATTACCAAGGACCCAAGGGACTTTCCCTGGACAACAAATGAATATACCACCAGGCTTTCCCCACCAACCACCCCAGCCTGCACCTACAAGAGAATGAGCTCAAGGCAATGCTAAAGCAACTACTTCAAGGGCAAGCTGATGGGGTAGTGGACACAAGCAAGAAGCTAGCTGAAATAAACTCCAAGATCGAGAATCTCAACACAAGGGTTTACTCTCTGGAGAATCATGCTTCTTCTGTTGCTGCTGCTACAAAGCAAGGACAACTACCTGGTAAAGCTATTCAGAACCCCAAGGAACAGTGCAAGGTCATCTTCACTCAAGAAGGACTTGTTGAAGAAGAGGATCAAGAGAGGGTCATTGAAGAGTTTTGTTTACTGCTGAATGATGATGAGATTGTTGCTGCTGAGGCTCCTGGAGTCCAGATTGATCAACCAGAAGTGCAGGCACCTACTGTGGCCATTCACACTTCACCAGTTGAGCTCGCACAACAAGCTCGATCGGCAGCTCGATCGAGTCGAACTCTAGCTCGATCGAGTCCGACCTCATCTGTCCAAAGCCGATTTTGCTTGATCCTTACCAACCGGTTGACCACTTCCTCGTCTCGCCTACTTAGTCAAGGTCACAAGGAAGTGATTCACAAGTTCAGAAGAGATCTCAGTGGGATTGGAATTGAGTTGCCTCCTATGGATAGCATGAGTGAGGCATTTGATCAAATGCAAATGGTCAAGGATGTTCTAGCCAACAGTGATAAAGTTTCAGAGGTCCTGAAGAGTCTACTCATCAGTTCAACCTGCTTACTTCACCCACTTTCCTACCAAAGGTCAAGGATCAAGGGAAATTCACTCTCCCTTGCACACTTGGGCATCTTGAGCTTGACAATGCCTTGGTGGATTCTGGAGCAAGCATCAATCTGATCTCTCTCTCCATGGCAGAGAAGCTAGGCATTGCTGGAGCCTTGCAGCGCCCTACTACTTCAATCATGTTTGGAGATGCAACTTCTAAGTCTCCTCTTGGAGTGTTCAAGAACTATCACTTGAAAATTGGAGAATGCATCATCCAAACTGATCTCACTGTGATGGAGATGGAAGAAGAGAAGGATCTACCTCTGTTATTGGGAACCCCATTCCTTAGTACAGTTGGCGCTTCAATAGACTTTCACAAGCAAGAAGTGATCCTTCACAAGGTGAATAGTTTGGTGTCATATCGCTTGCAGCCTAGAGGTTCAGACTTTTGTGCCACAATTGACAGTACCATCTCAGTTCTAAGACTCATGAAGCTACAAAGGTTGTGAAGGAAAGGGTTGACAAAGAACCAAGAGTTGGGAAGGATAAGGTTGAGAGAGGACCAAGGATTGAGAAGCCACGTCTTGAGAGGGCTAGAGTTGAGAAACCACGTTCTGATAGACCACGAGCTGATCGACTTGTTCAAGCCCCTTGTGTGCTTGATGAAGAGAGCCTTCAAGCTTTGTTTGATGAGCTACTAGGAAGGGCTCTAAAAGAAGGGGAGGATACAGCCTACACTCTCCCACACCTTAAAATTTCTGAAACTCATCTCTCTCTCTCTTCACCACAAGAAAAATCGAGTTTTCAATTCCTCTCTCTTGAGTTTTTGCTATTTCCATTGTTCTTCATCTTGTTTTGCTTGGGTTTTGGTTTAATAAGTTAAGTTTAGGTGACAAAGGAACCAGCTCGACCGACAGCTCGATCGACCTAGAAACCGGGGTAACTCGATCGAGTTCCACAACTCGACCAAGGTAAGTTTTCAAAATTCAAATTTTCTAACCGTTTTCTTGGTCAAAGGAGTGGGTCCCACAAGTTAATTTTGCTCCCCCACTTCCTGAATTGATCAGAAAAACCCTTGCCTTTTGTTCCCCCCTTTCAAATCACCTTTTAATCTCAACCACACATCTTAAACACTCCCACTTCACCTTAACTCGATCAAATCCCCAATCTCACTCTCCCACACCCTAAATTTTCTGAAATCACCTTTCTCTCTCTTTACCACAAGAAACAAAATCGATTTTCCCCTCTTTCTCTCTTAAGTTTCACGATTTCCTTTTGTTCTTCATTGTTTTACTTTGGTTCTAGTTTCTGTTCTTCAATTCACCACCACAAGCAAGGTATGAGCCCTAAAAACCCCCGAATCCCTCATATCGATTCTCTTTATTGCTTGTTTTCTCTTTGATTTTGATTGAATGTGCCCCTTGTGGGTTTGTTCTTGAAAAATTGCTTTCATATCAATCTCTTGTTTATAGTTTTGCGAATTTGCCGCACCTCACCTCTGTTTTTCCATTAGAACTTGTTGCATGTGCTTAAAACATTGAATTTGAGTTTTGTATTGCTTAAGATGCTTTGGTTTTCACTAGAATTGCTCATTGTTCCATTTACTTAGTGTTCTTGGTTCAATTTGATTATTAAGCATCTTTTCCAGCTCTGATTGTTTGATATAGGTTTGGTCCTACTCTGTTCTCGCTCAACTCAATCGAGTTTGTGATGTGGAGTCAGGTTTTACCAAACTCCTAGACCTCTGCAAGTGCACAGATCGCGGAAGTATGGGTATCGAACACAAGGACTGGCTATTGAGTACACTTTGAAACTATGGATTTTGGATCAAGCTAAAACAAAAGTATGATTGAGGTTGTAATGGTGAACCGAACTAGCAAGTATAACGAGGTTGTAAATCAATAAAGGGGAAAACGCTAGGTCATAGGGGCTATCGCAGAGAAGCAAGCAATGATCAATGAAACAATGATAGATAATTGATTAGGGATGTTGGGATATTAAGAACCGTCTAGAACACAGATCACGAATATAAAACCATTCCACTTTCGAGGCTCCGGCTCCTTTGTTAATCTACCTAGTCGCTAAACTTTTGGTATGTCCCTAGGTGATTAAATCAAGCTTTAGAATGAATAGGTTCTGATACAGTTCACTAGATTATAGTAGATCAACTTTCGCAGTCTAAGAAACCTAGCTTGTCAAAGAATATGTCCGGCGAATGATACAGCACTGTCGAGGCTCAAATCAACCTAAGATCGGATTACTAGATGCGCGGTAAAGCAATCAGCATTAGTTAAGTGCACAAGACGAGACAAAGACTCTAATATAATCCCTAGCTAATCATCGAAATCAAAGATCATGCAAGCAACTCATTGAATAGTAACCCTAGCAACCTAACTAGTGGATTACTCAGACATGATCAAACCCTAGTAACCTAACTAGTGGATTACTCTTCTGAGAAACGTATAAAGTTGAGCTTGTTTCTTTTCGGATTATAGCTCGAACTTTTGACGTGTTCTTGGGCTTCATCTTGGAAGGTTGCGTTGGGTTGGGCAAACCCTTTTTGATGTTTGCTGATTGAAAGCGACCGATTTTAAATGATCGTCTGAATTCAGTAGGTGATTCTACATAATCAGTATTCGAGCTTTATCTTTGAAGATTGCTTTGAATCGAGCTGATTTCTTTTCATACTTTTAGTCGGGTTCGACCAGGCTTGCCAATTGCGTGATTTTGTAGATTAATCCACATGATTAGCAGTTGGGTTGAATTTCGGGGGAGCTGCTCGGATCGAGCTGATTCCCTTTAAGATCTTCAGTCGGATTCGACTGGCTTTTGCCAATCATTGATTTGAGTAGATTACTACACAATTGATGTTTGGGCTTAATCTTCAGAGTTGCCTCAAATCGAGCTAAACTCCAGATCTTCAGTCGGATTCGACTGGCTTTTGCCAATTGTGTGATCTCGTAGATTGATCTACATGATCAGCACTTGGTCTTAATCTTCAAGGACTGCTCGTACTCGAGCTGATTACCTTTCAGATCTTCAGTCGGGTTCGACTGGCATTTTGCTAAGTATTCGATGTCCTTAGGAGTAATTCGAATGTTTAGCTGATTTGGGTTGTTGGGCCCAAAGTTTGTTTTTAGTCCTAGACCGATGATAGGTTCTAGGTGATCTCTAGGATTAGAATTGATCTCTCTTCCTAGCTTCTGAAGTCGATCTCGACCTCCTTCGCATATCTCGTCCATGTTCAAACTGCCATTCTGGCTGTTTCCGGGGCTCATCGGTATAAGCAACATTATCACATCACACGCAAAGTCCAGCTATTTCATGGTCTTATCGGTCTGCAATATCGTCACCCGACTCAAACAGACCAGCTATTTCATGGTCACATTGGTCTAAGCGATATTACCGCCTGACTCGTACAGCTCGGACATTACCGGAGCTCATCGATCTCAGTAGTATTATCGCCAAACACGTACAGCCCGGTCTTGAAGACTTGATTCCGTCGAGGTATTACTCGACCTCGTCTTTACAAGTAGCCCGGATGTAGTATGTACTTAGATAAGTATACTTGATGGGGTCAAGGTCAGCCTTACTGAGCCTGGACGGACTTTTCTTAGTCTTAGGATCTTGATAGTTGATGGTGGCTGCGCTCGTACTTCGAGCTGCCTACGTACCCTGAATAGGGATCAAGCCTAACGTAGTTCAGGTTCTAGACCGAGAATAGGTTCTAGATGATCTTTAAATTAGAGTCGTGCTTTTTTCATAGCCTCTGAGGTCGTTCTCGTCCTCCTCCCCAACTGTTTCCAGGGCTCATCGGTATAAGCAACATTACCGTCAGACACGTCAGACCAGATATTTCATGGTCTCGTTGGTCCGAGCGATATCGTCACCCGACTCGTGAGATCCAGATAATTCCGGAACTCATCGGTCTGAGCGATATTACCACCTAACTTGTACGGTCCGGACATTACCGGATTCCGTCGGTCTAAGTAATATCACCGCCCAACACGTACAGCTCGGCTTGAAGACTTGATTCCGTCGAGGTATTACTCGACCTCGTCTTAACAAGTAGCAAGGGTAGCGTATCTGCTTGGACAGATATGCTTGGCGGGGTCGAGGTCAGTCCTCCTCCCCAACTGTTTCCAGGGCTCATCGGTATAAGCAACATTATCGTCAGACACGTCAGACCAGATATTTCATGGTCTAGTTGGTCCGAGCGATATCGTCACCCGACTCGTGAGATCCAGATAATTCCGGAACTCATCGGTCTGAGCGATATTACCACCTAATTTGTACGGTCCGGACATTACCGGATTTCCGTCGGTCTAAGTAATATTACCGCCCAACGCGTACAGCTCGGCTTGAAGACTTGATTCCGTCGAGGTATTACTCGACCTCGTCTATACAAGTAGCTGGGGTAGCGTATCTGCCTGGACAGATATGCTTGGCGGGGTCAATGTTAGTCCCACTGGGCGTAGATAGACTTCTCGCGATCTAAAGATCTGGATAATGGTGGCTGCGCTCTTGGGTGGAGCTGCCTACGTACCCTGAATAGGGATCAAGCCTAAACGTAGTTCAAGGGGGGTGAGAGTTTGTAGACGTTTTGCCGAACTACTTTGGTGATGGGATTAGGTCATTCCAAGTTGGTTCCTGTTTCCTTATCACCGAACTCTCTTTGCCATGACGTATTAACTTGAGCTTGCTTTTTCGAGCTTTATTACGAGTTAATCATCGTGGGCTTTTTCTTGTGGAACCTATTGGTTTTCAAGAGTTTGGTTTTTAGGTCGAATCTTTCTAGAGGAAGAGCTCGTCTGGAAGATTTGACCTTTTGTTGTATGCTTTGATCGAGTTGTTCGAGTCTTAGCACTTTTTCGAGCCTCCGCGAATGAATTTAATTCATTTGAGGGTGGGTGGCTCCACTCCCCCGAAAACTTGTGAAATCAGCGTAAGCATGAGTTCGCAAAGTTCTTAAACTCGGGTTGAGGTTTTCGTTAGCTGTCTGAGAAGACGCTCCACTCCCCCGCGAGATTGTGAGCTCTGCATAAGCTAGAGCTCGCTATCTTTTTGGTGCGGGCGGCGGGTGACCGCAGGGTCATTGAGCTGCGGCGTGAGCTGAGCTCTCTGAACACCGGGTCGAGTCGAATCGCTTCTTATGTGAAAGAGGTGATTCTTGGGAGATGATTCCGACTCGCGTTCCCTTTTTCGGGGTGCTTTGTCGTTATCGTTGATGAGGGCTGATTGGTTTTTCCATTTTTCCTCAGCTCTCTGCTTTTTAGCTAATTCCTTAGCTCTAGCTCGGCATTCGTCGGTGGAATGGCCGTAGATTTGGTGATGTTCGCAGAACTTCTCTAAATCGGAACTCGGGTTCGGTTTGAGAACTGAGTTCGCAATGAAAGAGAGTGTTGCGGTAATCTTCTTTGCGATGTCTTTCTAGGAGGAGATTGATCTCCTCTTCAGAGTAGCAAAGGTTGACGCGCAGCGAAGTGCATCGTCGAGTGATACAGGAGGTCGAACGATTAGTTCTTCTCTGAATTTTGATTTGTACCACAGGTTGTTTCGGAAGGCTAGTAGAGCTACTGCCTCGTTAGGGTTTTCGATCTTAGCAATGATTGCTTTGAATCTATTGACGTAGGATCGAAGTGATTCGTTTGGAGCTTGAGAAAGCTTCCAGAGATCGGCTTCCGAAACTTCTGATTCGATGAAGATCGAATATTGGTTTACGAATGCCGAAATCAGCTGGTCGAAATTATCTATTGATTTTTCATCCAGCGTTTCAAACCATTTTTTAGCTGGTCCGGCTAGGTTTTCAACAAAGAGTTGGCAGCAAGCTGCTTCTATCTCTTCGGGAGAAAACTGAGCTCGAAGTATTTCGAGATAAAGAGCTCGAATATAAGCTCGTGGATCGCTGTTACCAGAGTATTCTGGGATACGTAGCTTGTAAGTATCGCGCAGACAGGTGTTAGCGATCCTGGATGAGAAGGGAGTTTGTTGTGTCTCCCTGATTACTTTGTCGATATCTGGAATCAAACTCATTGTTTGGTTAAACGTTGAGTTCGCTTGCCAGAATGCGAGGTTTGTTTGGACCTGGAACCTTTCGAAAGATTCGCGGTCCAAAAGGTTTCGCGGATCGACAGGAATCCGGTTAGTTGAAATCGGATGGGATAGAGCTTGATTTGACGAGCTGTTTGCTTTTGTCAATCGAGCTAGATCTGTCGGATCGTTTGCTCTATGAAATTGAGCTCGATCGACTAGATCATTTGTTGCGGAAACTGTTGATAGTTTCCGTTCACAACAGTTCGAGCTGTTGCAGGGAGCTGCGAGCTCAAAATTTCATCGGACTGATTTTTGAGCTGAGACATCGCCTGCAAGCTTGAGTTGGAAGCCATAGTTTCGGGCCATCTAAATATAGTTGGCTCGATACGTGATAGCTTTGGAGGTGGAGATGGAAGTCGCTCTGTTGGCTGAGATCCTATCTCCGATTTGCTTGAATCTGGAATGTTCAAGCTGCTCATTGGCGAGCTCATCGGTGGGACGAGAGTCTGGAAGACATGAGCGCGCAGTGGCGCCTCATCCCGTTTCGACGAGCTGTTAGGTTTGTAGATTGGTGAAGAGTCGAGCTGAGTTCCCGGAGGAGGACTTATAATCGTCCGTAGCTCAGCAAGACTTCGTTCATATTTTTCCAACCTGATTTTTTGGTCGTATTGACTGTTAATCAGGTCGGTGAGCATTCGCTTGATTCGGGCTTGGTCGTCCGGATTCGGTCGAGCCAAGGCAAACGACGTTGACACAGTTTGCGTCGGAGATTTCCGACTGATCGGTGTCGAGGTAATCGGGAAATCTTTAGATTTGACCCGAATCCGCAAATGAGGTTTCTCAATTGCGTGCGAGATCTGATTCGGTAGAATCGAGTTCTCGGCTATCACAGGAGTGACGAGGTTGATCACCGATGGTTTCACGCGGGCTGGAACATTCGAGTTCGCTGCCGCGGAGGTGATAACCGGATCGATCAGGACGCTCGATCTACTAGCAGTTTGGCTGCTGCCAGTTGGCGAGGTGATCGGGTTTTTCGATGTGTCTGCAGTTTTGGCACTGCTGACATCCGAAGTGATTTGATCCGATGGGATCTGAGATTGGGAGCGAGCTCCCTGAGAATTTGATAGGACTGAGTCCATTTCGTTCTCAACTGGTCTAGGTTCGACCCTTGTGTAAGAGAAAGCTATTGTCTCCCCTCCTTCTAGCGCCAAAATGTGGGTTCGGAAAACCACACTCAAAATTTATGTGTATTTTGTAGGGAGAAATTGCTGTGGAATCAGAGGTTAGATTCTGATGTAAGTCGAATGATTCGTAGACAAATATTTGACGAAATCGGACTTAGGCTAATCGAATAAAGTGGTTACAAAACCGGCCTAAAAGACCATGTAAAACACTAGGATTCGACTAAGCAAAAGAGATGGAAATGAGGTGGTGGCTGCGCTCGTTAACGAGCTGCCTACGTACCCTGTTTTAGGGATCAAGCCAGAACGTAGTTCGATTGTAAGTTGTTCTCTATTTCGAGTCGTTTTCTGAAGAGAAATGACCACGAAAAGAGCTAAAGGGGTGTGAAGATGACGATAAATCTCAGGTTATCGGAGTGATCCGAAGGTAAGAGATTACGTCAAACTTCTGCCGGAAGTGATTTCCGGCTAGAAAGATCAGGGCTTTCTGGGATTATCTCAAAGACAAGGATAAGATCGAAGAGAAAAGATATGAGAATATCTCAAGACGAAGAAGAAGAACTTCACTCTGTTTCTGCTGTGAAAAGATGATGAGAAGAACTTTAGTAGTGATTTTTGATCAAAGGAATCTGTCCCGAAAAGACTTGATTAAGGAATTCTGCCTTGTGATCAAGAATCGTCCTCTTTTTATAGCTCCGAAGTAGATCGCAACCTCCTCCGCGTATCTCGTCCACGTGCAACTACCGATCCCGCTATTTCCGGATCTGAACAGTCGAAGCGAGATTCTCGTTTGACTCGTTCAAACTCAGCTTGTCGAGCTAGACTCGACTTCGATCTTCACAAGTAGCTCGGACAGTAAACAGCTGGATTTTGGACAAGGATACTTGGTGGGCTCGAGGTCATTTTACTGGGCCTGAGTGGACTTATCTTGATCTTAGGACTTAGGTGATGGGCCTTATGGGCCGGATTTCTGGAGGGAAATCCAGGTCCAACAACTGTGATTTTTAGGTTTTGGCGGAAAACGTGATTTCGCGGTTTTGGCCGGAAAAGCGTTATTTTTGCTTTTGCGGAAAAAAACGTTATTTTGCAATTTTGGTGGCAAAACACAATTTTGCTATTTCGGCGGAAAAACGTTATTTCGTGGTTTTGGCGGGAAAAGTGTTAGGTTTTGCTTTTGCGGAAAACGTTATTTTGCGGTTTTGGAGGTAAAATGCAATTTTGTAGTTTCAGCGGAAAAACATTATTTCAGGGTTTTGGCGGTAAAAAATAATTTTGCGGATAATTTTGATTTCATAGTTTTTATTAAATAAAAACGATTTTGGTGTTTTGGATATTTTTTTTGTTTTAGAAAGAATAAATAAATCTATAATTTTATTTTTGCGTTAATATATTATTAAGGATATATTTGTCATTTATATTTTTGGAATGAAGATACATGAGCGAGATGCTTCATTTCGGATCAGCTAGATTGATCATCTTAGGCTTGGGCATTTTTAACCAAACCCGAGGACCCGACCCGGAACCGACCCGAAAATTCCGGTTCGGATCGGATATGGGTAATTGGATTTTACCCCATCGGATCCCTTTTTCACAGATCCACGGGTTTCGGTTCGGGTCCGTGTAATTAGCCGAAAACCGTTGGGTACCCAAGCCCAAAACCCTCTAACCCTCTCCTTAGCCCACATCTACCCAGCCCAAACCCAAAAGTCCAAACTCAGTTGCTTTTCTCGTTGTCTCTCCCACTCCCCGATACTCCTATTCCGATAGCCTCCTCTTCTCGTTTCTCCAACTCCGCCAAAACAACCCAATAGCTTCTCTCGACCCTTCCATTCCCCGATCTACTTTCCCAACTACCCAAATCTCTTCCCCAATATAATCCCCAATTCAATCAAGACAAACTGGAAACCCTAAATCGGCGAAGTGTATCATCTCCTGACTCTCCTCCATCAGAGACGTCACGAAATCGATCACACTCACACTCACAGTCACAGGTATGAAATCAATCCCACTCATCATCTCCTCCCTTAAAGGATTCATCATTCGTCGTTGTTAACTTGTTTGGTTGATATTTTTGGTCGAAGTAGTTTGTTTTTTGTGTCTGAATGTTGTTTCTTCTGATCTGCATGTTGATATTTTGTTTAATAAAGCATTTCATATGTTATATTGGTTTTACGAAATGATACTTTGATAACTTTGATTTGTGTTGGTCTATACTTTGTGAGATGATTGAGAATTGTGAGTCTGATATGAGATGATTGAGAATCTGAGATGGAACTCGTTGTTCTTCTGTTGCTTTGTCAGTTTGTCTTTGATTTGTTTTAGTTCTGAGATAATTGTTTGATAATCTGATTGTTTTATGTGAGATGATTGAGAATCTGAGACAAAACTCGTTGTTCTTCTGTTACTTTGTTTTTGATTTGTTTTAGTTCTGAGATGAATAGATGATTGATCTGATTAGGTCTGATACCTTGATTTGTTTTAGTTTATGACTTTATGTTTTGAAATTCGAACTGAACATGTTCTGAAAATGATGAACTTATATGTTTAAGCGTTTGTGTTATTCATGTAGATGGCGTCTAGTAAAAGTCCAGATAAAGGCAAAAGCAAGAGGAAAGAAGCTGATGATGCATCAGGTGATGAAGTTGAAGTACAGTTTGAACGACAACAGAACAAGAAAGGCAAACCAGAGACAGAGAGAGTCAAGCCAAAAGGAAAGAGGTCTTGGGTTTGTGATCACTTTGACCCAAAGGAAGATGACAAGAACTTAGGCATTTGCAGGCATTGTGACAAAGTGATGCTTGTTCCATCAAAGTCAGGCACATCGAACATGAAGAAGCATCTAGAGCAGTCTTGCAAAGATTTTCAGTTGTGGGATGCTGCTAATAGTTTTGCCAGCAAAGGTCGTCAGAGTAAGCTGCCAAACGAAGGTGAGGTTAGACTGTGTGCGGTTTCTGACAAGGTGGTTAGAGAAGCTACAAATGAGTTGCTGGTTCTGGCTGAGCTTCCTTTGTCGTTTACGGAGCATTTGGGATGGAAACATTTCTGCTCTAAAGTTGAATTCCCAAAGCCAAAGTCTAGGAGAACAACTACAAGAGATATCGTGGAGATGTTTGTGGAAAAGAAGGCAGCCATGAAGAAGATTCTTGCCGCTAATAGTCAGAGGCTTTCATTAACCACAGACATTTGCATTGCGCCACCTACTGGAGCTAGCTACATGGTGGTTACTGCCCATTTTATTGATGCTTGGTGGAATCTGAAGAAGCTTATCATAGGCGTCAAGAATGTCATTGATCACAAAGGCAAAACAATTTGCAAGGTTCTTGTTGACTGCTTGGCTGAATGGGATATCAAGAAGATATTTTGCATCACCGTTGACAATGCTACAGCAAACTCATCTGCCTTGAGAAGATTCAGGGAAGAATTCAAGCAGCTTAATGGAGAAGAGGCAATGGTTCTGGATGGAGCATATCTGCATTTAAGGTGTGCTACTGATGATAGGATTTTACGTGATGTGAAGTGATATGAATGAAGGATGATATGAAATGAGGTGGAATGCAACAGGGGTGAATAAAGATGAAATGGTGTAATCACAATCAATCAATTCCTCTTAACCATCATAGTCAAAGTAGTATAAGAGGTTATCAATCCAAAATGGGAAACTTGTCACTCTATGAGAATATGAAACAACCAGGAAGTCAAGCAAGCAGTAAAGATTTGGGGTAACACTAACAACCTAAATGAAGAAAATGAAATGCAGAAAGTAAATAAAGCAGTAGAGCAACAGCTCGACCAAGGACTCGAGTCGAGTGGAACAGAGTACCGAGCTCGATCGAGTTTAGGGTCGAGTTGAAGTAAAAAGCAAAAAGGCAGACTTTAACAAGCTAGAACGAAAATTAGGGTCTAAGACAGGGTTTAACAATCAGAGGAAGGCTATACTTAATCATCTTGCTCTCAAAACTTGTATCAAGGTATCTCTTGATATTGAGCTTCTCAATGCCTAGCTAACCCTTTCCCAAGGTGAAAGCTATCAACCAAGGAATGATCTCAGAAACAGGGGGTTAGCCAGTGAGAATCAAGCCTTGGAGGCCATAGGATCATTGCCCAAACTAATCCATCCAACCCCTTAGACCTCTATTTCTAGAGCAAGAGATATTGGAGCTCTTAGTGGACTTTTCCAGCGATTTCCATCACTTCCATGTGGAGAATCGCCTAAGGACATACAAGCCAGGGGTAGTGGTCAGTAGCCTTAAGATCATGTAGACCATAAGCAAGAAGGATTAAGCATAAAACCTCTAATCTATCCCATCTCAAACCCTAATGGGTAACTACTCACTACACATGAATGTAAACACAAGCAAATGCAATAAAAGAGACATCATAAGAAAGAGGAGATGAAATAAACAACTTTTATTGAAATAAGCAAGTGCAAATACAAAGAGATTATCCAGGATCTAGGATTCAAGAAGCAAGAGCTTCAAGAACACAAAGATGGGATTAGAGCTCTAAAAAGTAAAAGACAATAAATTAAAAGAAACTAAAACAAAAGTAATCTAAAGCTTGGTGGTTTTTTCGTGGCTTTTAGCCTTTAAATACAAGAGGATTAGGTTTAGGGTCAAAGGAAAGTCAAGGGGGAAGCAACATTTTTCGGGTTTGACTTTGACTTCTCAGCTCGATCGAGTTGAAGCTTGGCCGGTCGAGTTGAGGAACTCGACCGGTTGGTCGAGTAGATGGTCGAGCTGGTCTTCAAGATGGCTTCCTCCTTCTTCCTTTGCGTATCCAGTTGAGCTGCGTCCATGTGCCAAGTCCCTCCATGCTCCTCACGTCCCATATGCTCCAGAATGCTCCAAAAGACCTATTTCAAAGGACCAAACATGCATATGTATGCAAATGCAACCTAAAACTACTATGAATGCATAAGAAGAGAAAAGGAACAAGATATGATGCTAATGGATGCTAAAACTATGCAAAAGATGCATAAAAGATGTACTAAAACTATGCAAAATGCAAGTACATCAACACCCCCAAACTTGAACTTTGCTTGCCCTCAAGCAAACAAATAGAACAAGAAAGAGATGAGGTTTGAAAACAAGCTGATTCAACACTTAAAAACATGTCCTCAAAAGCGATTTGCTAAATGTCCAACTTAGAGATTCTAGAATGCAACAAGGTGAGAGATATTCATTAAGATTTAACCATGCTTATCAACATCAATCCCACTTCACAGTCACTCAAACAATGCATTCAAATCAGCAAATCCCTTTAACATTCATTAAGCAAAAACAGTGAACCAAAAACATGCAAGATCAATCAACTCATTTGGTTTCAAGGGTTTATGGGTTAAGAGACAAAGAGGGTCTCTTTTGTATGGTGGTTTAGTAACAGGGATCTCTCAAGAAAGTGGCTTTGCTTTGGCAGAAGGCTAAGTGTTAGAACCAAAGATGATGCAAGAACAGCAGCTCGAGCCGTCCTAATCCTAACTCGATCGAGTTCAACACTTAGAGCTTTTTAGAACAAAATCCTAACTACCCTTTTTGGCATTTCGCCTTTGAAACTGAGGAGCTTTGCTCACTTTTCTTTTAAGAACTTCCTAGGGAGAGGCTTCTTGAGGTAACATCTAGCGGTTTGGGATTTTCTAAACACTTAGGGAACTTTTCTTTCTTTTTGACACTTGAGGCTTTGCCTTCTTTTCATTCTACTTAGAACCCTTTTTACTTCCTTTTTTAACTTCCCAAACCTTTACTAGACCCTTTTTAACACTGCCAACTCCCTGGACTTAACTAAACTCTTTTTCCTTTGGATTTTCCCAACTTTTACCACTTTTCTGGTTTTTACACCCAACTCGATCGAGCTCGAGTTGGCACCCCCAAACTTAGCCTGAAAACAATCCCAAGAGAACTAGACAACTAGAACTACTGCCCCTGCCGGTTTAAACACAACACCTTATGCTAAGCAAAGCCAAGAAAGGTTCTCACATTCGCACAAGAGATAATAAGGGGTTTGAAATGAAAAGGCTTAGGTTTAAGGTGTGGTAACTGTCTCAAAGATAGAGATCAGCTATCTGGACAAGCAAAAGGGATATGAAAGTGGTAAAGAATGTCCAGATATGTATGTGGTAGCCATGAGTTGAAATCAAATGCAAGCATTGGTAATTAAAGATCAAGTTATGGTTCAAATAGATAGGGAAATGCATCAAATCACAGCAATGGTTGAATGAGATGTGCATGCAGTGATATGATCAAGATAAACATGGTTCTTGCTGCTCAATCAATCTCACCCTAATGCACAAGAGAATCTAAAAACAGGGCACTCAAGAAATCGCAAATGATGGACAAGTTTTCAAAGTCAAATCAACAATGCAAGTGAAAGATGCAATCCTAAACAATCTAAGAAATATGAATGCAAAAAGATGAAAATATTTTTGGATTTTTTGAAAATTTTATGATTTTTTTGGTTTTTCTATGCAAAAGATGAATGAAAAACTAAGAACAAAGAAAACAAGGTTAAATCATCTCTTGAACCCTCCCCCAAACTTAAATCACACAGTCCCTTGTGTGAGAGAAATTTAGTGAAAGATTCAAGAGGGCAAAACCAAGAAAAAAAAAACAAAGCAAAAATATGAAATGGTATGTACAAGGGTTGGTGTTTGATACCTCAGTGCCCCCCAAAGAACTGGGAGGCAAGGTCGTGGTCTGGAGATGGGCAGACGGCCATCAGGGACACTCCACTCGACTGGGTTCGCCTCGCTCGATCGAGCTTGCTCTTGGCTCGATCGAGTTGTTCCTCGAGTTGGCGGATTTTCCTTCCTAAAACCTGTTCCTGCAAGACTTAGCTGAGAAACGAGAGATAAAAGATAAAAGAAATATATACAAGATAGACATGGGAATTCCTCCCAAGTGAGCTTGTTTTAGGTCTCATAGCTTGACCTTACCCCTTTTAGGCCGGGGTTGGATCTTGTAGAGGAGTGATGATCTCCTCTGTGGGGGTCATTCCTAGATATGGCTTGCATCTATGCCCATTCACTGTGAATTCCTTCCCCTCTTGATTGAGTAGAGTGAGGGATCCATAGGGCAAAACTTCGTGGATCTTGAATGGTCCCGCCCACTTTGACCTTAGCTTCCCGGGAAACAACCTTAGCTTGGAGTTATACAAGAGCACACTGTCCCCAGCCTTGAAGTCTTTAAGGCGAATCAGTTTGTCATGGGCTGCCTTTGTTCTCAACTTATAGATCAGGAGTTCTCATAGGCATTCATTCTGATTTCCTCCAACTCAAACAAGTTCATTACTCTTCTCTCTTGTGCTGCCTTTATATCAAAGTTCAGCATCTTCACTGCCCATAGTGCCTTGTACTCACCTCTACAGGTAAGTGACAATCCTTTCCATACAGCAAGTTGAAAGGGGACCTTCCAATGGGGGTTTTGTAAGCTGTTCTATAGGCCCAAAGAGCTTCATCAAGTCTTGTTGACCAATCCTTCCTAGTAAAGCTCACTGTCTTCTCAAGAATGGCCTTTATCTGCCTATTGGAGACCTCAACTTGCCCACTGGTTTGAGGATGGTAAGGTGTAGCGACCTTGTGCTTGACTCCATAACTCTTCATCAACTTCTCAAACACTTTATTGATGAAATGGGAACCTCCATCCGAGATAACAACCCTTGGGATGCCATATCTTGGAAAGATGATGGTTCTGAACAGTTTGATAACAACCTTAGCATCACAGGCTGGGCAGGGGATGGCTTCAATCCATTTGGACACATAGTCTACAGCACCAGAATGTAGTTGTGCCCGTTTGAGGAAGGCTTGAAAGGTCCCATGAAGTCTATTCCCCATACATCAAAGATCTCAACTTCCAGAATTGGGTTTAGTGGCATTTCATCTCTCTTGGTGATACTTCCTTTCCTTTGGCATGGATCACACTTTGCGATGTAAGCTTGCTGCATCTTTAAACAAGGTAGGCCACCACAACCCAGATTGCAGAACCTTGTTGCTGTTTTGAATGTAGCAAAGTGACCTCCATAAGCTGACCCATGGCAATGCTCTAGAACTCCTTGTACATCCTCTTCAGCTATGCATCTCCTGTAAATGCTGTCTGGTCCTCTCTTGTACAAGTAAGGCTCATCCCAATAGTAATGCCTAGCATCCTTGAAGAATTTCTTCCTCTTGTAAGCATCAAAGCTACTAGGGACTTCTCCGGACACCATGAAGTTCACTATATCAGCATACCATGGCAAATTCTCATCACGCAGAGCCTTAACTTCTTCCAGCCTGACTTTCTCATCAAAACTCTCCTTCAAGATCATGATTGCCATAAGCTGTTCTTCAGGCATAGAATCATTGATGGGGATCATGTCTTCAACTCGCATCCTAGAGAGATGATCAGCAACTCCATTTTCTACTCCCTTTTTGTCCACAACTTCTATGTCAAACTCTTGAAGCAAAAGGATCCATCTGAGAAGTCTTGGCTTTGTATCTTTCTTAGCGAAGATGTGCCTAAGGGCAGCATGGTCAGTGTGCACAATCACCTTGGACCCAACTATATAGCTTCGAAATTTCTCAAAGGCAAAGACTATGGCAAGGAGTTCCTTCTCTGTGGTTGCATACTTGCACTGAGCATCATCCATAGTCTTGCTTGCATAGTAGATGACATTGAGTTTCTTGTCTATCTTTTGGCCAAGCACTGCTCCTACTGCATAGTCAGATGCATCACACATAATCTCAAATGGGTGATCCCAGTTTGGAGCTTGAACTATTGGGGCAGATACCAGAGCATCCTTCAGCAAGGTCCAAGACTTGTGGCATTCTTCATCAAACTCAAAATCTGTCTCTTGCACAGAAGTCTTGTCAAGGGTCTTGCTATCTTTGAGAAATCCTTGATGAATCTTCTGTAGAACCCTGCATGACCCAGAAAACTCCTGATGTCCTTCACAGTCTTGGGAACAGGAAGCTGCAACATGACATCCACCTTAGCTCGATCGAGCTCGATCCCTTTCTCGGAAATCTTGTGTCCAAGCACAATCCCTTCTCGAACCATGAAGTGGCACTTCTCCCAGTTGAGTACTAGATTTGTCTCCTCACACCTCTGCAACACCCTGCACAAGTTAGACAAACATGAGGAGAAGGATGCTCCATAGACTGAGAAATCGTCCATGAAGACTTCTACCATCTCCTCTATCAGATCTGAAAAAATGGAGGTCATGCATCTCTGGAAAGTAGCTGGGGCATTGCACAGCCCAAATGGCATCCTTCGATAAGCAAAGGTACCATAAGGGCATGTGAAAGTGGTCTTCTCCTGATCATTAGGGTGGATCGGGATTTGGAAGAAACCACTGTAGCCATCAAGAAAACAATAAAAAGGATGGTTTGCCAATCTTTCTAACATCTGATCAATGAAAGGGAGAGGGAAATGATCCTTTCTAGATGCTGAATTTAACTTCCTATAGTCAATACACATGCGATGCCCCACTATTGTTCTAGTGGGAATCAGCTCCTCTTTGTCATTTTTAATGACAGTGATCCCCCCTTTCTTTGGGACGCAATGAACTGGAGATATCCAAGTGCTATCACTGATGGGATAGATTATCCCAGCATCAAGCAACTTGAGTATCTCTTTCTTCACTACTTCCTTTAGATTGGGGTTCAATCTCCTCTGAGGTTCAATGCTTGACTTACTTTCATCCTCTAGATGAATCCTATGGATGCATAGGTCAGGGGAGATGTAACCCCCCCGAACCGTCCTAGGCACAGACGTTCCGAGAAGCGCCACAAAATGTCGATGTTCGCCGAATAGGCCATCCCAGACTAAGAACAAATCAGAGCCCAGGTCAGCCCGTCCCACGAACTCGACCCTCTTGACCAAAGCCTAAGGCTTGCCAACCCGTACTTCGGTCAGGAGTTGTGTTAGCCCGGACCAAGCTAATATCATTGGAACATAAGGTCTTTACATAAAACTTTCCTTTATTAAAATATCAGAGTGCTTACAAAATCCGACTTATTTAAAAACATGCGGATCGATCCTTAGTTCCAAACCAAACAACAAACCATATTTTACAAAAACATACCACAAAACTATTCTGGCGCCTACTGCCTGCAGCGGTCCGCTCTACTTCACACCTCTACGGTTACCTGAAAACATTAAACAAAAGGAATGAGTAATCTAATATTACTCAGTGAGTCTAGGACCTCTATACAAGGGGGATTCCCTAAACTCCAAACACAAACGCCGCGGGCTTGTAACCCCGCCTGCACCTGCAATGAGGTTAGCACAACACAACATATGCAATCACATGCATATTGATGCCATAGTCTTAAGACTAACCGTACCCCAATCAAACAAGAACAGGTACGATCAATCCAAGACTATAACAACAATCAAACAAGCAATCTATATGCAATGCCCATGCAAACCTAGACAAGTATCTAATACTTGTTTTCTATATGCAATAAGGCGCCTAGGTGCATTAGCCACATTCTCTGCCCACGCCTGTGAAGGTTCACGCTCATCCGGAATCACACAGAAACTAGATGAACGCCTTCACCCGGGCACTACAGTCCATCGCGGTACCCGGTTCATCCTTCCATCTATTGGCCTTACTGGCGCACCATGCCAATGTCTGGTTGGATCCCATATCGTCATATGGTACCATACTCGGCCAAGGCAGCTGACCAGGTTATCCTCCGAGTCTTCCTCCCTTCATGCACAGCCTCCACGCTGCCAATCCGGTTGGGCTCTGACGTGCGAGAATGCGCTTGACTACACCTTCCTAGACAACATGTGGTTAGACACGCCACATGTTCTCAGTACTTAGCATATGGGCCTTTACGCACCACTATGCCTCATACCACCGGTTCTGCGGCAGAGCTTCCCTTGCCTCGGAAGAGTACCCACACGAACCTCGAAAGATCTGGCGGCTCAGCCGTCCGTGATCTTTCCACATCGGAGTCATACTCAACATATGGGCCTTACGCACCACCATGTTAGTATGCACTCGAGGTTTAGCGGCATAGCCATGCTATAACCCCACAACCGATGCATCTATGAGATTTGGCGGCATAGCCATCTGATCGCGGGATCAGGTCTTCCCCTTTCCTATCCCTGATTCTGCAAGTGCACAGGTCAGAAGTAGTAAACGGGTATCGAACACAAGGACCAGATTGCACACTACAAGTTATGAGTTTGAGAACAAGCTAGGGCAAAAGTATAAGTTGGTTGAGTGCAGAGAAAGTAAAGCATGCAAGTAATCAATAGTAAGCAATAGGATAGTCTTGAGATAAGCAATTCAAGAAGCATGAAATCAATCAATTAGGGTTACCGCACTTAGGTGCTAATCTAGAACTTGAAACACTATGGTATGATCATTCCACTGTCGAGGCTCCGACCCCTTTGTTAATCTACCTAGTCGCTAAACTTTTGGTATGTCCCTAGGTGATTAAATCAAGCATTAGTTCGATCAAGATCAATTGTTCACAACCTACAAGTAGATCAACTGTCGCAGTCTAAAAGAGATTGCCCACCAAATACTAGTTCAGGCGAATGATACAGCACTGTCGAGGCTCAAATCAACCTAAAGGCATATGCTAATTGGCCAGATTAACAACAAGCATTAAGTATAAGCAAAGATGGAGATTATAAGTAAAACCCTAATTGTGATCAATCATCAAGCATACATGAATGCTATCCTTTGACTTCCTATCACTTAACAAGTAAACTACTCAGACATAGAGAAGGAACACGAATTCATATTCATAAGAACAGAGATTCGAATCCTCTCTAGAAAGAGTAACAAGCAAGAACAAAGTAAAAGCAAGCAAAACTTTATTAAGATGTAAAATAGATGTGGTCTCTCTCCTTCTTGAGTTACAAGGCTAAAAAGAAGTATTTATAATGCTCTAAGTATGAAAAAGCGGCTAGACCTAATCTTGCTAGGTCGGCGCCGGCTTTGGGCTTGAATTGTGCGGATTGGGCTTCAAAAACGGCTTCGGGTCGACCGCGGCGTTCGGACGGTCGGTCGGGACGATCGGCCGGACAGTCGGGTCTTGGGCCGAGTCGGAACGGTCGTGGCCGGATGTTTCATGGTCGGCCGGCTTGGTCGGCGGAGAGATTTGGCCGATGGTTTCTCGGCCGGACGTGGGACGTTCTTTCCCGGCTCGGACGGATGCATCGGCCGTGGTACGTGAGGGTTGCGCGGCCGCGAGGCTTGTTTCCCGGCTCGCGCGCTGGTCGTGCGCGGCGTGGCGTGATTGGCTTGGCCGACCGCGGGACAATGTTTCCCGGGTCGTTGCGTGATCGGCCGGTCGGTTTGAACTTTGGCCGAGACTTCAGTCGGACGGATATAGCTTTGGCCGAGCGCGGAACATGCGTTCCTCGGCCAGCCGGACTGCGCGTTCGGGCGCTGATTCTCGATATAGCTGTCTGGAGCAGCCTTCACTCTTTTGGCTATAACTCCTTTTCTACTCATCCAAATGAAGGCCGTTCCAGTTGCGTTGGAAAGTTAACTCAATCAGAGCACGCAGGGAACTGGTCTTGATGAAATCCATTGAGTAGATCTTTTTCTAGCTTGATGATAGGATTTGTGTGTGGATGTGAAAAGATATGAAATGAGATGGTGGAATGCAATCAGTGGTATATGATGAGGTGGTAAGATGCAAACACAAACACAGTCAACAATTCCCTTTAACCATGATAGTTGATGTAGTACAAAGGGTTATCAATCCAAAATGGGAAACTTGTCACTCTTGAGAATATGAAACAACCAGGAAGTCAAGCAAGCAGTAAGATTTGAAGTAACACTAACAACCTAAAAAAATGAAAAGCAGTGCAATAAAAGTAAACAAAGCAGTGAAGTGTCAGCTCGACCAAGACTCGAGTCGAGTCAGACAAAGTACCAGCTCGATCGAGTTTAGGGACGAGTTGAGACAAACAAAGCTAAAGGTGACGACTTTAACAAGATAAAGAGAGAATTAGGGTTCAAGACAGGGTTTTGCAATCAAAGGAATCTACACTTAATCAATCTAGCTCTTAAAACTCCTTGTATCAAGGCTTCTCTTGATATTGGGCTTCTCAATGCCTAGCCAACCCTTTCCCAAGGTGGAGGCTATCAACCAAGGAATGATCTCAGAAACAGGGGGTTAGCCAGTGAGAATCAAACCTTGGAGGCTATAGGATCATTGCCCAAACTAATCCATCCAACCCCTTAGACCTCTATTGTCTAGAGCAAGAGATATTGGAGCTCTTAGTGGATCTTTTCCAGCGAATGCCATCACTTTCGTGTGGGGAGTCGCCTAAGGACTTACAAGCCAGGGGTAGTGGTCATGTAGCCTTAAGATCTATCCAAAAGAGAGAGAATCTAGATTAAGACCATAAGCTAGAAGGATTAAGCATATGAAACCTCTAATCTATCCCATCTCAAACCCTAATGGGTAACTACTCACTACACATGAATGTAAACACAAGCAAATGCAATAAAAGAGACATCATAAGAAAGAGGAGATGAAATTAAACAACTTTTATTGAAATAAGCAAGTGCAAATACAAAGAGAGATTATCCAGGATCTAGGATTCAAGAAGCAAGAGCTTCAAGAACACAAAGATGGGATTAGATCTCTAAAAAGTAAAAGACAATAAATTAAAAGAAACTAAAACAAAATAATCTAAAGCTTGGTGGTTTTTTCGTGGCTTAGAGCCTTTAAATACAAAGAGGATTAGGTTTAGGGTCAAAGGAAAGTCAAGGGGGAAGCAACATTTTTCGGGTTTGACTGTTGACTTCTCAGCTCGATCGAGTTGAAGCTTGGCCGGTCGAGTTGAGGAACTCGACCGGTTGGTCGAGTAGACGGTCGAGCTGGTCTTCAAGATGGCTTCTCCCTTCTTCCTTTGCGTATCCAGTTGAGCTGCTCCATGTGCCAAGTCCCTCCATGCTCCTCATGTCCCATATGCTCCAGAATGCTCCAAAAGACCTATTTCAAAGGACCAAACATGCATATGTATGCAAATGCAACCTAAAACTAACATGAATGCATAAGAAGAGAAAAGGAACAAGATATGATGCAAATGGAAGCTAAAACTATGCAAAAGATGCATAAAAGATGTGCTAAAACTATGTAAAATGCAAGTACATCAACACCCCCAAACTTGAACTTTGCTTGCCCTCAAGCAAACAAATAGAACAAGAAAGAGATGAGGTTTGAAAAAATTGAACACTTAAAAACATGTCCTCAAAAGCGATTTGCTAAATGTCCAACTTAGAGATTCTAGAATGCAACAAGGTGAGAGATATTCATTAAGATTTAACCATGCTTATCAACATCAATCCCACTTCACAGTCACTCAAACAATGCATTCAAATCAGCAAATCCCTTTAACATTCATTAAGCAAAAACAGTGAACCAAAAACATGCAAGATCAATCAACTCATTTGGTTTCAAGGGTTTATGGGTTAAGAGACAAAGAGGGTCTCTTTTGTATGGTGGTTTAGTAACAGGGATCTCTCAAGAAAGTGGCTTTGCTTTGGCAGAAGGCTAAGTGTTAGAACCAAAGATGATGCAAGAACAGCAGCTCGAGCCGCCTAATCCTAACTCGATCGAGTTCAACACTTAGAGCTTTTTAGAACAAAATCCTAACTACCCTTTTTGGCATTTCGCCTTTGAAACTGAGGAGCTTTGCTCACTTTTCTTTTAAGAACTTCCTAGGGAGAGGCTTCTTGAGGTAACATCTAGCGGTTTGGGATTTTCTAAACACTTAGGGAACTTTTCTTTCCTTTTTGGACACTTGAGGCTTTGCCTTCTTTTCATTCTACTTAGAACCCTTTTTACTTCCTTTTTTAACTTCCCAAACCTTTACTAGACCCTTTTTAACACTGCCAACTCCCTGGACTTAAACTCTTTTTCCTTTGGGTTTTTCCCAACTTTTACCACTTTTCTGGTTTTTACACCCAACTCGATCGAGCTCGAGTTGGCACCCCCAAACTTAGCCTGAAAACAATCCCAAGAGAACTAGACAACTAGAACTACTGCCCCTGCCGGTTTAAACACAACACCTTATGCTAAGCAAAGCCAAGAAAGGTTCTCACATTCGCACAAGAGATAATAATGGGGTTTGAAATGAAAAGGCTTAGGTTTAAGGTGTGGTAACTGTCTCAAAGATAGAGATCAGCTATCTGGACAAGCAAAAGGGATATGAAAAGGTAAAGAATGTCCAGATATGTATGTGGTAGCCATGAGTTGAAATCAAATGCAAGCATTGGTAATTAAAGATCAAGTTATGGTTCAAATAGATAGGGAAATGCATCAAATCACAGCAATGGTTGAATGAGATGTGCATGCAGTGATATGATCAAGATAAACATGGTTCTTGCTGCTCAATCAATCTCACCCTAATGCACAAAAGAATCTAAAAACAGGGCACTCAAGAAATCGCAAAAGATGGACAAGTTTTCAAAGTCAAATCAACAATGCAAGTGAAAAATGCAATCCTAAACAAGTCTAACAAATATGAATGCAAAAAGATGAAAATATTTTTGGATTTTTTGAAAATTTTATGATTTTTTTGGTTTTTCTATGCAAAAGATAAATGAAAAACTAAGAACAAAGAAAACAAGGTTAAATCATCTCTTGAACCCTCCCCCAAACTTAAATCACACAGTCCCTTGTGTGAGAAAAATTTAGTGAAAGATTCAAGAGGGCAAAACCAAGAAAAAACAAGAACAAATGCAAGAAAATATGAAATGGTATATACAAGGGTTGGTGTTTGGATACCTCAGTGCCCCCCAAAGAACTGGGAGGCTAGGTCGTGGTCTGGAGATGGTAGACGGCCATCAGGAGCACTCCACTCAACTGTCGTCACTCGATCGAGCTTGCTCTCCTCTTCCTCTTCCTCAAAGTGTGTGGCTCCTTGGCCTTGGTGGAGCTTGGCTAGCTCGTACTGTCCATAGGGGTTCCATCTACTGGGGAGTCCTGGTAAGGCTGGGATCGTACTCAAATCCCGGATCCTCGAACTGGGGCTCCTCCAGGTCAACTCGACCGTCAGCTCGATCGAGTTGAGTTTCCTCTGTTTGGACTCGATCGAGTCCGGTGGTCGAGCTGGAGCGTCTGGCCTTGGAAGTCTTCCTCCTTCTCTGCGTGTTGTCTTCTCCTTCCCTTGGCTCGAAAGAAGAGGCTCTGTGAGGCTCTTGGGCAGGGAGCCTCCTTGGAGTGGTGAGGAGTGATCTACTCCTAGGGAATGTGGGGGCCTTGGACTTCTTCTTCTTGCTTGAAGAACCAGAAACCTTCTTCTCCAAACTCTTGATCTTGCTCACCATCTTGTCCATGGACTTTTGCATCTTCTCAATGGCTTTCCCTTGCCATTTGTTGAACTTTTGGAGAAGTCCAATCCTCTTGTGGCAGCCACAACAGAGGGGTTCATCCTTGGAGCCTCATACTCCTCAAAGTAATAGCACTCAGGCTCACCCAAATCCGCACTTCCTGGCTGATCTTCAGCTCGAGACTCAGCTCGATCCTCAGCTCGACTCAGCTCGATCGAGCTCAGGCTCCTCTTCTCGCAAATCATCCTCATGCCCAACTAAGTGTACACAGGGGGTCTGAAGTCAATGTTCTCACCCCTTACTACTGTGGTGAGCTCTGGGTTGGGCAGGAGAAGCTTGGAGGGTCCAACCAATGGATGTGTGAACTTGAATTGGAATCTCCCATCCAACTCCTTGTGCTCAATGAGAAGGTTGGTCTTGCAAAACTTGATGTCCATCCAACCTGGTTCAGTGGCTCTCCTATCAGTTGGGTTCACTCCAGCAGCACACAAGATAGGGTGATGAGCCCTCCAACACTTAGCGCCTCCCTCGTTGATGCTAGTGTTGTAGGCTGTGATCTTGTAGGTAGGAGATGGTCAAGGAAAGGCATCAAGTTCCCTGTGTCAGATCTATCTCCCCTGATCCTCTTGCCATCGCTTGTGCGTGAGAGAAGGCTTGATTCCCATGTCAAGAAACTTGAGTTCCCCTCATTGATTGTCCCGGTCGCCTTCCTTGCAAAGAAGGTGTTGGCAAGTGCCTTGTGCACATACCTCAAGACTGGGCTCCTGATCTGAGCTGCCTTGGACCTTGAGGAAGAGTACCTCCATCAGCGATTGTAGCCCAAACCCTTTGGAGTTCCTTTTCCTTGAAGTTCCACTTGGTACCTTCTCCATAGTTGAACCCAAACAAGATTCCAAGCTGCCTAAAGGTCACCATTCTCTTCTCTCCCTTAGCCAAGAACGTGATCCATCCCAATCCTTGGTCCAAATCAGCTCTATCTTCCTCATCATACATGTGGTACCTCATTGAAGCTAAGAACTCGCAAGTGAGCTCCTTGTAGGATTCCATGTGATAAGAGAAAAGCTTGGCCAAGTGCATGTTCTTGAGACCAACTCCACATCCTCAAAGATTCCAAGGGCCTTCATTGTGTCAACATGTGGGTACTTGGTCTCCACAAAGTCCATGGAGAAGAGAGCATTGTAGTGCTCTTGGTACATGGGGAGTTCTTCTCCTCCTCTTGCTGCTCTTGTGGCTCAACCTCCTCCATGGCTCATCTTGGTTCCCCTCTTGTCATCTTCATCAACCAATTGGTTCACCTCTTCTCCTTCCTCTTCACTCTCAGTCTCATCACTCCTTCTTCATTTGGAGAACCATTTCCCTCCTCTTGAACAAGGTTCACTCCAATCTCAAACTCTCCTCATTCAATCTCTCACTCTCAGACTTTCCTCAGAGTAGACATATCCCTCTGCATCAGACTCTTCCATCCTCTGATCCATCCTCTTCAAATCGGCTTGCATCTTAAGCCTTCTTTCCCTTGCATTGCTTGATTCACCCTCAACCATTCTCCTCTGTGAAGCGCGACTTCCCTCACTGTTTGTCATCTTGTTACTGTTTCTTCACTAAAGTACCTGAAATGCATCAAAGATTACAAAGAATTAGAGTTGTAATGATCGGTTTGGTCAACTCGACACTCAGCTCGATCGAGTCAAAAAACTCGAGTGACAAACTCGATCGAGTTGGGTGAAAACAGAGTATAACCAAACCTAATTCAAGTATTAAGAGCTGGAAAGGATGCTAATCAATCAAATTGAACCAAGAACAACTAGTAAATGGAACAATGAGCAATTCTAGTGAAAGCATAAGCATCTTAACCAATACCAAACTCAAATTCAATCTTTCAAGCACATGCAACAAGTTTAAAGGCAAAACAGAGGTGAGGTGAAACAAACTAACAAGATTATACAGCAGAGGCGAAATATGAGGGCAATTACTCAAGAACAAGTCCACAAGGGACACATGCAATCAAAAATCAAAGAGAAAACAAGCAATAGTTGAAATCGAGATGGATGAATCAAGGGTTTTAGGGTTCATACCTTGTTGAATGATGGAATTGAAGAGCAGTAAACAAAACCCAAGCAAAACAAGATGAAGAACAAGAGAAATCGCAAAAACTAAGAGAGAGGATTGAAAATTCGATTTTTCTTGTGGTGAGAGAGAGATGAGTTTCAGAAATTTTAAGTGTGGGAGAGTGTAGGCTGTATCCTCCCCTTCTTTTAGAGCCCTTCCTAGTGGCTCATCAAACAAAGCTTGAAGGCTCTCTTCATCAAGCACACAAGGGGCTTGAACAAGTCTATCAGCTCTTGGCCTATCAGATCGTGGTTTCTCAACTCTAGCCCTCTCAAGACGTGGCTTCTCAATCCTTGGTCCTCTCTCATCCTTATCCTTCCCAACTCTTGGTTCCTTGTCAACCCTTTCCTTCACAACCTTTGTAGCTCCATGACTCTTAGAACTGAGATTGGTACTGTCAATTGTGGCACAAAAGTCTGAACCTCTAGGCTGCAAGCGATATGACACCAAACTATTCACCTTGTGAAGGATCACTTCTTGCTTGTGAAAGTCTATTGAAGCGCCAACTGTACTAAGGAAAGGGGTTCCCAATAACAGAGGCAAATCCTTCTCTTCTTCCATTTCCATCACAGTGAGATCAGTTTGGATGATGCATTCTCCAATTTTCAAGTGATAGTTCTTGAACACTCCAAGAGGAGACTTAGAAGTTGCATCTCCAAACATGATTGAAGTAGTAGGGCGCTGCAAGGCTCCAGCTATGCCTAGCTTCTCTGCCATGGAGAGAGAGATCAGATTGATGCTTGCTCCAGAATCCACTAAGGCATTGTCAATCTCAAGATGCCCAAGTGTGCAAGGGAGAGTGAATTTCCCTTGATCCTTGACCTTTGGTAGGAAGGTGGGTGAAGTAAGCAGGTTGAACTGATGAGTAGACTCTTGTAGGACCTCTGAAACTTTATCACTGTTGGCTAGAACATCCTTGACCATTTGCATTTGATCAAATGCCTCACTCATGCTATCCATAGGAGGCAACTCAATTCCAATCCCACTGAGATCTCTTCTGAACTTGTGAATCACTTCCTTGTGACCTTGACTAAGTAGGCGAGACGAGGAAGCGGCAACCGGTTGATAAGGATCAAGCAAAACAGGCTGTCGGACAGAAGAGGTCGGACTCGATCGAGCTAGAGTTGGACTCGATCGAGCTGCCGATCGAGCTTGTCGTGCGAGCTCAACTGGTGAAGTGTGAATGGCCACAGTAGGTGCATGCACTTCTGGTTGATCAATCTGGACTCCAGGAGCCTCAGCAGCAACAATCTCTTCATCATTCAGCAGTAAACAAAAATCTTCAATGACCCTTTCTTGATCCTCTTCTTCAACAAGTCCTTCTTGAGTGAAGATGACCTTGCACTGTTCCTTGGGGTTCTGAATAGCTTTACCAGGTAGTTGTCCTTGCTTTGTAGCAGCAGCAACAGAAGAAGCATGATTCTCCAGAGAGTAAACCCTTGTGTTGAGGTTCTCGATCTTAGAGTTTATTTCAGCTAGCTTCTTGCTTGTGTCCACTACCCCATCAGCTTGCCCTTGAAGTAGTTGCTTTAGCATTGCCTTGAGCTCATTCTCTTGTGAAGGTGCAGGCTGGGGCGGTTGGTGGGGGAAGCCTGGTGGGATATTCATTTGTTGTCCAGGGAAAGTGCCTTGTGGTCCTTGGTAATTGTTCTTTTGACCATACCCATGTTGTGGCACCTGACTCGATCGAGCTGCTTGTTGTTGAGGATATACTTGGTCCTGAGGGTTAGCAACATCAGTGTTGCGGTATGACATGGCAGGGTTGGACTTGTAGTTATAGTATCCTTTGTTGTAACCTCCTTGCCCATTGCTCATGTAGCACACCTCAGCAAATTGTGTATCCTCCCCTTCTTGGACTGGTTCCATCTCCTCAGCAGACACAAAGTTGACTTTCTTCATTGTGGACTGAGCTAGGATCAGCTTATCCAACTTCTCATTCAATGCCTTAACATCTTTTCTCAACTTTTCGTCTGACTCGATCGAGTGGTGGGTCGAGCTCCGGTTGGTGCGATCATACTCTTCTCCATAGCTTCCATTTGAGTTAGCTATGTTCTCCACAAGTTGCCAGCCATCATCTACATCCTGGTTGAGGAAGTTCCCATTGCTAGCTGTGTCTAGCATCTCCCTATACCTAGGCAAGCATCCTCTATAAAGAGTGGAGAGTAGTGATTCATTGTTGAATCCATGGTGTGGGCACTGACTTGTGTAGCCTTTGAACCTCTCCCAAGCCTCTGCGAATGTCTCATTGTTTCGCTGGATGAAGCTGGATATCTCTCCTCTAAGCTTGGCTGTGCGACCGGTGGAGAAAAACTTAGCAAGAAAGGCCTTCTTGCATTCATCCCAAGTGGTGATTGTGCCATGGGGCAAGCTCTTCTCCCATTGGTGAGCTTTGTCAGCTAGAGACATAGGAAAGAGTCTCAGCTTGATGGCATCTTCAGAGACACCATTGATCTTTGTCAAATCACAAAGCCTATCAAACTCATCAAGGTGGTCAATGGGGTCTTCACTTGGCAATCCATGGAACATCTTGTTCTGGACAAGGTTGATCATTCCCAGCTTGATCTCAAAGTTGTGGTTCTGCACTGGTGGTGGAACAATCCCTTGTCTCTGTTGGTGGCGGTTTGGAGCATCTCCTTGACCAATCGGTCGAGTTTGCCTAGCTCGACCGAGTCCATTCCCAAAGGGTTTCCATTCCCCTCTGGTACATCCATTGTATCAGCAACAAGCACCTCAGGTTCCTCTTGTACCCTCTGTGACCTCTGAACCCTCTTTCTACCCGTTGTAATGTCTAGCTCGACCAAGTCCTCTGTAGACCGACTCGATCGAGTTCGCATACACCTGCAAAAAGAGACAAAAACCCAGCAGTACAATAGAACAGGGGTGGTATAGCTTGATCGTCCAAGTGTGTTTGAAACTCAAATGCAACAAAAATATTCCCAAATCGGCAACGGCGCCAAATTGATGATAGGATTTGTGTGTGGATGTGAAAAGATATGAAATGAGATGAGTGGAATGCAAACAGTGGTATAAGATGAGGTGGTAAGATGCAAACACAAACACAGTCAACAATTCCCTTTAACCATCATAGTCATGTAGTAAAAGGGTTATCAATCCAAAATGGGAAACTTGTCACTCTATGAGAATATGAAACAACCAGAAAGTCAAGCAAGCAGTTAAGATTTGAAGTAACACTAACAACCTAAAAAAATGAAAAGCAGTGCAATAAAAGTAAACAAAGCAGTGAAGTGTCAGCTCGACCAAGAGCTCGAGTCGAGTCAGAGCAAAGTACCAGCTCGATCGAGTTTAGGGTCGAGTTGAGACAAACAAAGCTAAAGGTGACGACTTTAACAAGATAAAGAGAGAATTAGGGTTCAAGACAGGGTTTTGCAATCAAAGGAATCTACACTTAATCAATCTAGCTCTTAAAACTCCTTGTATCAAGGCTTCTCTTGATATTGGGCTTCTCAATGCCTAGCCAACCCTTTCCCAAGGTGAGGCTATCAACCAAGGAATGATCTCAGAAACAGGGGGTTAGCCAGTGAGAATCAAACCTTGGAGGCTATAGGATCATTGCCCAAACTAATCCATCCAACCCCTTAGACCTCTATTGTCTAGAGCAAGAGATATTGGAGCTCTTAGTGGATCTTTTCCAGCGAATGCCATCACTTCGTGTGGGGAGTCGCCTAAGGACTTACAAGCCAGGGGTAGTGGTCATGTAGCCTTAAGATCTATCCAAAAGAGAGAGAATCTAGATTAAGACCATAAGCTAGAAGGATTAAGCATATGAAACCTCTAATCTATCCCATCTCAAACCCTAATGGGTAACTACTCACTACACATGAATGTAAACACAAGCAAATGCAATAAAAGAGACATCATAAGAAAGAGGAGATGAAATTAAACAACTTTTATTGAAATAAGCAAGTGCAAATACAAAGAGATTATCCAGGATCTAGGATTCAAGAAGCAAGAGCTTCAAGAACACAAAGATGGGATTAGATCTCTAAAAAGTAAAAGACAATAAATTAAAAGAAACTAAAACAAAATAATCTAAAGCTTGGTGGTTTTTTCGTGGCTTAGAGCCTTTAAATACAAGAGGATTAGGTTTAGGGTCAAAGGAAAGTCAAGGGGGAAGCAACATTTTTCGGGTTTGACTTTGACTTCCAGCTCGATCGAGTTGAAGCTTGGCCGGTCGAGTTGAGGAACTCGACCGGTTGGTCGAGTGGACGGTCGAGCTGGTCTTCAAGATGGCTTCTCCCTTCTTCCTTTGCGTATCCAGTTGAGCTGCTTCCATGTGCCAAGTCCCTCCATGCTCCTTATGTCCCATATGCTCCAGAATGCTCCAAAAGACCTATTTCAAAGGACCAAACATGCATATGTATGCAAATGCAACCTAAAACTAACATGAATGCATAAGAAGAGAAAAGGAACAAGATATGATGCAAATGGAAGCTAAAACTATGCAAAAGATGCATAAAAGATGTGCTAAAACTATGTAAAATGCAAGTACATCATAGCTCCATCCAAAGTTGATGCAGGGGCATTGAACTGGTTTAGAGTCCAAATCTCCTGTTTTGCTCCATAATGCACCTTTTTACCTAAAATGACTCTTTGCACTATAAATCCATAAAAACTACCTTTTAACACAAGAATCCACTAGAAAACCATTAGAAAACCATAGTAAAATAGCATAAAAAGTAGGTAAAATAGAGGTATATCAACTCCCCCAGACTTAGATCTTTGCTTGTCCCCAAGCAAAAAGAATCTAAACTAGTGAAGAGGTTTTGAAAAACGTGGGAACTCCCTTGCTTCTTTGAAAATCCTGTGAAAGGTTCCTTTCCTGTATTCCACTAAGAACATAGAACATAAGGTTAGCTTCACATACACCCTGCAAGTTTAGCGAACAATACCAACCCAACTAGTCTCATCCAGCAATCCAAACTCTCTATTGCTAACCTCTTGCATAAATTTAAAACGTGAGTTCTTTATCAAGGGAAAATCGATCAATTGAACTTGTTCTTACCCACTTGATCTTCTCCAAGATTGTCTTTGAAGTGCAATGAGTTCCTTTTCCTCTCTCTTTCTCACATCAGAACTTTGAAAGGTCAATTTCTCCCTACTTTTCTAGGGTATCATTTTATTTTTTCTATTGACCTTTCTTTCAACCACAGGATAAGTCTTTAGCTTGTTCCTTGTTTGATTTAGGTATTCCATAAGACATGAAGGTACAGACATATGCATTCCTCATGCTTACTTGTTTTCCTTGTGCTCTTTGAGCTTTTCTCATAAACATTACTTACCATTTGGGATGGGAGAGAGAGGTGAACTCTTTAGACAAATCTCATTGAAAATCAAGCAAGGAACTGTCGACATGTATGCCAATCCCCTTGACAAGAGTTATTAAGATTGATTAAGGGTGAGGTTAACTCTAGATTGCTTGGTTACCTTAGAAATTTCGCTGAGCTAGCATGCCGATCCACTCTAGGAGCTTCTGTTAGGCTTGTGCCTTCAGCTGATGTTTGCTCTAGGGTCATAGATTGTTAGCATAACACTATCAAATCTCAAAGCAAGTTCATTGTTCCCGGACTGGTTTTGACTCAATAAAACAGAAGTTTTGAAAAAGTGGGTTAGGAAAAACCAATTATAAGATCAAAACAACCATGAACAAACACATTAGTACCGACAATCCCCCCAGACTTAACTTGCACCGTCCCGGTGAAAGAAAATCCAATTAAGGGAGTTAAAGAAAGAGGTAATAAAGTGGTTGTGAATGTAAAAAGAAAGATGTAACCTGATTTGTGTTACTTGAAGAATGGTGAATGCAGTGGAATGATGGTAGTGATGGAATGCAAGTGTGGTGAGGTGGGATGGGTGAGATGCAGATGGAATGAGATGGGATGGTGTGTTGGGCGGCTTGAGAGGACATGGGCGAGCGTGGAGAGGTTCTGCTCGGCCATCAAAGTCGCGCCAACTATGAACATTCTTCTTGTGGTATATCTTCTTTACCATTGTGTGGTTCTTAGATTCCTGTATCCAAAACTCAAAACAAAACTAGACATTAACTAAAACTAATTGAAAAGAAAAGTAAAGAAAAACACCTTTCATGGGTTGCCTCCCATGCAGCGCTTCTTTTAGTCATTAGCTTGACTGATAGGATCTCTTAGTTGGAGATGGGGTAAGGGCACGGCCTGAGACATAGTCTTTTAGTTCTTGTCTCATTGTGACCTTGAGTGTGGTCTGGTGGCTCTCTTGGGCGGCCTTGGGCAGTGATGAGGTAAGACAGCTTGTTTGGTGTGATGAATGGTATGGTCTTGTAAAAGACTGTCTTGTCACATTGGCTAAGGACATTCGCCGGTTTGGAAGGTCCATGACAGCTCCAGCAGTGGCCAAAAAGGGTCGGCCTAGTATCAATGGTGTGTCACATCCTCCTTGAATGTTTATGACATGAAAGTCCACCGGGATCTTGATATCTCCAATCTCTAGAAGAACATCAATAACAACTCCTCTTGGCTTGGCTATAGTATGGTTAGCAAGTCCAATACTAATTTGAGCAGGTTGCAAGCGTGTGATGCCAAGGAGTTTGGCGGTTTGGGTTGGCATGAGGTTTATGCAAGAGCCAGAATCGCATAGTGTTCTATCAAAGTAATGACCATTTACTTGACAGGGAATAGAGAATTGACCTGGGTCTTCAATCTTGTAGAGGGTCTTGAAGGTGGCTGAACTTTAGCTTTCTCAAAAAGCTCTTTTATGTCCTCAGGTGTCTCCTTGCAGTTGTGGAAGAAGGTGGTGAATGGGTAGTGGCGCCAAGCTTGTTTGAAAGACATGCTGGCTGGAAGAGTTTGGACAAACTGATTGAACTCAGCAAGCTTCTCTCTTGATATGGAATTGACATACCACTGGGTGGTGGTGATGATGGTGGTGATGGTGGTTGATTGACTCCATGAGGGGCAAGGGAAATCGAGCTTTCCTGAAAAGTTGGTGTATCTCTTCTTTGTTTTCACTAGTTGTGAAAAAGAACTCCACTAGATCATGTTTATCCCAAGCTTCTTCAAAAGTGACATAGAATGGAAGTGATTTCACCTTAGCATTGAACTCTTTAAGCTTCATGGGGCTTATCTTGTTGGGATCAATGGGATCATATTGCCAAGTGTCTTCTTCTTCAGTAGGTGGTGATGGTCTTTGCATTGCTTCCAATCTTGGAAGTGTAGAAGCTTGACTTCTTGGTGAGAAACGAGGGTCTCTAGGGCTTGGTGTATCCATGCTCTGTTTTGGGGAAGCATTGATGTCGATGCTCTGCTCTTCATCTTCATCATTCAATTGTTCCTCATACTCTCTTTCTTCTTCTTCATTGTCCTTCATGGACTTGAGTAGTGCTTCTTCTTGTGATGGCATTGCAATAAAAGGGAGGGTGGTTGGGTGTTGGACTCCTCTCTCTCTTGTAATTGGCATGAGATGATCCTTCAAGGGCTTGTAGGCGGTTGTAGATTGATCCAAGATGCTTGCTATTGCCATAGCTAGTATCTTCAATTCTCATGCTCTTGTTCAGCAACTCTTGATATTTGGAAGCAACATCAAGCTTAACTAGGGTCAAAGATCGATCATGATCCTCTCTTAACTTCTTAATGTCTTCATCAAGCTTGATCACTTGCTTGAATAGGACTTCAGATTTGTTTCCAAGGCTCTCATGGATGAAATCGATTCTTCTCTCCATCTTCTTTGTACTCTCATCTTGATTTCTCAAGTACTCTTGAAGCATATCTTCAATCTTGGTTAGGCGCGCAGCTTGGTAGCTCTCCCTTGGGAAAAATGTGTCTTGTTTATGTCTGGTGATGATGGATGGTATTGTGAATAGCTTGGGCGTGGTGGTGGGACATAAAATGACCTTTATCAAATCTGTGAAGGAAAGCTCCTTTGTATCCATTCCAAGTCTTGAAAGCATGTTGGGCATTGAACTTAGCCCAGTCTTTGGCTTGTCCAGCTAGAGATAGTTGGAAAAGTTGTATCTTCTTGGGGTTGTCTCCAAGTCCATAGTCATGGCAAAGCTGCTCAAAGTTGCATAGATGCTCCTTTGCACATTCTGATAATTGTAGAAAGGATTCCTCTCCACATGCTTGATTAGCTCTTCATTCAAAACTTCAGGATGAGGTGGTATGCCTCCCCATTCTTCTTCATCACGCTCTCTTCCAGCTGATGAGAGTAGTGGTGGTACTTGGATTTGAAAGGTGGCTTCTTTGCAAACCTTTCCAAGAAAGCATCTCTAAAATCGATCCATGACTCGATTCTAGATGGTGGTTCATGCTGCGCCCAATCTAGTGCTGGTCCAGCTAGTGATGTGCTGAATAGCATCATCTTCTTCTCAAAGTCAAAAACTCCATAGGAATCACAAAGGTTGTCAAAGTGATCTATGTGCTCCAGCGCATACTCTGAAAACAGATCATGGAATTGATCTCTCTTCACGAACTCGATCAGCTCAGGGTTAATCTCCTCTTCTGGTGTGGCTAGAAGGTNTTGAACTTAGCCCAGTCTTTGGCTTGTCCAGCTAGAGATAGTTCGAAAAGTTGTATCTTCTTGGGGTTATCTCCAACTCCATAGTCGTAGCAAAGCTGCTCAAAGTTGCATAGATGCTCCTTTGCACACTCTGAAGTAGAATTGTAGAAAGGGTTCTCTCCACATGCTTGATTAGCTCTTCAAGATGAGGGTGGTATGCCTCCCCATTCTTCTTCTCACGCTCTCTCTCCAGCTGATGAGAGTAGTGATTGTACTTGGATTTGAAAGGTGGTAGCCTTGCAAATCTCTTCAAGAAAGCTTCTCTAAAATCGATCCATGACTCGATTGTAGAGAGTGGCTCATGCTGCGCCCAATCTAGTGCTGGTCCAGCTAGTGATGTGCTGAATAGCATCATCTTCTTCTCAAAGTCAAAAACTCCATAGGAATCACAAAGATTATCAAAGTGATCTATGTGCTCCAGCGCATACTCTGAAAACAGATCATGGAATTGATCTCTCTTCACGAACTCGATCAGCTCAGGGTTAATCTCCTCTTCTGGTGTGGCTAGAAGGTGTTCTTCTCTGTAAGATGCGGCTTGGCTAGATGTCTCCAGGTCGGCTGCTTCAAGGTAGGGAAGAAGTTTCTTCTTTGTCTTCAAGGAGGATAGTTTTGGAGGACTATCCCAAGAAGGTGGTGGTGCTTGAGGGCTTGACATCTCTTGTTCGTCCAAGAGGTTTCTTTGAGGTGGTATTTGGCGAAGTGGAATCGCCTTTATAGGAACAAGGACTTGTGAATCCTTCTTCCATATCTAACTAGGAAAACCTGAAAAAGCAAAAACAAAAAGGAAAAACCAAATCAAAAGGAAAAGGAAAATAACAAAACTAAAAAGGAAAAAGATAAAACCCTAGACTAGCTCTCTTGCAAGAACTTGTAGGTGACGAATTGGTCCCCGGCAACGGCGCCAAAAACTTGATCGCGGGATCAGGTCTTCCCCTTTCCTATCCCTGATTCTGCAAGTGCACAGGTCAGAAGTAGTAAACGGGTATCGAACACGAGGACCAGATTGCACACTACAAGCTATGAGTTCGAGATCGAGCTAGGGCAAAAGTATAAGTTTGGTTGAGTGCAGTAGAAAGTAAAGGCATGCAAGTAATAAATAAGATCAATAGGAGAGAAAGGGCTAAGCAATAGGATAGTCTTAAGATAAGCAATTCATGAAGCAAGAAATCAATCAATTAGGGTTACTGCAATTAGGTGCAATCTAGAACTTGAAACACTATGGTATGATCATTCCACTGTCGAGGCTCCGACCCCTTTGTTAATCTACCTAGTCGCTAAACTTTTGGTATGTCCCTAGGTGATTAAATCAAGCATTAGTTCGATTAAGTTCAATTGTTCACAACCTACAAGTAAATCAACTTTCGCAGTCTAAAAGAGGTTGCCCACCAAATACTAGTTCAGGCGAATGATACAGCACTGTCGAGGCTCAAATCAACCTAAAGGCATATGCTAATTGGCCAGATTAACAACAAGCATTAAGTATAAGCAAAGATGGAGATTATAAGTAAAACCCTAATTGTGATCAATCATCAAGCATACATGAATGCTATCCTTTGACTTCCTATCACTTAACAAGTAAACTACTCAGACATAGAGAAGGAACACGAATTCATATTCATAAGAACAGAGATTCGAATCCTCTCTAGAAAGAGCAACAAGCAAGAACAAAGTAAAAGCAAGCAAAACTTTATTAAAGATGTAAAATATATTGTGGTCTCTCTCCTTCTTGAGTTACAAGGCTAAAAAGAAGTATTTATAATGCACTAAGTATGAAAAAGCGGCTAGACCTAATCTTGCTAGGTCGGCGCCGGCTTTGGGCTTGATTGTGCGGATTGGGCTTCAAAAACGGCTTCGGGTCGACCGCGGCGTTCGACGGTCGGTCGGGACGATCGGCCGGACAGTCGGGTTGTGGCCGAGTCGGAACGGTCGTGGCCGGATGATTTAACGGTCGGCCGGTGTGGTCGGACGGATTGATGGAATGGCCGATGGTTTCTCGGCCGGACGCGAGGGAACCATCGGACGTGCGTGCGCGAGATAGGTTGCGCGGCCGCGAGGCTTTGTTTCCCGGCTCGCGCGGCATGGTCGTGCGCGGCGAGGCGTGGACGGTTGGCGTGGCCGACCGCGGGTCTTAGTTTCCCGGGTCGTGATGCGTGATCGGCCGAACGGTTTTGAACTTTGGCCGAGACTTCAGACGGACGGACGCAATTTTGGCCGAGCGCGGAACATGCGTTCCTCGGCCAGCCGTTCTGCGCGGTTTGGGCGTCGATTCTCGATAGATCGGCTTTGGACAGTCTTCGCTCTTTTGGCTATAAGTCCTTTTCTACTCATCCAAATGAGGCCGTTCCAGTTGCGTTGGAAAGTTAACTCAATCAGAGCACGCAGGGAACTGTCTTGATGAAATCCATTGAGTAGATCGTTTTCTAGCTCCATCCAAAGTTGATGCAGTGGCATTGAACTGGTTTAGAGTCCAAATCTCCTGTTTTGCTCCATAATGCACCTTTTTACCTAAAATGACTCTTTGCACTATAAATCCATAAAAACTACCTTTTAACACAAGAATCCACTAGAAAACCATTAGAAAACATAGTAAAATAGCATAAAAAGTAGGTAAAATAGAGGTATATCAGTGGTGGTGATGATGGTGGTGATGATGGTTGATTGACTGCATGAGGGGCAAGGGGAAATCGTGCCTTCCTGAAAAGTTGGTGTATCTCTTCTTTGTTTTCACTAGTTGTGAAAAAGAACTCCACTAGACCATGTTTATCCCAAGCTTCTTCAAAAGTGACATAGAATGGAAGTGATTTCACCTTAGCATTGAACTCTTTAAGCTTCATGGGGCTTATCTTGTTGGGATCAATGGGATCATATTGCCAAGTATCTTCTTCTTCAGTAGGTGGTGATGGTCTTTGCATTGCTTCCAGTCTTGGAAGTGTAGAAGCTTGACTTCTTGGTGTTGGTGAGAAACGAGGGTCTAGGGCTAGGTGTATCCTGCTCTGTTTTGGAGAAGCATTGATGTCGATGCTCTGCTCTTCATCTTCATCATTCAATTGTTCCTCATACTCTCTTTCTTCTTCTTCATTGTCCTCATGGACTTGAGTAGTGCTTCTTCTTGTGATGGCATTGCAATAAAAGGGAGGGTGGTTGGGTGTTGGACTCCTCTCTCTCTTGTAATTGGCATGAGATGATCCTTCAAGGGCTTGTAGGCGGTTGTAGATTGATCCAAGATGTTTGCTATTGCCATAGCTAGTATCTTCAATTCTCATGCTCTTGTTCAGCAACTCTTGATATTTGGAAGCAACATCAAGCTTAACTAGGGTCAAGATCGATCATGATCCTCTCTTAACTTCTTAATGTCTTCATCAAGCTTGATCACTTGCTTGAATAGGACTTCAGATTTGTTTCCAAGGCTCTCATGGATGAAATCGATTCTTCTCTCCATCTTCTTTGTACTCTCTTCTTGATTTCTCAAGTACTCTTGAAGCATATCTTCAATCTTGGTTAGGCGCGCAGCTTGATAGCTCTCCCTTGGGAAAAGTGGTGTCTTGTTTATGTCTGGTGATGATGGATGGTGTTGTGAATAGCTTGGGCGTGGTGGTGGGACATAAATAGGACCTTTATCAAATCTGTGGAGGAAAGCTTCCTTTGTATCCATTCCAAGTCTTGAAAGCATGTTGGGCATTGAACTTAGCCCATTCTTTGGCTTGTCCAGCTAGTGATAGTTGGAAAAGTTGTATCTTCTTGGGGTTGTCTCCAAGTCCATAGTCGTGGCAAAGCTGCTCAAAGTTGCATAGATGCTCCTTTGCACATTCTGAAGTAGAATTGTAGAAAGGATTCCTCTCCACATGCTTGATTAGCTCTTCATTCAAAACTTCAGGATGGGGTGGTATGCCTCCCCATTCTTCTTCATCACGCTCTCTCTCCAGCTGATGAGAGTAGTGGTGTACTTGGATTTGAAAGGTGGCTTCCTTGCAAATCCTTTCCAAGAAAGCTTCTCTAAAATCGATCCATGACTCGATTGTAGAGGTGGTTCATGCTGCGCCCAATCTAGTGCTGGTCCAGCTAGTGATGTGCTGAATAGCATCATCTTCTTCTCAAAGTCAAAAACTCCATAGGAATCACAAAGATTGTCAAAGTGATCTATGTGCTCCAGTGCATACTCTGAAAACAGATCATGGAATTGATCTCTCTTCACGAACTCGATCAGCTCAGGGTTAATCTCCTCTTCTGGTGTGGCTAGAAGGTGCTCTTCTTGGTGTGATGCGGCTTGGCTAGACGTCTCCAGGTCGGCTGCTTCAAGGTAAGGAAGAAGTTTCTTCTTTGTCTTCAAAGTGGATGGTCTTGGAGGACTATCCCATGAAGGTGGTGGTGCTTGAGGGCTTGAACATCTCTTGTTCGCTCAAGAGGTGCTTTGAGGTGGTATGTGGCGAATTGGCATCGCCTTTATAGGGGAAGAGGCTTGTGGCTCCTTCTCCATATCTAACTAGGAAAACCTGAAAAGCTAAAAACAAAAAGGAAAAACCAAATCAAAGAAAAAAGGAAATCTAACAAAAACAAAAAGGAAAAGATGAAACCCTAGACTAGCTCTCTTGCAAGAGCTTGTAGGTGCGAATTGGTCCCCGGCAACGGCGCCAAAAACTTGATCGCGGGATCAGGTCTTCCCCTTTCCTATCCCTGATTCTGCAAGTGCACAGGTCAGAAGTAGTAAACGGGTATCGAACACAAGGACCAGATTGCACACTACAAGTTATGAGTTTGAGAACAAGCTAGGGCAAAAGTATAAGTTGGTTGAGTGCAGAGAAAGTAAAGCATGCAAGTAATAAAGAAAGTGAGAATTCAATAGGAGAGAAAGGCTAAGCAATAGGATAGTCTTGAGATAAGCAATTCAAGAAGCATGAAATCAATCAATTAGGGTTACCGCACTTAGGTGCTAATCTAGAACTTGAAACACTATGGTATGATCATTCCACTGTCGAGGCTCCGACCCCTTTGTTAATCTACCTAGTCGCTAAACTTTTGGTATGTCCCTAGGTGATTAAATCAAGCATTAGTTCGATCAAGATCAATTGTTCACAACCTACAAGTAGATCAACTGTCGCAGTCTAAAAGAGATTGCCCACCAAATACTAGTTCAGGCGAATGATACAGCACTGTCGAGGCTCAAATCAACCTAAAGGCATATGCTAATTGGCCAGATTAACAACAAGCATTAAGTATAAGCAAAGATGGAGATTATAAGTAAAACCCTAATTGTGATCAATCATCAAGCATACATGAATGCTATCCTTTGACTTCCTATCACTTAACAAGTAAACTACTCAGACATAGAGAAGGAACACGAATTCATATTCATAAGAACAGAGATTCGAATCCTCTCTAGAAAGAGTAACAAGCAAGAACAAAGTAAAAGCAAGCAAAACTTTATTAAGATGTAAAATAGATTGTGGTCTCTCTCCTTCTTGAGTTACAAGGCTAAAAAGAAGTATTTATAATGCTCTAAGTATAAGAAAGCGGCTAAACCTAATCTAGCTAGGTCGGCGCCGGCTTTGGGCTTGAATTGTGCGGATTGGGCTTCAAAAACGGCTTCGGGTCGACCGCGGCGTTCGGACGGTCGTCGGTCGGCCGGATCGGGTCTATCGGAACGGTCGGCCGGCGTGGTCGGGCGGATGGAATTTGGCCGATGGTTTCTCGGCCGGACGTGGGACGTCTTCCCGGCTCGGACGGATGCATCGGCCGTGGTACGCGAACGGGTTGCGCGGCCGCGAGGCTTGTTCCCGGCTCGCGCGGCTGGTCGTGCGCGGCGTGGCGTGACGTGTGTGGCTTGGCCGACCGCGGGCAATTTTCCCGGGTCGTGCGTGTGATCGGCCGGTGGTTGAACTTTGGCCGAGACTTCAGTCGGACGGATATGACTTTGGCCGAGCGCGGAACAATCGTTCCTCGGCCAGCCGGTCTGCGCGGTTCGGCGCTGATTCTCGATAGAGCCGTCTGGAGCAGCCTTCACTCTTTTGGCTATAACTCCTTTTCTACTCATCCAAATTAGGCCGTTCCACTTGCGTTGGAAAGTTAACTCAATCAGAGCACGCAGGGAACTGGTCTTGATGAAATCCATTGAGTAGATCTTTTTCTAGCTCCATCCAAAGTTGATGCAGGGGCATTGAACTGGTTTAGAGTCCAAATCTCCTGTTTTGCTCCATAATGCACCTTTTTACCTAAAATGACTCTTTGCACTATAAATCCATAAAAACTACCTTTTAACACAAGAATCCACTAGAAAACCATTAGAAAACCATAGTAAAATAGCATAAAAAGTAGGTAAAATAGAGGTATATCAATCATCACCGGACATAAATCAGACACCTCTTTTTGGTGAGGAGAGTTCACAAGCCTCGCGCCAAACCGATATTGAAGAGATGCTTCAAAGATACTTGAAGAATCAATACGAGAGTACAAAGAAGATGGAGAGGAGAATTGATTTCATTCATGAGAGTCTTGGAAACAAATCTGAAGTCCTATTCAAGCAAGTGATCAAGCTTGATGAAGACATAAATAAGCTTAGAGAAGACCATGATCGATCTCTAAACCTTGTTAAACTTGATGTTGCTGCCAAGTATCAAGAGTTGCTTAACAAGAGCATGAGGATTGAAGACACTAGCTATGGGAATAGCAAGCACCTTGGATCGATCTACAACCGTGATACGCCCCTGGAATAGATCGGCTTGAAAGTTAAGTGTAAGGATGGATTGATTCACAAAGGAACCAATGATGGATGAAAGATGAATGGAAAATGGTGAATGGATCGAGTGGCTATACTAGAGAACCCGCGGAATTGGAACTCTAACACCACCTTCGACTTGTTGATATTACACACAACAAGTGAAAGGAAAATCTGTGGACTTAGTTGATATTACGCACAACAAGTGAACAGATGAATGATCAAACATAAAGAGAGGTTTTGATTTAAAATGATTGATAAGTTTCAAAGAGAGAAAGGTTTCAGTTTTAAAGGAAAACGAGAGAGAGATGGGAAGAGGAAGAGATGTTGGAACAGGCTCCAAACATCTCGAGAACACACCAAAAAATAAATGAAACAAGACTGAAAATAAGACCCTTCGGCTTCTGGCGCTTCCATTCAAAAACATGGGCCGGATCTTCACTCATGAGATAAAAGAGAGAATTGGAAGTGTGCTTTGGGCCTCGTTAAAAACCTTGTCAAGAAAACCCATAGGGACAAAACTTGACAAGGGAAAAAGAGCACACCAAAAACACACCTGTCTCTTTATCCCATTTGTAAGGCCTTCAAGCAAACTAGAGTAGTTGGCTTGGTTTCTTGCTGACTCAAACAGCTAAGGACTTTGCCAATCACTTGGTTTAGTGCCTTAATGGTGAACGGGTGATTGGGCCACTTGGCAAGGCCATACTCTCCTCAGGTACAAGCTGCGCGGCTTCAAGTCCTTCCTCGGCCAAGAGCTGCTCCATTCCATCTTCTTCCTCGGCTACAAGCTGCTCGGCCTGAACCTCCTTGTCCATGATCGCATCAAACCGCCTACAAGCCCTTGAAGGATCATCTCACTCCAAGTACAAGAGAGAGAGGAGTCCAACACCCAACCACCCTCCCTTTTTGCAATGCCATCACAAGAAGAAGCACTACTCAAGTCCATGAGGACAATGAAGAAGAAGAAAGAGAGTATGAGGAACAATTGAATGATGAAGATGAAGAGCAGAGCATCGACATCAATGCTTCCCCAAAACAGAGCATGGATACACCTAGCCCTAGAGACCCTCGTTTCTCACCAAGAAGTCAAGCTTCTACACTTCCAAGATTGGAAGCAATGCAAAGACCATCCACCTACTGAAGAAGAAGATACTTGGCATATGATCCCATTGATCCCAACAAGATAAGCCCCATGAAGCTTAAAGAGTTCAATGCTAAGGTGAAATCACTTCCATTCTATGTCACTTTTGAAGAAGCTTGGGATAAGCATGGTCTAGTGGAGTTCTTTTTCACAACTAGTGAAAACAAAGAAGAGATACACCAACTTTTCAGGAAGGCACGATTTCCCATTGCCCCTCATGCAGTCAATCAACCACCATCACCACCATCATCACCACCACCTGTGGTATGTCAATTCCATATCAAGAGAGAAGCTTGCTGAGTTCAATCAGTTTGTCCAAACTCTTCCAGCCAGCATGTCTTCCAACAAGCTTGGCGCCACTACCCATTCACCACCTTCTTCCACAACTGCAAGAGACACCTGAGGACATAAAGAGCTTTTTGAGAAAGCTAAAGTTCAGCCTACCTTCAAGACCCTCTACAAGATTGAAGACCCAGGTCAATTCTCTATTCCCTGTCAAGTAAATGGTCATTACTTTGATAGAACACTATGCGATTCTGGCTCTTGCATAAACCTCATGCCAACCCAAACCGCCAAACTCCTTGGCATCACACGCTTGCAACCTGCTCAAATTAGTATTGGACTTGCTAACCATACTATAGCCAAGCCAAGAGGAGTTGTTAGTTGATGTTCTTCTAGAGATTGGAGATATCAAGATCCCGGTGGACTTTCATGTCATGAACATTCAAGGAGGATGTGACACACCATTGATACTAGGCCGACCCTTTTTGGCCACTGCTGGAGCTGTCATGGACCTTCCAAACCGGCGAATGTCCTTAGCCAATGTTGACAAGACAGTCTTTTACAAGACCATACCATTCATCTCACCAAACAAGCTGTCTTACCTCATCACTGCCCAAGGCCGCCCAAGAGAACCACCAGACCACACTCAAGGTCACAATGAGACAAGAACTAAAAGACTATGTCTCAGGCCGTGCCCTTACCCCATCTCCAACTAAGAGATCCTATCAGTCAAGCTAATGACTCAAAAAAGCGCTGCATGGGAGGCAACCCATGAAAGGTGTTTTTCTTACTTTTCTTTTCAATTAGTTTTAGTTAATGTCTAGTTTTGTTTTGAGTTTTGGATACAGGAATCTAAGAACCACACAATGGTAAAGAAGATATACCACAAGAAGAATGTTCATAGTTGGCGCGACTTGATGGCCGAGCAGAACCTCTCCACGCTCGCCCATGTCCTCTCAAGCGCCCAACACACCATCCCATCTCATTCCATCTGCATCTCACCCATCCCACCTCACCACACTTGCATTCCATACTCTACCATCATTCCACTGCATTCACCATTCTTCAAGTAACACCAAATCAGGTTACATCTTTCTTTTTACATTCACAACCACTTTATTACCTCTTTCTTTAACTCCCTTAATTGGATTTTCTTTCACCGGGACGGTGCAAGTTAAGTCTGGGGGGATTGTCGGTACTAATGTGTTTGTTCATGGTTGTTTTGATCTTATAATTGGTTTTTCCTTACCCACTTTTTCAAAACTTCTGTTTTATTGAGTCAAAACCAGTCCGGAACATGAACTTGCTTTGAGATTTGATAGTGTTATGCTAACAATCTATGACCCTAGAGCAAACATCAGCTGAAGGCACAAGCCTAACAGAAGCTCCTAGAGTGGATCGACATGCTAGCTCAGCGAAATTTCTAAGGTAACCAAGCAATCTAGAGTTAACCTCACCCTTAATCAATCTTAATAACTCTTGTCAAGGGGATTGGCATACATGTCGACAGTTCCTTGCTTGATTTTCAATGAGATTTGTCTAAAGAGTTCACCTCTCTCTCCCATCCCAAATGGTAAGTAATGTTTATGAGAAAAGCTCAAAGAGCACAAGGAAAACAAGTAAGCATGAGGAATGCATATGTCTGTACCTTCATGTCTTATGGAATACCTTATCAAACAAGGAACAAGCTAAAGACTTATCCTGTGGTTGAAAGAAGGTCAATAGAAAAAATAAAATGATACCCTAGAAAAGTAGGGAGAAATTGACCTTTCAAAGTTCTGATGTGAGAAAGAGAGAGGAAAAAACTCATTGCACTTCAAAGACAATCTTGGAGAAGATCAAGTGGGTAAGAACAAGTTCAATTGATCGATTTTCCCTTGATAAAGAACTCACGCTTTAAATTTATGCAAGAGGTTAGCAATAGAGAGTTTGGATTGCTGGATGAGACTAGTTGGGTTGGTATGTTCGCTAAACTTGCAGGGTGTATGTGAAGCTAACCTTATGTTGACTATGTTCTTAGTGGAATACAGGAAAGGAACCTTTCACAGGATTTTCAAAGAAGCAAGGGAGTTCCCACGTTTTTCAAAACCTCTTCACTAGTTTAGATTCTTTTGCTTGGGGACAAGCAAAGATCTAAGTCTGGGGGAGTTGATATACCTCTATTTTACATGCTATTTTACTATGGTTTTCTAATGGTTTTCTAGTGGATTCTTGTGTTAAAAGGTAGTTTTTATGGATTTATAGTGCAAAGAGTCATTTTAGGTAAAAAGGTGCATTATGGAGCAAAACAGAGGATTTGGACTTCTAAACCAGTTCAATGCACAGCATCAACTTTGGATGGAGCTAGAAAAAGATCTACTCAATGGATTTCATCAAGACCAGTTCCCTGCGTGCTCTGATTGAGTTAACTTTCCAACGCAACTGGAATGGCTCATTTGGATGAGTAGAAAAGGAGTTATATCAAAAGAGTGAAGACTGGTCCAGACGGCCTATCGAGAATCGCGCCCGAAGCCGCGCACGGCCGGCCGAGGAACGAACGTTCCGCGCTCGGCCAACCGATATCGTCCGTGTCCGCCAATCCACGGCCGATCCCACGTACGACCCGGGAAACATCGTCCCGCGGTCGGCCAACCACTTCAACGCCACCGCGCACGACCGCGCGCGAGCCGGGAAGGCAAGCCTCGCGGCCGCGCACAACCATGTACCGCGGCCGATCCATCCGTCCGACCGGAAGCTCGTCCCCGTCCGGCCGAGACATCGGCCAAATCTTCCATCCGTCCGACCCCGCGGCCGACACGAAACATCCGGCCACGACCGTTCCGACTCGGCCACACGACCCGACTGTCCGGCCGATCGTCCCGACCGACCGTCCGAACGCCGCGGTCGACCCGAAGCCGTTTTTGAAGCCCAATCCGCACAATTCAAGCCCAAAGCCGGCGCCGACTAGCTAGATTAGGTCTAGCCGCTTTTCATACTTAGTGCATTATAAATACTTCTTTTTAGCCTTGTAACTCAAGAAGGAGAGAGACCACAATATTTTACATCTTTAATAAAGTTTTGCTTGCTTTTACTTTGTTCTTGCTTGTTCTCTTTCTAGAGAGGATTCGAATCTCTGTTCTTATGAATATGAATTCGTTTCCTTCTCTATGTCTGAGTAGTTTACTTGTTAAGTGATAGGAAGTCAAAGGATAGCATTCATGTATGCTTGATGATTGATCACAATTAGGGTTTTACTTATAATCTCCATCTTTGCTTATACTTAATGCTTGTTGTTAATCTGGCCAATTAGCATATGATCTTTAGGTTGATTTGAGCCTCGACAGTGCTGTATCATTCGCCTGAACTAGTATTTGGTGGGCAACCTCTTTTAGACTGCGAAAGTTGATTTACTTGTAGGTTGTGAACAATTGAACTTAATCGAACTAATGCTTGATTTAATCACCTAGGGACATACCAAAAGTTTAGCGACTAGGTAGATTAACAAAGGGGTCGGAGCCTCGACAGTGGAATGATCATACCATAGTGTTTCAAGTTCTAGATTGGCACCTAATTGCAATAACCCTAATTGATTGATTTCTTGCTTCTTGAATTGCTTATCTTAAGACTATCCTATTGCTTAGCCCTCTCTCCTATTGATTCACTTCTTTACTTATTACTTGCATGCTTTACTTTCTCTGCACTCAACCAATTCATACTTTTGCCCTAGCTCGATCTCAATCATAGTTTGTAGTGTGCAATCTGGTCCTCGTGTTCGATACCCGTTTACTACTTCTGACCTGTGCACTTGCAGAATCAGGGATAGGAAAAGGGAAGACCTGATCCCGCGATCAGATTTATAGTACTAAGAGTCTAAACAGGTGAAATGATGCCTTTTGGAGCAAAACCGCAGGATTTGCAGTTCAACCCGCTCCAATACCGAAGTATAACCTTTGAGAAGGCCTGAAAAAATAATCTACTCAATGGATTTCATCAAGACCGGTTCCCTGCGAGTCAAGTGAGTTAACTCTCCAACGCAAGTGGATTGGCATCATTTGGATGAGTAGAAATGAAGTTATGATCAAATTAGTGAAGACTGGTGATGTACTAGCATTTTGCATGGCTTTAGTACATCTTTTATACGTCTTTTCCATAGTTTTAGTACCTAATAATTTTCATTTCTTATTAGGTGGTTTATTTGTTACATCCCTCTTTTTAATCATTTGGCTTGACTTTCTTGTGTTTGCATATTCTCATAGAGCAACATCTCACCCTTATGGATTGATAACCTCTGATACTACATCAACTATGATGGTTAAGAGGAATTGATTGATTGTGTTTGCACCATACCATCTCATCTTTATTCACCCTTGTTTGCATTCCACCTCATTTCACATAACATTACATTCATCATACACACAAATCCTATCATCAATTTGGCGCCGTTGCCATTTGGGTTTGTTATTGTTGCATTTGAGTTTCCAAATCACTTGAATGATCAAGTACTATCCCACCTTTGTTGCTTGTACTGCTGTGTTTTTGATTGTTTTGCAGGTGTATGCGAACTCGATCGAGCTCATCAACAGAGGACTTGGTCGAGTTAGACATCAACATAGGCAGAAAACAGTGAAATAAGAGCCAGAGGCAACAAGTTCAGTCAGAGGTGCTTGATGCGGCATCTATGGGATGAGTACAAGTAATAATTCCCTAAGACAACTAGAGTTGCAAGTGCACAACATATAATTGTAGTATTTAGGGGTCGAACCACAAGGGATTGGATTTCACACATTACATAATCATAGAGTTTAAAGGTCTAATGGTAAATCCCTTGTAGAGAATCGGCACTTTGAAACAAGTAGAGGTTGGATGATGATGATGGAATGAATGGAATCAAAGAACTTGGCGAAATGGAGTGAGATGGTGAAAGGATGAATGGATCGATGGAAAGAGATAGATGAGAATGGATTGAATGGCTATACCAGAGATCCAATGGAAAGGAATCTCCAACACCACCTCTAAAATAGTTGATACAACTCACAACTAATCTAAAGGGATTTCTCGGATTCAACACACCAAGAGAAAGGGTTCTTAGAATCACACTAAGAGATCTTTGATAAACAAAGGAAAAGGGTTTTTCATTCAAGGTTGCATAAACTGAAAGGAGATTCGTCCAGACATATAAAGGAGAGAGAGAAGAGAGAGAGAAGAGAGAACTGAGTCAATGGAACAGCTCCATGACCATCTCGGAAACATGACAAACATTAAAGACAAAGTTTGAAAAAAAAGACCTTCAGTGCCAGGGCGGCAAGACTTCAAAATTGAAGAAGGGAAATGGGCCGGACCCAAACAACATGAGACAAAGAAGGGATGGGAAGTGGACTTTAGGCCTCGTTAAAAACCTGCCAAGGAAAACCCAAAGGGACAAAACCTTGGCAGGGAAAAAGAGCACACTAAAATCCACTTGCTTCTTTATCCCAAGTGTTGGGCTCTCAAACAAACCAAAGTGGAATGTTTAAGCTCCTGATCATGCCGACTCAAACGGCTAAGTACTCTTCCAATGTCTTGGTTGAGCATCTTAGTCTGGGACCTTGTGATGGGACCAGTTGGTAAGGCAAGGCTTCCAAGCTTCCTCAGGTTCAAGCTGCTCCTCCTCTGCTACAAGCTCTCCAGCTGCTTCCTGGTCCAAGTTCCCAGCAACCTCCTCCATGATCATATCATCCCCTCCCTCTTGAAAAGGATTTGTCCTCAAATCTGGTTCATCTGCAAGAAAAGGAGAAAGATCAGTAACATTAAAACTCGAACTTATGTTATACTTACCTTGGAGATCAATTTGGTAGGAGTTGTTGTTGATTCTTCTGGTGATTCAAATGGTCCATCTATCCTTGGCATAAGTTTGGATTTGCGCTCGGCCGGGAACCTCTCTTTGCGCAGATGGATCCAAACCTTGTCTCCCACTTCAAAGACCATTTCTTTGCGGCCCTTGTTGGCATGTTGAGCATACTGCTTGGTTTTGGCCTCAATGTTCCTTCTAGCTTGCTCATGGATCCTCTTGACTGTCTCTGCCTTATGCTTTCCATCTGTGCTTAATCTTTCACTCAAAGGCAAAGGCATCAAATCCAAAGGAGAGATGGGCTTAAACCCATAAACAATTTCAAATGGAGAAAACTTAGAAGCAGAATGCACAGCATGGTTATATGCAAACTCAATATGTGGCAAACAATCATCCCAGCTTTTAAGATTCTTTTTAATCAAGGCGCGCAACAAAGTTCCAAGAGTCCTATTAACAACTTCAGTTTGGCCATCAGTTTGAGGGTGACAAGTAGTAGAAAATAAAAGCTTAGTACCCAACTTAGACCACAAAGTTTTCCAAAAATAACTCAGGAACTTTGTATCACGATCAGAGACAATGGTGCGCGGCATGCCATGCAATCTAACAATCTCTTTAAAGAACAGAGCAGCTACATGAGATGCATCATCAGTTTTACGACATGCCACAAAATGAGCCATTTTTGAGAACCTATCAACTATCACAAAGATAGAATCTTTTCCAGTTCTAGTCCTAGGCAATCCAAGCACAAAATCCATGGATATATCAGTCCAGGGATGAGATGGAATAGGGAGAGGAGTGTACAAACCGANCAAGCACAAAATCCATGGATATATCAGTCCAGGGATGAGATGGAATAGGGAGAGGAGTGTACAAACCGTGAGGTTGAACCTTAGATTTGGATTGTTTACAAGTTGCACATCTAGAACAAATCCTCTCCACATCTCTGATCATGTGCGGCCAATGAAAATGATCCTCATGACTTGAAGTGTTTTGGCCACACCAAAGTGTCCCATCAAGCCTCCTCCATGTGCCTTCCCTGACAAACAAGTCCCTCAAAGAACAATTAGGCACACAAAGGCGGTTCTCATAGAAGAGAAACCCATCTTGTCTAAATATCGGCCAAAAGCAAATTTAGAACAAGACTTGTAAATCTCAGCAAAATCAGAATCAGAATCATACAAGTCTTTTATCTGTTCAAAGCCCAAGAGTTTGGCATCAAGAGTTGAGAGAAGAGTGTACCTCCTGGACAATGCGTCGGCTACAACATTGTCCTTACCTTTTTTGTACTTGATGACATATGGGAATGTCTCAATGAATTCAACCCACCTGGCATGCCTTTTGTTGAGCTTTTGCTGGCCCTTGAGATGTTTGAGAGATTCATGGTCTGTGTGGATGACAAACTCCTTTGGCCAGAGGTAAGTGTTGCCAAGTTTGCAGGCGCGGACCAAGGCATAGAGTTCCTTGTCATAGGTTGGATAGTTGAGAGTGGCTCCTCCAAGCTTTTCACTAAAGAAAGCAATTGGCTTCTTATCCTGCATCAAGACAGCTCCTATGCCAATACCTGAAGCATCACACTCAATCTCAAAAGTTTTCAAGAAGTCAGGTAAAATAAGAACAGGGGCATTAGTCAAGCGATCCTTGAGAGCTTGGAAAGCATCCTCCTGTGCTTTCTCCCACTTGAATCCAACTTCTTTCTTGATGACTTCAGTCAGAGGTGCGGCCAAGGTACTAAAATCACGGACAAACCGCCTATAGAACCCAGCTAGGCCATGGAAGCTTCTGACTTCACTCACTGTCTTAGGGCTTGGCCATTCTCTATGGCAGCAACTTTCTCTTCATCCACCTTGACTCCATCTGCACTCACAACAAAGCCTAGAAAAACCACATTATCTGTGCAAAAAGTACATTTCTTAAGATTGGCAAACAATTTTCTTTTCTAGCACAGACATAACAGATGCAAGGTGATCTAGATGCTCTTCAAGGTTCTTGCTGTAAATCAAAATGTCATCAAAGTAAACCACAACAAAATGACCAATGAAGTTTCTCAAGATATGATTCAAGGCGCATGAATGTACTAGGTGCATTAGTGAGACCAAATGGCATGACAAGCCATTCATAAAGACCATGTTTAGTTTTAAATGCAGTTTTCCACTCATCACCTTCTTTCATCCTAATCTGATGATAACCACTTTTTAAATCAATCTTAGAGAAAATGCTAGAACCATGCAACTCATCAAGCATATCATCAAGTCTAGGGATAGGATGTCGATACTTTACAGTGATATTGTTGATGGCTCTGCAATCCACACACATGCGCCAACTCCCATCTTTCTTGGGCACAAGAAGAACAGGAACAGCACAAGGGCTCATGCTTTCCCGGATGTGACCCTTGTCCATAAGCTCATCAATTTGGCGCTGGAGTTCCTTTGGTTTCAACAGGATTGGTTCTGTATGCTGGCCGGTTTGGAAGTGTGGATCCAGGAACAAAATCTATTTGATGCTCAATGCCTCTGACTGGTGGCAATCCTTTTGGGCAATCATCTGGAAACACATCTTGAAATCCTGTAAAAGCTTAGACATCTCACTCGGAATCTCCGGTGCATTATCAACAAGAAGGTTAAGTGATCCTTTAAAAATAAACAAGAGAAAAGGCTTATCAGAAGACATAGAACTTTTAACCTGTTTGGACTTGACCAGATAGTTCAAGGATTTGATTGGATTGGGTGGCTCCTTCTTGGCTTGAGGTTTGGTTCTCTGACTGCACAGCTGGACTTGATCTTCATACACCTCTTGAGGGGTTAAGGGAATAAGAGTGGTCTTGCGCCCCTTGTGCAGGAAAGTATACTTGTTTGTGAAACCATCATGCATCACTCGCCTATCAGATTGCCAAGGCCTTCCCAAAATGATGTGTCCAGCATCCATAGGCAGGACATCACACAAAATCTCATCTTCATAGCTTCCAATGGATAATGGCACAAGCACCTGTTCCTTCACGCTCATATCTCCAGTCTCATTGATCCATTGTAACTGATATGGCTTGGGATGTTTCTGAGTCACAAGACCAAGTTTTTCAACCATGGCCTCACTAGCCACATTAGTACAACTGCCTCCATCAATAATGAGACTGCACACCTTCTCCTGGACAAGACAGCGTGAATGGAAGAGATTCTCTCTCTGGGCTTCCTTTGGGTTTGGACTTGAGCGCTTAAGATCCTTCTGGCTACCAGAGCTTTCCCATGACAGGAACGGCCTCATACTCTTCTGGCTCTGGCTCTTGCTCTGGCTTATAGACAATGATCTCTCTTCAGACTCCACTTCTCCATTATCTCTTATGATCATATCTTCTTGTTGCGGCATTCATAGGCATAGTGTCCAAAGCCTTGACACTTGAAGCACTTAAGCTCGCGAGCTCTAGGACCAGGAGTTGAACTGGTTTTGCTCTTGTCCTTGTCTTGACTGTAAGAGGCTCCTCTTGGCTCAGACTTTGGTGTGAAAGCCGGTTTGGAGTCTCTTGGATACATCGGCCTGCGCTGATCAGCTCCAAAGCGTGAGGGTGTCTTTCTCTTGAGCTGTTGCTCAGCAAGGACGGCCTTGTGAGCATAGACTCTAAGCCCACACAGTTTTGCATCTCCACAATCTTGGATCTCGCGGTTGAGCCCTCCAAGGAACCTGGACATAGTGGCTTCTGTCCTCAATCACATTAGCCCTTAACATCATTCCTCCATCTCCTGGAAGTATTCCTTCAACAGTTTTGGACCCTTGAGTGAGCCTCCTGAGCTTAGAATGTAGCTCTCTCTGATAATAGCTAGGAATGAACCTCTGCCTCATGATCCTTGTCATCTCTTCCCAGGTAGAGACCTCAAGAGCTCCACCAATCTCTCTTGCGGTCACGACTTGTTCCCACCACCTTAGGGCATAGTCATTGAACTCAGAGACCGCCAGTTTGACTCTGTTGATGTTGGATATGTTGTGTAAGTTGAAGTTGAACTCACACTTCTTCTCCCAGTCCATGTACTCATCAGGATTGTTGTTGCCATGGAAAGGGGGAATCCGGATCTTGTATCCTCCAAGATTTTCGACCAAGCGGTCTGGATCATCGCGATGCCTTCCTAGAGCGGCGCCGACTTCCTTGAGAGGAGTGGCCACTGTTGTAGTAAGCATTGGCTTGCTCATCGGCCATCCTTCTTGAGGCCATAGGGTCGTTCCTCCCTCCTCATCCGAGATATGGATGTGATCTCTAGACTCTTTGCGCTTTCCTGCCTTAATTTGTTCCCTCCGTTCAAACTCTTCCCTCATGAGCTTCTTGATTGTTCCAGAAGGGATTCACTGAGACTCTTGTTCGAATCTTCTTCATCTTCCTTTCCATCCGCCATAGTACCTGAAACAACAGACAAGAACTCGGCAGTTAAGAGTTCAAAGGAAAAGATCAAGAAATAATTTTAGAAATTATGTAAACAATTTCTAAAAATATGGGAAAAACTTGTAGATGGATAGATCTATGGAGGATGATCAGGATTAATTATTTCAACAATTTTAAAATTATGCAAACAAATGAAACTGGCCAGATCTAGATCAGAAGATGAACAGTCACAATTGTCAAAGATGCACAAATGAAAAATCGAAAACAAAAGAGAGATTCACTTAGCTTCAAAGTGGCTCTGATACCACTTGATAGACCCCTTGTAGAGAATCGGCACTTTGAAGCAAGTAGAGGTTGAATGAGCGATGGAGTGAATGGAACAAAGAACTTGGCGAAATGGATTGAATGTGAAAGGATGAATGGATCGATGGAAAGTGATAGATGAGAATGGATTGAATGGCTATACCAGAGATCCAATGGAAAGGAATCTCCAACACCACCTCTAAATAGTTGATACAACTCACAACTAATCTAAAGGGATTTCTCGGATTCAACACACCAAGAGAAAGGGTTCTTAGAATCACACTAAGAGATCTTTGAGTAAACAAAGGAAAAAGGTTTTTCATTCAAGGTTGCATAAACTGAAAGGAGATTCGTCCAGAACATATAAAGGAGAGAAGAGAAGAGAGAAGAAGAGAGATGAGTCAATGGAACAGCTCCATGACCATCTCGGAAACACACAAACATAAAGACAAAGTTTGAATAAAAAGAGATTGGGCGGCAAGATTAGTGAAGAAGGGCCTGGGCCGGACCCAAACAACATGAGACAAAGAAGGGATGGAAGTGGGCTTTAGGCCTCGTTAAAAACCTGCCAAGGAAAACCCAAAGGGACAAAACCTTGGCAGGGAAAAAGAGCACACTAAAATCCACTTGCTTCTTTATCCCAAGTGTTGGGCTCTCAAACAAACCAAAGTGGAATGTTTAAGCTCCTGATCATGCCGACTCAAACGGCTAAGTACTCTTCCAATGTCTTGGTTGAGCATCTTAGTCTGGGACCTTGTGATGGGACCAGTTGGTAAGGTCAAGGCTTCCAGAGCTTCCTCAGGTTCAAGCTGCTCCTCCTCTGCTACAAGCTCTCCAGCTGCTTCCTGGTCCAAGTTCCCAGCAACCTCCTCCATGATCATATCAGGAGGTCACTTTGCTACATTCAAAACAGCAACCAAGGTTCTGCAATCTGGGTTGTGGTGGCCTACCTTGTTTAAAGATGCAGCAAGCTTCATCGCAAAGTGTGATCCGTGCCAAAGGAAGGGAAGTATCACCAAGAGAGATGAAATGCCACTGAACCCAATTCTGGAAGTTGAGATCTTTGATGTATGGGGAATAGACTTCATGGGACCTTTCAAGCCTTCCTCAAACGGGCACAACTACATTCTGGTCGCTGTGGACTATGTGTCCAAATGGATTGAAGCCATCCCCTGCCCAGCCTGTGATGCTAAGGTTGTTATCAAACTGTTCAGAACCATCATCTTTCCAAGATATGGCATCCCAAGGGTTGTTATTTCGGATGGAGGTTCCCATTTCATCAATAAAGTGTTTGAGAAGTTGATGAAGAGTTATGGAGTCAAGCACAAGGTCGCTACACCTTACCATCCTCAAACCAGTGGGCAAGTTGAGGTCTCCAATAGGCAGATAAAGGCCATTCTTGAGAAGACAGTAAGCTTTACTAGGAAGGATTGGTCAACAAGACTTGATGAAGCTCTTTGGGCCTATAGAACAGCTTACAAAACCCCCATTGGAAGGTCCCCTTTCAACTTGCTGTATGGAAAGGATTGTCACTTACCTGTAGAGGTAGAGTACAAGGCACTATGGGCAGTAAAGATGCTGAACTTTGATATAAAGGCTGCACAAGAGAGAAGAGTAATGAACTTGTTTGAGTTGGAAGGAAATCAGAATGAATGCCTATGAGAACTCCTGATCTATAAGTTGAGAACAAAGGCAGCCCATGACAAACTGATTCGCCTTAAAGACTTCAAGGCTGGGGACAGTGTGCTCTTGTATAACTCCAAGCTAAGGTTGTTTCCCGGGAAGCTAAGGTCAAAGTGGGCGGGACCATTCAAGATCACGAAGTTTCCCTATGGATCCCTCACTCTACTCAATCAAGAGGGGAAGGAGTTCACAGTGAATGGCATAGATGCAAGCCATATCTAGGAATGACCCCCACAGAGGAGATCATCACTCCTCTCAGATCCAACCCCGGCCTAAAAAGGTAAGGTCAAGCTATGAGACCTAAAACAAGCTCACTTGGGAGGAATTCCCATGTCTATCTTATATATTTATGCTTTACCTTTTATTCTGTGATTTTCTTGGCTAAGTCTTACAGGAGCAGGTTTTAGGAAGAAGAACTAACTCGAGGCACAACTCGATCGAGTCAAGAGCAAGCTCGATCGAGTGAGGGAACCCAGTCGAGTGGAGCGTCCCTGATGGCCGTCTCCCATCTCCAGACCACGACCTTGCCTCCCAGTTCTTTGGGGGGCACTGAGGTATCAAACACAACCCTTGTATATACCATTTCATATTTTCTTGCTTTGTTTTTTTTTTCTTGGTTTTGCCCTCTTGAATCTTTCACTAAATTTCTCTCACACAAGGGACTGTGTGATTTAAGTTTGGGGGAGGGTTCAAGAGATGATTTAACCTTGTTTTCTTTGTTCTTAGTTTTTCATTCATCTTTTGCATAGAAAAACCAAAAAAATCATAAAATTTTCAAAAAATCCAAAAATATTTTCATCTTTTTGCATTCATATTTGTTAGACTTGTTTAGGATTGCATCTTTCACTTGCATTGTTGATTTGACTTTGAAAACTTGTTCATCATTTGCGATTTCTTGAGTGCCCTGTTTTTAGATTCTCTTGTGCATTAGGGTGAGATTGATTGAGCAGCAAGAACCATGTTTATCTTGATCATATCACTGCATGCACATCTCATTCAACCATTGCTGTGATTTGATGCATTTCCCTATCTATTTGAACCATAACTTGATCTTTAATTACCAATGCTTGCATTTGATTTCAACTCATGGCTACCACATACATATCTGGACATTCTTTACCATTTTCATATCCCTTTGCTTGTCCAGATAGCTGATCTCTATCTTTGAGACAGTTACCACACCTTAAACCTAAGCCTTTTCATTTCAAACCCCTTATTATCTCTTGTGCGAATTGTGAGAACCTTTCTTGGCTTTGCTTAGCATAAGGTGTTGTGTTTAAACCGGCAGGGGCAGTAGTTCTAGTTGTCTAGTTCTCTTGGGATTGTTTTCAGGCTAAGTTTGGGGGTGCCAACTCGAGCTCGATCGAGTTGGGTGTAAAAACCAGAAAAGTGGTAAAAGTTGGGAAAATCCAAAGGAAAAAGAGTTTAGTTAAGTCCAGGGAGTTGGCAGTGTTAAAAAGGGTCTAGTAAAGGTTTGGGAAGTTAAAAAAGGAAGTAAAAAGGGTTCTAAGTAGAATGAAAAGAAGGCAAAGCCTCAAGTGTCAAAAAGGAAAGAAAAGTTCCCTAAGTGTTTAGAAAATCCCAAACCGCTAGATGTTACCTCAAGAAGCCTCTCCCTAGGAAGTTCTTAAAAGAAAAGTGAGCAAAGCTCCTCAGTTTCAAAGGCGAAATGCCAAAAAGGGTAGTTAGGATTTTGTTCTAAAAAGCTCTAAGTGTTGAACTCGATCGAGTTAGGATTAGGCGGCTCGAGCTGCTGTTCTTGCATCATCTTTGGTTCTAACACTTAGCCTTCTGCCAAAGCAAAGCCACTTTCTTGAGAGATCCCTGTTACTAAACCACCATACAAAAGAGACCCTCTTTGTCTCTTAACCCATAAACCCTTGAAACCAAATGAGTTGATTGATCTTGCATGTTTTTGGTTCACTGTTTTTGCTTAATGAATGTTAAAGGGATTTGCTGATTTGAATGCATTGTTTGAGTGACTGTGAAGTGGGATTGATGTTGATAAGCATGGTTAAATCTTAATGAATATCTCTCACCTTGTTGCATTCTAGAATCTCTAAGTTGGACATTTAGCAAATCGCTTTTGAGGACATGTTTTTAAGTGTTGAATCAGCTTGTTTTCAAACCTCATCTCTTTCTTGTTCTATTTGTTTGCTTGAGGGCAAGCAAAGTTCAAGTTTGGGGGTGTTGATGTACTTGCATTTTACATAGTTTTAGCACATCTTTTATGCATCTTTTGCATAGTTTTAGCATCCATTAGCATCATATCTTGTTCCTTTTCTCTTCTTATGCATTCATGTAGTTTTAGGTTGCATTTGCATACATATGCATGTTTGGTCCTTTGAAATAGGTCTTTTGGAGCATTCTGGAGCATATGGGACATGAGGAGCATGGAGGGACTTGGCACATGGACGCAGCTCAACTGGATACGCAAAGGAAGAAGGGAGAAGCCATCTTGAAGACCACCGTCTACTCGACCAACCGGTCGAGTTCCTCAACTCGACCGGCCAAGCTTCAACTCGATCGAGCTGAGAAGTCAAAGTCAAACCCGAAAAATGTTGCTTCCCCCTTGACTTTCCTTTGACCCTAAACCTAATCCTCTTGTATTTAAAGGCTAAAAGCCACGAAAAAACCACCAAGCTTTAGATTACTTTTGTTTTAGTTTCTTTTAATTTATTGTCTTTTACTTTTTAGAGCTCTAATCCCATCTTTGTGTTCTTGAAGCTCTTGCTTCTTGAATCCTAGATCCTGGATAATCTCTTTGTATTTGCACTTGCTTATTTCAATAAAAGTTGTTTATTTCATCTCCTCTTTCTTATGATGTTCTTTTATTGCATTTGCTTGTGTTTACATTCATGTGTAGTGAGTAGTTACCCATTAGGGTTTGAGATGGGATAGATTAGAGGTTTCATATGCTTAATCCTTCTAGCTTATGGTCTTAATCTAGATTCTCTCTCTTTTGGATAGATCTTAAGGCTACATGACCACTACCCCTGGCTTGTAAGTCCTTAGGCGATTCTCCACATGGAAAGTGATGGAAATCGCTGGAAAACTAAGAGCTCCAATATCTCTTGCTCTTAGGGTCTAAGGGGTTGGATGGATTAGTTTGGGCAATGATCCTATGGCCTCCAAGGTTTGATTCTCACTGGCTAACCCCCTGTTTCTGAGATCATTCCTTGGTTGATAGCCTCCACCTTGGGAAAGGGTTGGCTAGGCATTGAGAAGCCCAATATCAAGAGAAGCCTTGATACAAGGAGTTTTAAGAGCAGATGATTAAGTGTAGATTCCTGATTGCAAAACCCTGTCTTGAACCCTAATTCTCTTTAGCTTGTTAAAGTCGCTGCCTTTATTGCTTTTCTCAACTCGACCCTAAACTCGATCGAGCTGGTACTCTGTTCCACTCGACTCGAGTCCTTGGTCGAGCTGTTGCTTACTGCTTTGTTTACTTTTATTGCATTGCATTTCATTTTTTAGGTTGTTAGTGTTACCCCATATCTTTACTGCTTGCTTGACTTCCTTGGTTGTTTCATATTCTCATAGAGTGACAATTTCCCATTTTGGATTGATAACCCTTATGCTACTAACAACTATCATGGTTAAAGGGAATTGTTGACTGTGTTTGTGTTTGCATCTTACCACCTCATCATATACCACTGTTGCATTCCACACATCTCATTTCATATCATTTCACATCCACACACAAATCCTATTATCAGCTAAGAACAACAAGAATTTGGAACAATAAGCAATTCTAGTGAAGACTATAGCATCCTAACCAATACCAAACTCAAATTCAAAGGTTTCAAGCACATGCAACAATTTTAATGGCAAAACAGAGGTGAGGTGAGGCAAGTTCACAAAATTCTATAAGCAGAAGATGAATATGAAAGCAATTACTCAAGAACAAGTCCACAAGGGACACATGCAATCAAAATTCAAGAGAACAACATGCAATAAAAGATAGAGAGGAATCAAAGCTTTAGACTTGAGGTTTAGGGTTCATACCTTGCTTGGATGATGATGCTCTAGACAAAAGCTAGAACTAAAGCAATTCAAGAGATAGAACAAGGAAGAATCGCAAAAACTCAAGGATGAAGAGATTTTCGGATTTTCTTAGAGAGAAGAGAGAGATAAGTGATTTCAGAAAATTTTGAGTGTGGGAGAGAGAGAGAGGGGTTGTGCGATCGAGTTATGGGGAAGAGGGAGTGTTTGAGATGTGTGGTGAGGATTAAAAGATGGTTTAAAGAGGGGACAAAAGCTAGGGGTTTTTCTGATCGATTTAGGGAAGTGGGGGACCAAAATTTACATGTGGGACCCACCCCCTTGACCAAGGAAACGGTTAGAAATTTGAATTCAAAAACTTACCTTGGTCGAGTTGTGGAACTCGATCGAGTTACCTTTGTTTCTAGCTCGATCGAGCTGTCGGTCGAGCTGGCTTCTTGTCACCTAAACTTAACTTCTGAAAGGTTAAAGACACAAAATACTAGATAGAAATTGAAATAAAGAATATGTACAAGGATAGTCATGGGACTTCCTCCCAAGTGAGCTTGTTTAAGGTCCCATAGCTTGACCTTTACCTCTTAGGCATTGGTTGAGCTAGTCCCACCATCAAGGGTGATAGTGAGGACTTGGATAGAGCTCCTTTAGCTTGGTTGGATCCCTGGACTGCTCTGAAGTGACCAAGGCCTTGGCTCTAGAGAATGGTCTTGATCTCCCTTTGTACCTTATCTTGTACTCAATCTTTCCATTTTCAAACTTGGTGGGGAACAAGGTCATAGTGAGCTGAGATGGCTTGGCTGAGGAAACCTGAGCTGGTGGGTCTTTCTTTTCTCTCCCACAAGTGCCTTTGAGGCTGCATCCTCCCCTTCTTTTTGAGCGCTTCCTAGTGGCTCATCAAACAAAGCTTGAGGCTTTCCTCATCAAGGACACATGGTGCTTGAACAAGTCTATCAGCTCGTGGCCTATCAGATCGTGGTCTCTCAACTTGGCCTCTCAAGGCGTGGTTTCTCAATCCTTGTCCCTTATCAACTCCTTTGTCCTTCTCCAACCTTATATCTCACAACTCTTGGCTCTTTGTCAACCTTTTCCTTCACAACCTTGGCAACTTCAGGAGTCTTGGAACTGAGAGGGTGCTTTCAATGTGCCACAAAAGTCTGATCCTCTAGGCTGCAAGCGATAAGACACCAAACTATTCACCTTGTGAAGAATCACTTCTTGCTTGTGAAAGTCTATTGAAGCGCCAACTGTGCTAAGGAATGGGGTTCCCAATAGCAGAGGTAGATCCTTCTCTTCTTCCATCTCCATGACAGTGAGATCAGTTTGGATGATGCATTCTCCTATTTTCAAGTGATAGTTCTTGAACACACCAAGAGGAGACTTGAAGTTGCATCTCCAAACATGATTGAAGTAGTAGGGCGCTGCAATGCTCCAGCAATGCCAAGCTTTTCTGCCATTGTGAGGGAGATCAGGTTGATGCTTGCACCAGAATCCACCAAGGCATTGTCAAGCTCAATATGCCCAAGTGTGCAAGGGAGAGTGAATTTCCCTTGATCCTTCACCTTTGGTAAGAAAGTAGGTGAGGTAAGCAGGTTGATTTGGTGAGTAGACATCTCCAGAAGCTCTGAAACCTTTATCCTGTTAGCCATAACATCTTGATCAACTTCATTTGCTCAAATGCCTCACTCATGCTTTCCATAGAAGGCAACTCAACTTCCAATCTCACTGAGGTCTCTTCTGAACTTGTGAATCACTTCCTTATGGCTTGACTGAGTAGGCGGCGAGGATGGATCAACTGGCTGGTAAGGATCAAGCAAAATCGGTTTGAGGACGATGTGTCTGACTCGATCGAGCTAGAGTTCGACTCGATCGAGCTGCCGATCGAGCTTGTTGTGCGAGCTCAACTGGTGAAGTGTGAAGGCTACAGTAGTGCTTGCACTTCAGGTTGATCAATCTGGACTCCAGGAGCCTCAGCAACAACAATTCTGTCGTCATTCAGCAGCAAACAAACTCTTCCATGACTCTCTCTTGATCCCTCTTCATCAAGACCTTCTTGAGTGAAGATGACCTTGCACTGTTCCTTGGGGTTCTGAATGGCTTTACCAGGTAGTTGTCCTTGCTTTGTAGCAGCAGCAACAGAAGAAGCATGATTCTCCAGAGAGTACACTCTTGTGTTGAGATTCTCAATCTTGGAGTTGATTTCAGCCAACTTCTTGCTTGTGTCCACAACACCATCAGCTTGACCTTGAGCAATTGTTTCAGCATAGCCTTGAGCTCATGCTCAGGTGTAGGTGCAGGCTGGGGTGGTTGGTGGGGAAAGCCAGGTGGTATGTGCATTTGCTGACCAGGAAAAGTCCCTTGAGGGCCTTGGTAGTTGTTTTTGGACCAAATGTTGAGGGGCTTGACTCGATCGAGCTTGCTGTTGTTGAGGGTAACCTGATCTTGTGGGTTAGCTACATCAGTGTTTCTGTAAGACATGGCTGGGTTGGCTTTGTAGTTGTAATATCCTTTGTTGTAGCCTCCTTGCCCATTGCTCATATAATATTCAATGATTTGACATCTTTTCTCAATTTTCATCGGACTCGATCGAGTTGTGGGTCGAGCTCCGGTTGGTGCGATCATACTCTTCTCCATAACTTCCATTGGAGTTTGCAATGTTTTCCACAAGCTGCCAACCATCATCCACATCCTGATTAAGGAAGTTTCCATTGCTGGCTGTGTCCAACATCTCTCTATACCTTGCCAAGCAACCTCTATAGAGAGTAGAGAGCAAAGACTCATTGTTGAAGCCATGATGAGGGCACTGACTTGTGTAGCCCTTGAATCTCTCCCAAGCCTCAGCAAAAGTCTCATTGTTCCTCTGAATGAAGCTTGATATCTCACTCCTTAGCTTGGCTGTGCGACCGGTGGAGAAAAACTTAGCAAGAAATGCCTTCTTGCATTCATCCCAAGTGGTGATTGTGCCATGGGGCAGGCTCTTCTCCCATTGGTGAGCCTTGTCAGCAAGAGACATAGGGAAGAGTCTCAGCTTGATGGCATCTTCAGAGACACCATTGATCTTGGTCAAGTCACATAACCTATCAAACTCATCAAGGTGATCAATGGGGTCTTCACTTGGCAATCCATGGAACATCTTGTTCTGCACAAGGTTGATCATACCCAGCTTGATCTCAAAGTTGTGGTTCTGACAGGTGGTGGGACAATCCCTTGTCTCTGTTGATGGCGGTTTGGAGCATCTCTAGACCAATCGGTCGAGGTTGCCTAGCTCGACCGAGTCCATTACCAAAGGGTTTCCATTCCCCTCTGGTACATCCATGGTTTCAGTAACAACACCTCAGGTTCTGCTTGTACCCTCTGAGTTCTCTGACTTCTCTTTCTACCCGTGGTGAAATCTAGCTCGACCAAGTCTTCTGTTGTTCGACTCGATCGAGTTCGCATGCACCTGCAAAATGAATCAAAAACCCAGCAATACAAAGAACAGGGGTGGGATAGCTTGATCGTCCAAGTGTTTGGAAACTCAAATGCAACAAAATTCAACCCAAATGGCAACGGCGCCAAATTGATGATAGGATTTGTGTGTGTGATATATGAAATGATGTAAATGATATGAGGTGGAATGCAACAGTGGTAAATGAAGATGAGATGGTATGGTGCAATCACAATCACAATCAATCAATTCCCCTTAACCATCATAGTCATTGTAGTATAAGGGGTTATCAATCCAAAAGGGTGAGATGTTGCTCTTTGAATTTATGCAAACACAAGAAAGTCAAGCAGTACAATAAAGGGGGAATGAATCTAACAACCTAAAGAAATGGAAATGCAGTGCATAAAGTAAAAGAAAGCAGTAAAGCAAGCAGATCGACCAATGACTCGATCGAATGGGAACAGAGTAACCAAGCTCGGTCGAGTTAGCGTTAAAACAGAGTAAAAGCGATAAAGGTAAGAACTTTGAGAAGCTAATGCAAATATTAGGGTCTAAGACAGGATCTTACAACTAGGGAAAGACTATACTTAATCAATCTTGCTCTTAAACAACTTGTATCAAAGTATCTCTTGATATTGAGCTTCTCAATGCCTAGCTAGCCCTTTCCCAAAGTGAAAACTATCATCCAAGGCAAGATCTCAGAAACAGGGGGTTAGCCAATGAGAATCAAGCCTTGGAGGCAGTAGGATCATTGCTCAAACTAATCCATCCAACACCTATGAAGTCTATTTTGAGAGCAAGGTTTATTGGAGCTCTTAGTGGACCTTTTCAAGCGATTTCTCAACACTTCCATGAGGAAAATCGCCTATGATCAGACACACCATGGATAGTGGTTGTGTTGCATTAGGGCTGTAACTGGTGACCAAGGAATGTGTATTCCTCATTATTCCATATCATTCCATATTAATTAGGGAATTATAATCTTAAAATATTCCTTATAAAATATGAGGAGGAATGAGTTCTATATATTTTATTCCTCTTCATTCCATTCCTTCTCATTCCTTTTGTTCTTTTACAGGTCACCAGTTAGAACCTAGGTTTTGTCCAAAAGAGAGAGATTTCTAGATTAAAGACATAAGCAATAGAGATTAAGCATAATGATCCTCTAATCTAGCCCATCTTAAACCCTAAATGGAAATACTCACTACACATGAATGAAAATACAATCAAATGCAATGAAATCGACATTAAATGAAAGAGGAGATGAAACTAAAGAACTTTTATTGAAATAAGCAAGTGCGAATATAAAGGAAATAAGCCTAGATCTAAGGTTCAAGGAGCATGAAGCTCAAGAACACAAAGAGAGGCTTAAGAGTTGCAAAAAGTAAATTACAATAATTAAAGAAAAGCTAAAACAAAAATAAGCTAAAGATTGTTCTCTTTTTCGTGGCTTAGAGTCTTTAAATACAAGAGAGATTAGGTTTAGGGTCAAAGGGAAGTCAAAGGGGAAGCAACATTTTTCGGGTTTGACTGTTGACTCTTCAGCTCGATCGAGTTGGAACTTGGCCGGTCGAGTTGAGAAACTGGACCGGTTGGTCGAGTAGATGGTCGAGCTTACTTCAAAATGGCTTCTTCCTTCGTCCCAAGCATGTCCGGTTGAGCTAAATCCATGCACCGAGTTCTTCCTTGCTCCTCACGTCCCAAATGCTCTAAAGTGCTCCAAAAAGACCTATTTCAAGGACCAAACATGCACATGTATGCAAATGCAACCTAAAACTACTATGAATGCATAAGAAGGGAAAAAGAACAAGATATGATGCTAATGGATGCTAAAACTATGCAAAAGATGCATAAAAGATGTACTAAAACCATGCAAAATGCAAGTACATCAGACATCCTTCCCGGTCAACTTCGTCATCGGCTGCGCCATGGTAGCAAACCCCTTGACGAACCTCCTGTAGTATCCTGCCAAACCCAGAAAACTCCTGATCTCGGTGGCACTACTAGGTCTAGGCCAATCTCTGATAGCCTCAATCTTAGCCGGATCCACAGAAACTCCCTCTGCAGAAACAATGTGGCCAAGAAATCCCATCTCTCGCTGCCAGAAACTGCACTTGCTCAACTTAGCAAAAAGCTTCTGCTCCCGAAGCTTCTCCAGAACCAACCTCAAGTGAGTCGCATGCTCCTCCTGACTCCTCGAGTATACCAGAATATCATCAATGAAAATGATGACAACACGTCCAAATACTCCCTGAACACGTCGTTCATCAATCTCATGAAGGCTGCCGGCGCGTTAGTCAAACCGAAAGGCATAACCACAAACTCAAAATGCCCATAACGCGTCCTGAAAGCAGTCTTCCTGACATCTGCCTCATCTATCGGGATCTGATGATACCCCGATGCCAAGTCAATCTTGGAGAACCAAGTAGCACCCCTCAACTGATCCAACAACTCATCAATCCTCGGGAGTGGGTACCTGTTCTTCACAGTGACTCGGTTAAGACCTCTGTAATCGATACAAAGTCTGAAACTGCCATCCTTCTTCTTCACAAACAACACCGGTGCTCCCCACGGTGAAACACTCGGTCGAATGAACCCCTTAGACAAAAGGTCCTCTATCTGCTTCTTCAGCTCTGCCAACTCAGCTGGCGCCATCCTGTAAGGCGTCTTCGATATCGGTGCTGTCCCCGGCTCTAACTCAATCGTGAAAGGATCAGACCGAGATGGTGGTAATCCCTTCAGTGACTGAAAGACATCCTCAAAATCCTGGACAACCTCAATATCTCCCATAACAACTCCAGCTCCTGACTCAGACATAGAAATCGTCGCCAGATACGCCTCACAGCCCCGCTCTAACAACTGCTCGGCCTGAATAGCAGATATCACAATACTCCCGGAAGTCGGTCTCACTCCCTGATAAACCAACCTCCCTGCATCTCGCTCGAAGACCACTCTACCTCTGTAGCAATCCAGATGAACTCTGTAGTGTGACAACCAGTCCATCCCGAGAATAACGTCATACAGCTCCACCGGACTGATGACTAAGTCTGCTGGCATTGACTGCCCCGCAATCTCGATCTCGACTCCTCTAGCACGGCCCAAAGTAGACAAGAATCCACCTCCCGCCACCTTGACCATGCCCGCGCTCTCGCCCGCGCTACTCCGGATGCCACTCTTCTCGGCACGCTCCGGTGTAATGAAGCAATTCGATGCTCCAGAGTCGAATAAAACGTGGGACTCAAAACCGCCCACTAACAAGGTCCCTACACATTCAATTGCGTTGAGAACCTCCACAAACTATCACAGATAAAAATGACTAACAGACAATAACACAACAACAAATTCTATACTAAGAATTTACAAAGTCTGAGTCGAAGATTTACCTGTGATCTGCCCGGTCTGACTGTCCCGCCAGTCTCCACTGAAGAGTAACCCCGCGGTGCCGGTGCAATCTGACCCGCGGCTGCACCGCGCAATCTGACTCACCGGCTGAGCCGCTACTGGCTGAATCGCTGCCACCGACATACTCTGCAACTTAGGACACGCCGGCTTGATATGCCCAGGCTCCTTGCAAGATAACACACCCTCGGTCCTGACCGCCTCTCTCCTAGGGACAACTCGAAACACGATGCTCCGTACTCCCACAACGGTAACAAGCACCTCGAGTAAACTGACTAGCACCAGAAAACTCTCTCTCGACTCCTCTTCTGACCCTGCGCAGGCAAACCGCCCCTGCCAGAACCAGAACTGAAACTCGAACCACCTCTGCGCTGCTGCTGCTGCTGATGCTGACCCCGAGGCTGGGTAGCAGAAGCAACTGCTGACGGCACAGCCACCGGACCAACTGGCCCACTCAAATCCGCCTCAACCGACGCGGCCAACTCTACCAGACTCGCCCTCGAAGTGTGCATACTACTCTGCATAGCGTCCGGATATCCTTGCGAAGTCCCTCCAGAAATCTGTTCGTCAACTGATGCTCAGCCTCCATACCAAAGCCCGCATGCACTAACAGACGGCTGAACTCCTCATCATACTCGCGTACAGTACGCGAACCCTGCTCAATGTCCATAAACCGCATCTGAAGACGATCACGAGCCTGCCTCGGGAAATACTTGGCGTTGAACTCCACAAGGAAGTCGCCCCAAGTCCAAAATGCCCTCCGGCCCACCGCGGCCTGCCACCACAAATGAGCATCGCCACTCAAATAGTGGACCGCTAACTCCACCCAGTACTCCATAGGACAACGGATCGAATGAAAGTTCCGCTCCACTCTCTGACGCCACGCGTCTGCCTCCTCCGGACCAACTCTGCCCTCGAAGAAAGGCGTACCAATCCTCTGCATGTGGCCCATAAACTCCAAATAACGGTCACACCCGCACCCACAGCCTCTGCGCAACGCTGCAGCAACATGCTGCACCTCTGCCACTGGCGGTACTCCTGGAGCCCCCTGTGGAACCACCGGCGGAAAACGAGCCAACAGCTGCGTCAGCAACCCCACCACTAAGTCATCACGACCCGGAGCCGGAGCGCCACCCCCACCCGGAGCAGCCCCCGCTCCCAAACCAACACTCGCACTGGCATCACCCGCCAACGGAACTGACTGGGTCACCGACGCAGTATGCACACTCGGTGCGCACACTCTCTCCCGACTCCTCCGGAAGTCCACGACCACGACCTCGGCCTGCTCGGCCTCCAGCTCTACCACCAGCTCTGCCGCCACGGCCAACTCTGCCACCACGACCTCTAGCACCGCGCCCTCTCGCGCCACGACCTCTAGGAGCTCCGTCCATCTCACTGCATGGACCCGAACATGAGCAACTAGACAATAACACAAAAACACAAACACCAAAAACTCACCGCGGAATCTCCTTTAGCTGAAGGGGATGATACTAAGCCTAGCAATTCTAACAGTCCTAAAACCGTCTAGGCTCTGATACCAAAATTATAAAGCCCGACCGCCACTCCCGGTGAGTCACCCACACCCTCTCTCTGGGTCCGCAGGCCCCTCTCGGCCCGTGGGCTTCACCCCTGTCCGATGGCCGGTCTGTTATTTTTGAGAGGCTTTACTGACTTGTTTACTATCCCTACAATCAACACCCTACCTTTCCCCGTGTTTTGGCCTCACTCACACGGTTTCGGAAACCACTTTCCGGAAGGTCACCCATCCTTCAACTACTCCAGCCTAAGCACGCTTAATTCTGGAGTTACTTATAGACCTTTGACCAAAAAGGTAAGTGCACTTTGTTGACATAGGTAGCCAAATCAATTCTCTTAAGCCTCTCCACATTTATCACAAACCGGGATGTTACAACTCACCCTCAGCACGCAACGTCCTCGTTGCGCACCTGGATCGTCACCCCCTGACGGTGTGAGTCAAGGCCACTTCAACTTGACTCCACACTCTCGTCTGGGTTTGGCTCTGATACCAAAATGAAACAACCAACACTTTTTTTATATATAATTAAATACTAATCAATTCTAGCGAATGTCTTTAAAATAAATTAAATAAATAAATATCAATAACAAATAAATCAGTTCAGAGGAAGCAATAATAATTAAGCAAGTCTAGCTAAACAATGCAAAATAAATAAAAGCAATAAACATTCTATCATCCCCCTCTTCAGCCTTGATTCCGCGGTCACATAAACCTTTTACCTGCAACACATTAGAATGGAGTTGCATAAATAATTAATAAATACTTAGTGAGCCAATCACCCTGCCTACGGGTCAATTACGCAATTTACTAGACATTTAAATAATTATTATAAACTTCAATAATTATTAATTTCCATTTTCCAATTATTAAATAATTCTCAATAATTAAAAACTCATTTCTCAATTATTAAATAATTCTCATAATTAAATAATAATTATCCATATTTTAAAATAAATAAATATTTAATTTTGAACCATTTAATTAATTAAAATACTCATTAATTAATTAATTCCGAAAATACCAGATAACCAGATTAAACCCATTAAAATAATTCAGTTAAACCGAAAAAACACTTAATTCAAACCAGAAATCAATTTCCAATCGAAACGGTCGAATCGGTCAGTGTCGACCGACACTAGCTTGGTGTCGACAGGTCGACAGCGAATTCTGAGAATCAACACCAAAATCACAGAAACACGAAATTAAATATTCAAACAACCAGATATCAGGAAAACTCACATAAATCACATGAAACCTCAAGAACATCAACCTAACAATCCGCATCTTGCAATTTAGCGAACCCACAGTCATGCACTCACCTCAAATCGGATTGAAACAGAGAAATGAGATGAACACAACGAAGAACAGCAACAAGGAGCCTCATATTCGACGAAGAACTCCACAAATCTCCAGAAAATCGCCCCTTTCTCTTCTCCACGGCACAAAATGACAAAAAAGGAGGAAAAACTCGATGGCTGGCTCTTTAAATCGCGAGTCTAGGGCTTTTTCCTCCTAAACCGGCCCAAACCAAACTTAAATTGAACCAGAAACTGATTTTTACCATTGGTGTCGACCGACACCAGGGACCGACACCACCCTCGTGTCGACCGACACCAAAGAAAAATCTCAATTCTTTGGTCTACGGATGTTACAAAAATAATTATCAAACAACTACCTAATCTTAATAATGGACTTATATTGTAATTTTAAATAATTTAATTTTCTATTTTTTTGTTAGGTAAAACAATATTAAAAAGAACATTTCATCATTTGAAATCTCTTGAATGGAATAATAATTTTTTAACGGATTAATTAGTCGATCAGATTTAGAGAGATGTATATCAAACTAATTCATTTGTCATGTCATGAGTTTAAACAAAAATGGCAATTATAATAAACATTGAAAAAGATTGTTAATCTTATTTTATACTAGGGGGAGCCGCGCTTCGCGCGGTAATTTATATTGTTGCATTAATTTTATTGTTTTTGTAAAATATAATTTATTTTCTGGTTTATTATTGTTTAAAAATATACACACAATAATGAAATATAATTAGGGTTAGACAAAATTATTGTCAATTTTGTCTCATCTTGTCCTATTTCGTTCATTTTCATCATGTCTATCTTTCCTATCCCGTCCGTCATGTCTCTCCCGTCCTTTCCAGTCCCATCATATTCCATTATATTTTTTTCCATAATGTTATGTCTTATCCCGTTCCTTCTGTTTCTTCTCGTCCCGTTCCCTAAATATAAATAGGGGTAGGCAAAATTCCTATCTAGTCTCATCCTGTCCCATTCCGTTCCTTTTCATCTTGTCCCGTTCTTTCCCATCCCGTTTGTCCTGTCCACTCCGTCCAGTCTTATCATATCCTATTTTTCTATCTATGTCCCGTCCATAAATATAATAAGGGCTATGCGAAAGTCCCATCCCGTTATTTTCTGTCCCATAATGTGCATTTTCATCTTGTCTCGTCTAATCTTGTACCATTCCGTTTCTTTTCATCCCGTCTTATCCAACATGTCCGTCTTGTTCCGTCCAATCCCCTCATATCCCATTTCGTTCATTTCCGTGTTGTCCTGTCTCTTCATGTTTCTTTTGTTTCTTCCCGTTATGTCCCTATATATATTTAGGGGTAGGCGAAATATCCGGCTTGTCCTATCATGTCCCTTTCTGTTCCTTTACATTTCGTCTCGTCCTTTAATATTAAAAGAAGTAGACAAATTTCTCCTCTTCTGGCGTTCTGTTTTTTTCCTCTCGTTCTGCCGGTCTTGTCTCATTTTGTCTCAAAATACTTAAAAATAATATACTAAATAATAGTTTTTATAGATTTATATAAAATCTTTCTTCTTTTTGTAAATGACTTTTCATATTCTTGTTAAGTCTCTATAATGAATGATAACTATCATAAAAAGTTTTAAAAAGAGAAAATATGATATATTAAATGTTTGTGTTGAAATGATGAATTTAGAGGCACCCTCTTTTTCTGAGGTGGCAGCTTAAGAAGAGAATCACTTCAACTTTATATATATAGTTAGAGATTTGTTATCGGGTTTTAATATTATTCTACTTACTTTAATTGTAAAGTGATCAAATTTTGTTTAATGTTTTCCGTGATTTATTTCAAATATTTTAAATGAACCTGCGAATACACAGGGTCTAATCTAGTGATTCTAACGGAATAAAGTTTCATATTTAATGGAAAAAGGAACAAGTATTTTTGCATGCCATTTACTAACACAAAAATGTTCAATATTCCAACGGAAAAAGGAAAAAGTATATTTACCAATACTCTTTATCTTACTAATTAAACCCTATATAATATCAAAAGTAATGGATAAGGTTTCTGCTTGATTTCTCTTGAAAAGTTTTGGCTTCCAACTTATGATGATCAAGAAAATTTATGATGATCAAGAGATTAACAATTGATCAATATTATTTATTATTTAAATATATATATATATATGTTATTATAATATATTTATTACAATCATTATACTGAAGTATCTTATGTTGTTCAAAGATTTCTTATTGGATTCTCAAAACTCATTTTAAAAATAATCATATTTTATTAAACTAGTAGTAAATAATAGGACATGTGTTGGTATTATGTGATGTATCTTACTCTATATAATATGTAAGCTTTTAGATTTGAAATTTTGCCAACAATTCGTATAGAAAGTAATTGATTTTATTGGTAAATGATTGATAATTTAAATTATAATACATATCAAAATCTAATTTGATTTGACAATTTTTAAGAAAATAATAATAAGTGAGAAAAAGGATATGTGTTACTTTGTATTATGTGACGTGTCTAATTCTATATATGATAAAATCTATATATATAATATGGAAACTTTTATATTTTAAAATTTCCAACAATTCCTGTAGAAAGTAATTACTTTTATTGGTAAAGAATAGTATTTTGACCCAATTTTGTTTATATTTATCTATGTTCTTTAAATTAAAAAAAATTTGGAAAACAAAAAATTCGTTATCATGAACTTTTTTTCTTCATTTTTAACTATTTTCATTATAGAAGGTAACAAATTTAACTATTGACAACTTTCATTTGATTACCTAAACAAAAATTGACTACTATATATTATAAAAAAAAAGCATATAAACATTACTTAGTACCCTTTTAAAGTATCCATTGTTCTTATAAAGAAAAGGTGAAAATGGCATAATTCCTACAAAACAAAATGAATTTCAAAGGAACACTGCATGAAGATCTCGTGGAGCACATCATGACAAGTTTCTACCCATTAAAAATGTTTTACAAAGCCGTCTTGTATCGAAGAGATTTAGGCACACACCTATTCAATACAGAGACCTTGACTTTAGCTCTGTGAGAGGCAATTAATTAAAGGGTGTACGAACCAATCAAACAAAACCGAGCCAAACACAAACAAAACTAATTCAAGTTCGCTAGAGTTTTTCTAAACACAAATAAACCAAAACTAATATAAATAAACGAAATTTCTTATTATTTTGAGTGTTGATGCTCAATACCCCCATACATATGGCAGCTCATGCATTTCAAGATGGATGCAGTTGCTGAAGATTGCATCCCTTATCTCTTTCTTTTTTCACCTTCGTCTTCATTAACGCAAGTGTCCTCAATAACTTCAGACCCTTTGGAGAGTTATTGGGTATTTCAAACTTACACCATCGCAGTTTCAAGACGGTTAGCGTTGAGATGGCTGAGAAATCGACCGGGATTTCCATAGATTTCTGAATTATAAAAACATGTAAAAACAAATTATAAATTATTCCTATTACCACTAACTTAACCATCCAATTGACTTTTAATTAACATTTAACTTCGATCTACAAGAAATATGAAGCTTAACAAGAAGTTGTATAGTAAATATTAAATAATACAAGAATTTATAAAATTATTTAAATAAAAATTATGTTATTAATGTATTCATTGACTTAAATATTCAAGGTTTGGATCCTAATGATCATAATGCACATGTCTGCTTATAATGCTACTCTCCCTCTATTTCTTTTAACTTGTCGTTCTAGATTTTTTCATGGATATTAATAAACTAACTAGAATTATTGTTTTATACTTATTTAATATATTTTTATATTTAATTTGACTAGTTAATAAGGGAAAAGAATAGAGAAAAAAATTAGAAAATATATAATAAATCATATATATGAACAGGGAACAACCCTCATCATATTTTGGACACGTGACACTTCAACGATTGACACATGACATGAATTTCCTTTTCTTTTCAATTGACAACTTTAAATCTTATTTAACACATGCTAGCACTCTACTGGTTAATATGTGACATGACTTTCGTCTTCCTTTCAATTTACAATTCTAAATTTTATTTATTTGTTAAACATTTCAACTTTTGGTATTGAAAACTATTCTATTACGCTAAGGATATTACCATTCGGCTTTCATCTTAATCACTATTGGATTCAGTGATACGATGGCAGAAAAGCATAATCCGTTTCATGTAACAGTGAAAAAATAAAGAGAGTCAAATGCATAAAGAATTATATATTTAAAACTATATATTTGAAACTATATATTTGAAAGTCAGTCGTTAACCAAGCAAATGAGAATTAAAATGCAGGTGTTATTTGGGTTAAAGTATTAATCACAAATCTATGATTGTTTTATAACATTCTTCTTAAACAATAACAACAGAAAAATCCATGTGTATTTGTGGACATTAGTCTACTGTACACTAAATATACAAAGAAACTGTATGAATCTCACGAGACTAAGACACAATGAATCTCATTAGGGTACCTTTCTTTATGAATCTCACGAGACTAAGACACAATGAAACTGTATGAACAATATTTCTAGGAACTCTTTACTTCCTTTTCTTGGTTGTCTTCTTATCGATAGGCTTTATTAGGAGATACCGAGATAACAACGTCAAGAAATAAATTCTGTAAATTTAATCTCAATTTACAAAATTTATTACTTTCACTGACACCAAAATTATTTAAACAAGACGAAACAAGATCTAAAATCGTTTCAGTTATTCCTTTAAAATTTACAATCTTGTCTAATTTCAATCTGAAAACCATATAGGTTTAAACTTAATCTAAGAATGAAAATTATATCTTCTCAAACTTATCTAAATCAAAATTTTGTCGAAACAACAGTAAACTGCATAATTAAGAATGATATATATCGAACCCAACATTGAAATAACCATGAAATCCAATTTGCTAACCTGAATAAATATTGTTCTTGAGTTCGGACGAACGCTTTGAAGATGATTTGTGAGGATGCGGCGGATCTAGTGGGAGTTTTAAGGAACAGATTTTAGCTTTATATTTGGGGATACTTATCCTTTTTTTTAGGGCAACTAAATGCCGAGACTGACAAACTTTGGATCACTAAAAATTATAAAAACATGTGTAAATGAAATTTGGGCTCATTACAGACACTTATTACTAAGTTTTATTATGGGCTTTTGTCTAACATTTACCCACTAAAAGCATTTAACAACTAAATTGGGTTGTGCTAGGTAAATAACTGTTTATTTTAAAATAAAATTTATCAATATATATACATATATATATATAATTTTAGTTATAACATATCTATATATTTTGTCCAAAAAAAAATAATGAAAAAAATAACATATATAAGTGGATAAATTTTATTTTATATTGTACTTGGGCAAGTCAAAATCTAGTTTATACTAAGAATTATTCAGAAATGTTCCTTTTTACATGTTATTTACAGAGAATGCCATTAGTTTTTTTTTTTTTTTTGAATTACTAAGAGGTTCTAGGCTGAAGCCCGTACATCTCCATAGGCCCGGAACCACAGCATGTAGTATTGGTTCCGTCCTAAGAGGCACTCGAACATGTGAAAAAAAAATATAATTTTATTTAGGATAAAACAATAAACACAATACTAAATAGTTATGAAAATGTCAACATCTTTATAATATTAATCGTGAAGTACATTGCAATGTTTGGATACAAGAATAGAAGAGAAAAAATTCTTTGGATACAAAAATAATAACTTAAAACAAACCGATGATTTAAAAACACAAAAAATCCAACGCGAATTGCTTGGATAATGGATGCGAATCCTCTACAATAATTTAAAATAAACCTAAGAATGGTGGATAGATAGCAATCGGGTCGGGTCTATCGGGTGGTTGGACTTTGTACCCATATAATACTGAACAAATTTCGGTTTGGTATCGGGTTGGATCCATTTACGTTCGGGTATGTTTGGGTCAAAATCGAAACTAAATGTTACAGTCACATATCCCAGTTAATAATCACCCGAAAACCTAAAAAGATACTCAAACCCGAAAAAAATTTCGAAAACCCGAAATATATCAGTAAATCCGTTATTTTATTAATTTTTTTTTTCAAAACTGGAAATATATCTGAAAGCCAGAAAAAAAATCCGAAAAACTATATATATTATATCAAAAATAATATACAGTACTCATTCTGTTAATTGACCGGGTTGATACAAACAAAACTAAACTGAAAATAAAAAAAAAACATAACCCTGCGCTACTACTACACGGGTAGACTACTAGTCTATATATATATATATATATATATATATATAAAGTTCATGCAATTCTATTCTGGTGCTGCCACATCAGCAGAAGAGGCTGCTTCTAAGTTTAAGCCAATCTCTTCTCATGATGACACATCATCAAATTCCTACTCTAATATTGTGACACATCATCAATTGATTTGTTTATTTGAATTTATTATATTTTCTCTTCTTATATTTCAATTCTTTGTGATACCATCAACTAATATAATAGTTTTTGCAAGAATTTGAAAAGGCATTTTTTTATAAAAGAAAACAAATGTTGTGTACAGATCTTAAAAAACTATTATTTAATAATAATAATAATAAAAATATATTATACAAAGAACACTGTTTTTTTTTTGCTATTTTGGGATGAAATGAGACGAAATAGAATATGACGAGACAAAAAAAAATAGAACCTGAGAAGAGGGGAATTTTGTTTACTTCTTATGATATTAAGTGACGAGACGAGATCTAAATGAATCGAAAATTCCGCCTACCTCTAATCATATTTAGTTGTGGAACGGAAAAAACGAAAAAAAAAATATGATGAGAGATGACAAGACAGAAATGTTGGACGGGGCAGAATGAAAAGAAATGGAATTTCACGGGACTTGACGGGATGGGAATTTTGTCTACCTCTAATTATATTTAAAGACGAGATAGAGACAAGACAAAATGGAAAGGAACATAATAGGATATGATGGCTCTGGATGGGGCGGACAGAACAAACAAGACGGGAAAGAATGAGACAAGATGAACAGGAACGAAATGGGACTGAATTATGTCTACCCCTAATTATATTTTGGGAACGAGACGAGAATAAACGAAATGGGACATAACAAATGGACATAGACATAATGGGATAGGATGGGACTGGACGGAACGGGACATACAGGACGGACGGGACGGGAAGAACGTAGATGATGAAAATGAACGAAATGGGACGAGATGGAACAAGACGGTACAAAAAATTTGCCGCTATAATTATATTTAAGTAATGTGTGTATAATATATTTGAAACAATATTAAATTTGCGGAAAAACAATAAAACTAACACAACCGTCACCCCCTAGATATAAAATGTATCATTTCCATAGAGATTTATTACCAATATTTTACACCAAATATCAAATTTAAAATTTTGTATTGCTTAATTGCTCATGAATATTACCCTATTGCTCATCAAATTTGTGTTTGTTGTTGTGTTTGTTGTTGTGTTTGCTTGTTCTGGTTTGCTCATGTTCGGGTCCATGCAGTGAGATGAACGGAGTCGCTAGAGGTCGTGCCACGAGAGGGCGAGGTGCCCGAGGACGTGGTGGCAGAGTTAGAGGTTGTGGAGGCGGGGGTAGAGGTCGTGGACTTCCGGTGGATTCGGCAGAGAGTGCAGCGCCGAGTGTGGCGACTGCGTCGGTGACCCAGTCGGTATCTGTGGCAAGTGAGGCCAGTGTGGATGCCAGTGTTGGTTTGGGAGAGGGGGCGGTGCTCCAGCTTAGGTCGTGATGACCTAGTTGTGGGGTTGCTGACGCATCTATTGGCACGTTTTCACTAGTAGATCCACATGCTCCAGTGGCAGAGGTGTAGCAGAAAGCTGCAGAGGTTGTTCAGCCGCAGGCTGCGGATTTGGTTGTTCCGCCCTATCTAGAGATGATGGTGCTGATGCAAAGGATCGGTACACCAGTCTTTGAGGGCGGAGTTGGTCCAGAGGAGGGAGACGCGTGGCGTCAGAGGCTGGAACGGAATTTCCAGACGATTTGTTGTCCTTTGGAGTATCAGGTTGAGCTGGCGGTTCATCATCTGAATGGTGACACGCATCTGTGGTGGCGGTCTATTGTAGGCCGGAGGGCGGTTTGGACTTGGGGCGAGTTCCTTGCGGAATTCAACGCCAAGTATTTTCCTAGAGAGGCGCGGGATCGTCTTCAAATGCGGTTTTTGTCGATATCGCAGGGTAAGCGTTCGGTACACGAGTATGATGCCGAGTTCACTAGGCTATTGGTGCCTGTCGGCTGATATACCTCTATTTTACATGCTTTTATACTATTTTACTATGGTTTTCTAATGGTTTTTAGCAGGTTTTCTATCTAAAAAGGTAGTTTATTGGATTTATAGTACTAAGAGTCTAAACAGGTGAAATGATGCATTTTGGAGCAAAACCACATGATTTGCACTTCAACCCGCTCCATACCAAAGTATCAACTTTGAGAAGGCCTGAAAAATAATCTACTCAATGGATTTCATCAAGACCACTTCGCCGCGTGCCTTGAGTGAGTTAACTCTCCAACGCAAGTGGATTCGCATCATTTGGATGAGTAGAAACGGAGTTATGATTATTTTAGTGAAGACTGGTCCATACTGCTTAAACCGAGCAACAGCGTCTGAACCGCGGGTACCGGTTGACCGAGGAACTACTGTCCCACGATCGACCCGCGTCCGGACTTCACACCCGTCCCGCCTAGTGCACGGCCGAGCGCACATACCGACCCGGGAAGCAGCAACCCGTGGTCGACCCATCTGAGTCTCTCGACCATACGCCGCGCACGACCGCACCGCGTGAACAGGAAGGCATCACCTCTCGCTCGTCCCGACCGCTCACCACGATCCGTGTCCCGCGCATGATCGCACCGTTCGACCAGGAAGGCGTCGTCCCGCGTGCGGCCAGAACATTCAACCAAATCTATCCGCGCGGCCGAATCCGACGACCGAACGTGAATTCCCTCGGCCACGATCGACCCGATTGTACCGATGGCCATGACCCGATAGTCGGCCGAACGTCCGATCGACCGTCCGAATGGTCTGGTAGACCTGAAGCCCGTTTTGAAACCCATTTCACACGTTTTCACGGCCCGACTTAACCTAATGCCGCCTCTGAAGACCTAGGACTATAATACAACTTTTTAGCCTCTTGAGAGAGAGAGCCGCATATTGTATCACATTTTACACTTAGAGTTTTGTTCTAGAGATTTCAAGGAGAAGATCTCTCCTCCTTACTTCAATTTGGAGAAGTTTTCTAAACCTTTATCTATCTATGATGTTTTATTCATCTCTTTGTGTTATGCTTTGATCATGTCTGAATCATCCACTAGTTAGGTTTCTAGGGTTACTAATCAATGAGTTGCTTGCATGATCTATGATTTTGATGATTAGTTAGGGATTACTTTAGAGTCTTTGTCTCGTCTTGTTCACTTAATTAATGTTGATTGCTTTACCGCGCATCTAGTAATCCTATCTTAGGTTGATTTGAGCCACGAAAGTGCTGTATCATTCGCCGGACATATTCTTTGACAAGCTAGGTTTCTTAGACTGCGACAGTTGATTTACTAAACCTAGTGAACTAAATCGGAACCCGCTCGATCTAATGCTTGAATAACCATCTAAGGACATACCAAAAGTTTAGCGATTAGATAGGTTATCATAGGAGCCGGAGCCACGACAGTGGAAAGGTTTTACATTCGTGATCCATGTTTTAGACGGTTTTATTATCATTGAATCATTGATCATTGCTTGCTTCTCTGCGATTAGCCCCTATTGACCTAGCGCTTTCTCCCTACTGAATTCACAACTTGTTTACTTGCTAGTTTTAGTTCCAATTACAACCTCTCAATCAATACTTTTGTTTTAGCTTGATCCAAAATCCATAGTTTCAAAGTGTACTCAATAGCCAGTCCTTGTGTTCGATACCCATATTTCTACGATATGTGCACTTGCAGAGGTCTAAAGAGTTTGGTAAAACCTCACTCACATCAAGTTTTTGGCGCCGTTGCCAGGGACTACAGTAGTACCTTTGAATCTCGACTATGATCTAGTCTAGAATTTTAATTTTTTTTGCTGGTTTTTGCTTTTGATTTTCTAGTTTTTGTTTTCTTTTCCTTTAGATTTTGTTTTTGCTTTTGGTTTTCCCTTTTGATTTAGTTTGTTTCTTAGTTTCTTTCTGGGTGCATCACTAGGATGCTTTCTTCACGGATAGAAATCCTTTGATCCACCTCTTCCTGCAAGGAATGACTATAAGATCAAGCCTCAAATCATAACATTGGTTAGACAGAACCAATTCAATGGCCTTCCAACCGAACATCCTCTTGATCACATAGAAAACTTTGAAGAGATTTGCAGTACTACTAGATCCAATGGAGTCTCAGCCGACTACTTGAAGTGCAAGCTCTTTTATTTCTCTCTTGGCGACAAAGCTTTGAGATGGTTGAAGTCTCTGCCCGCTCACTCCATCACTTGGGATGAGTACAAGGCCGCCTTCATTAACCACTTCTACACCAAGCAAATATAAGTTTCTGTTAGGAACAAGATGTCCAACTTTCGCCAAGCTACTAATGAATCCTTCTATGATGCACTAAACCGATTCAAGGAGTACATTAGGGACTTCCCTAATCATGGTTTCAAGGACGGAAACCTATGGAATATCTTCTATTGTGGCATAGACCACAAGTATAAGCTTTCATTGGATACTGCAAGCAATGGAAACTTCATGACCAAGACGATTGATGAAGCTAAGGTTCTGATCGAGAATCTTGCATCTAGTGATTGCAACAATTGTCCTGATTATGACCGCACAAGTCGCACCACCACCAACTCCCCTGATATTTCTCAGATGGCTGAATTCAAGAACATGATGGCTCAAGTTCTTAAAGGGCAGTTCAAGCAAATCAATGCAATAGAAGGGATAAGTGATGTGAATGATGACTCATCAAGACAATGCATGGGAGATTTCTCTAGTGAAGCTAATGAAGAAGATGTAAACTACATTGGAAACTATGGGAACAAGGGATACAATCCAAGCTATCGCCCAAACCCCAACATGTCCTATAGAAGCACCAATGTGGAGAACCCTCAAGACCAATTGTATCCACCAAGGTACCCACAACAGCAAAGACCTCCTTACCAAGCTCAAGGAAGTCAATTTCAGCCAAGACAAGGCTATGATCAGCGAACATCAGCGAACTATAAAATACAACTTTTTAGCCTCTTGAGAGAGAGAGCCGCATATTGTATCACGTTTTACACTTAGGTATTATACACATATTATTTAAATATAATTAGAGTTAGGCAAAAAATTTGTACTGTCTTGTTCCATCTCGTCCCATTTCATGTTCATTTTTCCCGCCTCCATCCCATCCCATGCAATCCCATCCTATCTCATTCCACTCTTTTCTGTTTTGTCTTGTTCTGTCCCGTCCCTAAATATAATTAAGGATAGGCAAAATTTACATCTTGTCCTTTCTCGTCCCATTTTGATCCTTTTCATTATGTCCTATCTGTCCTATCGAGGTCCATCCTATCTCATTTTGTTGCTTTCGGTATTGTTCAGTCCCATTTCATTTTGTTTCTTTTGGTCTTGTTCAGTTCCATTTCGGTCCTTTTGTTTCTTCTCGTCATGTCTCTAAATATAATAAAAGGTAGGAAAAGTTCACTTTCTGTCCTATTTTGTCTCTTCTCAGCCCGTCCATTCCGGATTCGTCTGATTTCATCACAATAAAAAAAAAGTATATGATTTAGTAAAATTAAAATTACTAAATAATAATATTTGTAAATCTATATATATATGTTTGTTTTTTTAAAATAACTTTTCATATTCTTGTTCTTGTAAAACATATTGTATTAATGAATGATAATTAATTACTATGAGAATTAGAAAATTAAAGTAATTAAAATTAAAAAAAAATACAGTGGTTATGTGTCAAATTTGTAGAGTTCCTTTTTGATGTTGTGGATTGCTGAGAAGAGATTGGCTTGAATTTTATATATATATAGATATTATATGTACACATTTTTTCTTGCATTTAAGTTTGTTATTTATTATTTTGGTGTGTTATAAATAAATATATATTGTTATTATAATTGTTGGTGTGCTAAACGTATAAATAACATCTGATTACAAGAACATATTTACAATATGGGTTAGTCTTTGGTGTACTAAACATATTAAGTACAATTTATTGGATCTAATATGAGTTTTAAATTAATTGTAGGGAGATAAATAAATAAAGGGATATAATTATTTGTGTGAAAAACAAAGCATTAAATGAGAACTAATTGTCATTTAATGCTTTGTTGGTGACATTTAGTTTCATTTAATGTTTTGTTTTCCAAGCAGTAATCTAGATAATCAAAACAAAACATAATTTCTTTCCCACTCACAGCAATGCCATTTCACTAAACAAAATCACTGTTTGGGTATTCTTATGTTGATTTCTTATGACCATATTGCATATTGTTGTTTATCTAATTATGAGCTCAAAATATGTCAACCACCAAACTGACTCGTTTGATTTTGGCCCTATAAAAAATGTTAGAAATTGGATCACTACTAAAGACACACAAAGCTTGTCACCTAGAAGAAGATTACTTCCATTCTCGGTGGTTTAGATGATTTGGAAATCAAGAAATTATTTTTTATTTCCTCAGCAAAATGTACACCCAAAAGAAGATGTACATGCTGTTTCTGAATCGGTTTTGGCAAATCCACATGATATACATAAGACAATTTTGAATTACCTTATATGACATATATAAATAAAGAAATTACATCCTATGAAATGTTTTTGTTGTGATATCTGATATTGGATAAGCAAACTTCCACTAAGCTCTTTAGCTCTGGTAAATCAAGAGAATAATCAAACTATAGATAAATTATGAAAAGCTGTTTATGAGTTTAGTGATTTGTGTATGTTGTATTATTCACAGTAAACTTCTTATACTTCTTTTTTATGATATAATATAATTATTAAAGAAAGAAAAACCATCTAACACATACTCTCTCTGTTGCATAATGAATGTCATTTTAAAAAAGAAATTTTTGTTACAAAATAGATGTTATTTTCTTATTTCAATACATTTTTTTCATTAATTTATCATTTTTGCCCATAATTAAATAAAAAACATTAAATAGTTAAGAATTTTAACAATCAAATAAGGTTAAATTTGCACATTGAATTGTTTTTTTAATTTGTGTAAAAAGTGTTAAAATGACTATGAAACAGGGGGAGTACTAACTAATAGCCGTTGGAATTGTAAACTACAAAATCAAAAACTTTTTAACAAAAATTGAAGAAAACCATTCTGCTTTGGAAAAGGGAACTGGGTCAGAGAGCTAAAGAATACGACATTGACTGTCGTGCATCTCTAACGGCTCCATTTGCCTCACTGCTTTGGAAATTTTCAAAATTACTCTCACCACGATTCTATCTTGGGTTAACAAAATCAATCAGTTTCAGTTTGACCCCAATCTTATTCGAAAGTTACAATCTTAACCCCAAACGATTTATAAAACCAATGAATTTGAGAAAATAAAGTGGCATATCCAAATATTTTCTGAAATAAAAGGATTTCTGTCCCTTGCATAAAAAAAAAAGGAGAAAATTTTAAATTCCTCACAATTTGAAGTTTTGAATCATTTTGTCTTTTTACTCCAAAACATTCCCCTCAAATCTCTCTGTTTCCAATTCAATTTTTCTTCTTGACGAAATGGGTTGCTGTCTCAGCAAAAAACCTTCTCTTCCTCCTCTATCGATCCCTCTTACCAATAATGTTAAAGCCACAGATCTTTCAAAACCGGTGATTAAGCTTCGTCCCGCAACGGAAGAAGCTGAACCGGTGATTATATCTGAGAAGATACAAGAAGAACAAGAAGAAGAAGAAGTTGTGGTGGTAAAACACAGAAGAAGCCATGAGAGAAGCGAGAAGACAGACTCAGATGGACCTCCGGTGGAGAAATCAATCGATTCGAATTCGAATTCTAACTCCGTCGTGGTTGTGAGGACTTCGAGCTGCACGAAAGAAGAAGTGGACGCTATACTGATACAATGTGGGAAGCTGAGCCGGAGCAACTCCGCCGCGAAAACGAGAAGATACTCTGGGTCGAAACGAAGCTTCGATTTCGACCAGAACGAGAGGATCCGCGGCGGTGATGTGGTGGAGGAAGAGGCGGCGGCGGAGAGGAAGTCGCAGACGCCGCAGAGAAATCGCCACCGTGGAATAGAGAGAGTGAATGGCTCGCCTCGTGAACGGAGAAGACGAACTCCGAGCAGAGAAAGAGAAGATCTCAGAAGTTACCGATCAGGGAGCAGAGAAAGAGGGAACGGCGGCGGTGGAAGCAGACGGGTGAGTAGATCTCCGGGAAAACGATCGGAGACGACTACAAACCCTAATCCTAATTCGTTTGCTGGGAGTGGCAATTTAGTCATTTCGAGCAATATTAGAGCTGGAAAGTTTGTTACAGTTCCGGCGACGGAAAAGAGTAACAACAACGGAGAGCCGTCGATTAAACGATTAACTGTTAAGAGAAACATCGGAGAAGCTTGTAGAACCGCTGCGAGTAATGTTCAACCTCCTCCGCCGTCGCTTAGCCGGAGCTCTTCAAGGAAAGCGGAGCAATCGCCGTACCGGAGGAATCCACTCGGAGAAATCGATCAGAACTCGATGAAAGGAGACAAATCTGGATCTGTGGGTGTTCAGAAACCTAATCCCAAGACGACGATTAGAGCTGCTTCAAGCCCGAATCGGAGTAGATCAATGAGAAAATCTCGAGATTTCGATTTCAGTCAATCAAACGAAGAAGATGATAACAACAACAAGACGACGACGAACAATTATACTGCGTTGTTGTTAAAAGACATTGAGAATTTTCACGGGAAGAGTAATAATAATGTGGAAGATGATGATGCTTCGGTTTCGTTTAATCTTCTTCCGTCTTGTGTTACAAAGGCTTGCTCCATTGTTGAAGCAGTGGGTTTGAGCTCTGATTCGAGCCAGTTTAGATTCACATCGACTGCCAAGAAAGCGGATTTGATGGAGCCGAGCTTTGAAAAGTATGTGACTGTGAAGAGAGGATGTTCGTTGGAGGAGCAAGAGTCATCAGGAAGCAACTCTGTGTTGCTGTAGAATCAAACTTAGTGCGGAGAAATCGTTGTTTGTTTTGCTGTTGTGTATTAGTACTATGGAACATTTGGTTTGACCACTTGCTCATTTCAATCGAATCTTCTTCTCTTCCTAAATTATATTAAGGTGATCAAATGCTAATTATCAAACAATATTGTTTCTTTTTAAGTCTAGAGATTATAATATCAATCCCTAGGGTTGAAGTTAAAAGGATTTCTCAAGAAACCACATTTTGCAGCTTTTATCCAAATAATTTTCATTCCAAGGATTGATCAAGATTTCGATTGTGTTGCTGCAATTATGAACACCATAGAACTATAGTCTAGAGATTACATGAATCCAGGAGAACCAACATTCATCAATCAAGAAAATAGGTGAAAACCAGACCACAACTACAAATGCCACAATTTTTTAGAAATAGCATATTCAGGAACATCAACATATCTTTTGTACATCTTTTAGAATATAATTTATCAGATTATCAGGTGGACGATAAAAATACAGTGATCGATACTCTTCATCCCATTTTCTGACTTGTCAAACGTCAACTATTGTGAATATGCGCATGTTTCCTTTTCTCTAAATTTCATGTATTCTGATAGGAACTTGGTTTTATAGTACATAAAATTATGTGATATCATATAGATTTTTATAAGTTCTACGAAACGACTTATGAAACATGAAAAAGTGTATTTTGTTAATCTGACTGTTTCAATGTATAAATTGTTACAAATAATTCTTTTGTTTTTTTAACAACCTTTTCATTAAAACATTAAACCAAACGAACTACTACAGCTGTGGGTCCCGGTCGGGAAATAAAATCAACCAAACTCTTGGGGCGATTGAATCGGCCACAACATTTTCAAATCTAGGGACATAGCTACAAGAAATTGAAGAGAACATAGATGTAAGAGTGTGAATATCAAAAAGGAGTCCGTAGATTTCCTTGATTTGCTCATGCGCGTTTATAGCTCGGATTAGATCCTGAGCGTATGAGTTGACGAGAATGTTGGTGATTCCGTCTTCTAAGGCTTGATTGAGATCTGATCGGAGGGAAAGTGCTTCCGCCATCAGTGGGGACGAGAAAAATCTTTTAGCTGAGTGCCCTCGCTTCGTCTCTTTTCATGTAAGGTCAATGAAAATCCAGCCCGATCCGCCTATACTCGTCTCTCTGCACCATGCTCCATCTGTGAAGCAGGTAATGTAGTTTGAGTGAGGTTTTGTCGAATTTGTCTGTATGGATCTCTGGTTCAGCTTTGGATTCGATTGTTGTGCTTGTTGCCATTCCTTAGCTTCCTTTATGGCTTTTGTTATTGTATCTGCAGGGGAGAAGCTTCATTCTTCAAAGATTTGGAGATTCCTTGTCTTCCAAATGGACCAGCAGATCCAAGGGAACAGCGGTCTTGTGCTTATTCCAATAGATGGTACGCAGATCTAGGTTTGGGAGATTTTGAGAGTGGCGGCAAAGGTTTGGGAAAGGGATGGGATGATGTTGGTGGAGAAGGGGCTCAAGCTCCATACTTCTCTTGCGAAGCGCATTGGAAGAAGAGGTGTTCCGTCGTCTCCAGCTTGCCGCAGTGGAGACAACACGCTGTTTCCATGAGTCCCCAGTTGAGGAGGTTTTCACCTATAGGTAACGCCTCTTGTACAATCTTCCATAAGAACACTTTCATTTTTGGAGAGATTATGGCTTGCCATATAATTCAAAACTCTAATAATAGTATAATACCACCTTGATCAACTAATTATTACTTCTTTTACACCGGAGGAGGAGCCAATGCTTTGATGGCCATTTTCTCACCAGCGGAACAATCTTCAGGAGTGTATGTTCCGATATAATAACTATATAACCATAGGAAGTTGGATCCTATCCAGGCCCGGGCCTGAGATTCTTGAGGTCCAATTCGAAATATAAAATCTAGGCCATAAAATTGAGTTAAAGTTTATTTTTCTAAGCTAAAAACTAAAAAAGACAAAAAATAGGCCCCAAATTTTTTAAGAAAAAATATGGTGGCCCCATCCAAAAGAATTGTTTGCATGGGCTCAGGCTCGGGCCTGATCCTATCATTACCCAATGTGTACTCTTTCGCTCCAGCGTTGGTTTACACGTTTCGTAACCGACTCGGTTCACCATATACATATTGGTGATCTGATAATCGTATTTGAGCACTGCAATGCAACACCACAATTATATCAATCTAAGGTGTTTTTTTCTTGGCAAGATTTAGGTTCTTAACTAGAGTAAGATCAAAATGGATCATGTCATAAAACCAAAAAAAACAAATATGGATCATATCACACTACTATGATGATTTTGATATCCATACGTACCGAGAATATCGCCAACGTAAAAGGTTTTGCCTCATGCCCAAGTGTCCATTGGAATAACCGTGTCCCAACCGTCTTTGCCTCCGACATACGAGGTAGTCGGCCTTCGGGCATGGGTCACGTCGATGGCTAGAAACAAGCATAAAACATTAGCCATTGAAACTGTAACCGCAACAGAAGAAACGTGTCCCAATGATCGAGCCATTTGTGTTAATGGGTTAAAAAGTTTTCGGGTGAAGTAGCCGAACATCTTTGTGTTTTTATTTACATGGACTGTTAAACGATATATTACCATAATTTCGTTAAAACAAACGTTTGAAGTTTGAACGAGGAGACATGTATACATGGTTCATGAAGAAACATGTTGAATATACCGTAGTAATTATTGGCATATATAGTTTTCTAAGGTCAAACAAATTTTCTTCTTTGTAAAAAAAAAAACTTCTTTTAAGCGATTTATGGATTATATGTTTAATTGAATTTCAAGTCAAACAAAATGTTGCGTAAAGTGTATTAGTTTTTTTTTTATATGGCTTCGTCAAAAATATGTGTTATTATTCTTGATGTAACCAAATTTTGAGATCAAATAATAGATAAACAAAATTTTAAATTGTTAGTTAAAGTACAACCAAGTAAATCTTAATGTGGATTTTTAGTTTTGAATTAATTTTTGGGTGGGTGCTAGTTTCGAATTGTAAAATAGATGGTTTACTATTTGGACCTTAACAATAGCCCTTATGTTTCTAATTTTATTACCACACTAGATGGATTCCCGCGCATGATGCGCGGGGTAATATTAACTTTAAATTTTTCGTTTAAAATGCTATGTTAGTTTTAATTTTTATAGACCCTAATAGCTATGTCTTTTATTTTCTTAGTATTAATTTTTATAACATATAAATAGAAGCATATTGTTTATATTTTTTTATTTAAAAGATTATCATTTCACTTGTTTATTTCTTTTCTTAACATATATTATGAATCATATTGATTTTGTCATTAATTAAAATTATTTAGGTTTTTTACTTTTAAATACTGTATGAATTATGGGTTATTGATTTATGTATGTTACTTCATCTAAGTTGTTAGATACTTTCAAAAGCTATATGTGAATCATTTCAAAATATTTAAAATTGCTTATGATTCAATTCGATTCAAAATATCTTTAGAAAAAATGCTAAGCAAAATTAGCCAAGACAAATGCATACCATGAATCGAGAAAATAAAATAAAATAGCAAACATTCAAATTTAATAAAACATCAGAAAAAATGTTCAAAAAATTCAGTGATAAAGAAACCATATTTAAAACGCATAACCAAAAATCGGTAAAACAAATAGCAATATTCATTACATATTTCACTCAAAATATTGATGTAAGAAAATAGATTTTAATGTTTTCATGCATCATGCACGGGATAAGTGTTAACTTTTAATTTAGTTAATTATATATTCTTTTAGAAATTTAGTGTATTGAAATTTTAGTATATTTGTTATATCTTATTTAGATTAACATGAAACAACCGACTGGGGTTTTGTCTTTCGAAGAAACTAATTTTGTTTCTTTTGTAGGTTACTGATTTCAGTACCTCAAGACTTTGGGATGTTACGTTGAGCAAAGGGTATAAAATTGAAATCGAAGATCTTAAAATATGAAGAGTATGTTGTTATTGCATTTTTGTGTCTTTAACACATAATAAAGTCAATGACCTAGAAAAATATAAGGTTAGTTTTTTCATTGTTTTCTCCAAAACTAAGCTTTTCAACGTTAAGAGTTTAACCCTAGAAATAGAAAAATAAATTCAAAGCTCCAACAATTTTAACAGGAAGACCCCTTTTGTTTCTGATGATTATCACTAAAAAAAGGATCTGGTGTAACTCTGTTGGGTTTGCATTATGACCAAGAGGAACTAAATTGTTCTTATGTTTATTTTATAATTATATAACTTATTTCAATAGTAGCCTCCAAATAGAATTAGCTGGAGAGACTCATTTCGTTAAAGACTTCATAAACATCAAAGGGATTTCTGCATATTACTTACGCAAGAAACCTAATGATTGATATAGATATTCTCTTCCAATGACATACTAAATACTATATACTATATGAACATGTACATATCAATAGCTTATATTTTGAATTCTTATTACGAAAAAAATATCATTCACCTAAATAGATCGGGTGAATATGCAATAGGGAATTGATGACTTGAAACATTAATTAAGATATATTAAAATTAAACAAAACGTAACAAACATAGTAGAAAGTGAAGATAATAATGAAGAAATACAACTGAGATAGAAGCCGGCCATTAATATCAATAACAAAATGGGTAGTCGTGTGAAGATATCTTCACCACCATGTAGAGGGTCGAGTTCGGAGCCTTATCTTATCCTGAGAACAATTTAATAATATGAATAGGTTAACATAAATAAAATGAATAAGATGAATCTCATTGCATTCCTACTCCACGTATAGTATAAGAGATCGGACGTACATTGTCTCGAAAACTTGTACTTCGGGAATAGCTGAATCGAATGTGACTTCCGAGCATGTATGAAAAAGGAAAACGTGATCAGAAGAAATTTTAGTGGTTTTGGTGCAAAAGATGATGAGATTCGGGGATGGGGAAGGAGACACTTAAATAGTGGATCCGGCATTGAAGGACTCTCTAGGTATAGCCACTCTCAGAATATTTTATTTCGCAGAAATGGCAACTTATAATTATTTCAGAATTCATGCGCATGTCAAAGATTAGAAGGTAATAATCGCCCAAATCTTTTACTAATAATTGAATAATCTCCTCCGAGATCCTAATTTTATTAGGAATGAAACTTAGGAAATATGATATCCTAAATTCGCCTTGATTTCCATTATTCCTAAACTAATTATTCAGAAAAGGAAAACGTAATGAACACGTAAAAAACATGTTTTTGCATGGAAGGTTTATGATTTTTTGTAATAAAGACACGTTTGTTAATGGTTATTCTCCAATGATAAGGATCCAATGAGAGGCCCATGAGACACCCATTGCGTTTCGGAAGACTATCGAATAATAGGCCCATTGCGTAAAAAAAAAAAACCGACCCGCAAAAGATCCGCGTGTTTTACCGGATGAGAGTAAATAATTTAATTAAAAAAATCAAAAAAAAAAGAAGCCAAAAAATTGTGAGCTCGCCACGTCAGCTTTTCTGCATGGTCTTTAATATATTGTAGGATGTGCAATTGACATTATATTTTTAAAAAAAGAAAATTAAAAGAAAACAATTTATTTATTATTCCTTTCAATTATTTGGTGGTTTATTTATTTTTCTTTTTTTCTTCCTCTTTCTTCTTTTTTTTCTTCTTAGATTTCCATTGATGGCTTCTTCAAACCAGAAGAAATCAAAAGAATCCAAGAACCAGATGAATTGGTCGCGCTTTATCCACCGTGAACCTACGATAAGAAACATTGGCCTATAATTTGGGCCAAGCCGCCTAATTTGAAGAAGAAATCTCCAAAAGAAAAAGAATCTAGATATGCTAACAAGTTCTAGATTATAAGAAATAGAAATTTCAATTGAATAAATGAAATCGGATGATAATTGGATTGTAAGAAATATTGAGAACATAGGATTTGCTGATCATGTAGGATTTTATAGCTGTTTTGATTTTGTTGAAGTAGAGGAGAGAGAGATCTGAGAGAAGGAGAGAGGAATAAGAGGAAGTAGGAGAGGAAATCAAGAACACGATTTTTTTTTATATTAATTTAATAAAAATAACAAAAATATTTAAGAAAATATAGAGTTATTGACGAGTACACTATTTCAGGTAAACCATATATTAATACATATTACTATAATTATTACTATTAGATTTTAGTGTACACCATAGGGTATATACATCATATGGTGTATACAAATGTACACTAATGACAACATAAACTTGTGTACATAATTATTGGCATAAACACAATTACATATACACTATTTTGTGTACACCATATATTGATATGTACATTATAATTATTACTAGATCTTGACCCGTGCTGCCACAGCACGGGTTATTGAAATATTATTGGGCTGACAAAAAAAAAAAATCTTGATTATTGATATTTTAGGCTGATTCTTTGATTTGTAGATAGGTCGGATTCAAAAATGAATGGGCCTGATGGTTTTAGATGTCTCCTTAAGTAAAGTGACATCGTTTTGTTATTTACTCATACTTGCAAATAAAAATTTCGAATTTGGGAGCCGTTTACCAACCCTAAATCGTTAATCGATTAATTTTCTCGTTCTCAATCAAATTCTATATCCTCTTTTCTCTTCTTCTGTTGTAACGACGGAACCTGGTCGAATCGCGGATTGATATTGCTCCTAAGATGAATGAGGTCATGAATTTACAATTTCGAGTCGTGGACGTGAGAACTCGAAGTGAATTTCGAGGAGTTTATTCAGGTATATGTGTTTGTATTCTGCTTTAGTAGATGTGAATTTGATGTATAGTTTAATTGACTTTGATGTGTGTTTGTTTGTTGTATTGTTGGAGTTGGTGATTATCCTTCTCCATCCGTTTATACCAGAAATCGACATTGACCCAAGTAAATCGTTGGAAGACATTAAGGTAAATTGAATCATCTCTAATTATTGAAGTCGAAATCTCAAAGATCTTACATAACGAAGCATACAATTAAGTAGCTGAAACAAAAGAAAACGATAGGCTGGAGAAATTATTTTTGAAAACACTCACACAAACGGGAACAGAGTATTTGATTAGATAATGATTCAGAGCACTGTTTCTCGTCGAAGTGAACCTTGTGTTCATGGAGACAGATTTTCTATTATCTCAACCGAAGAACCATCACTGTCATGAAAACTGCAAATGATATTTACATTTCAGTTTAAGTTATATTACTTACCAAAAAAGAGATTCACGCATATATCTTTCAATAAACATGTCAAATAATCTGTCACTTACTATGCTGAGCTGAAATCATATACGTCCTGGTAAGGAGCATTGAACTCAAACCTAGAGATACCTCCAGCATCCTTAATCTTGATCTCATTTGTTCCTGAAAATTGTAATTTAGTTGGTGTTTAGTTAAATCAATCCAGGTGTTATTGTCTGCAGTTTTAAATGTATCAAACTATTAAAAATAAGGTAATGGTACATACTTCGGTCCATGTAAACAACCCAGTCACTCATTGTATGAATGTCTCGGTTGTACCATGCTTCCACCATTTGTCGTACAATTGGAAAGCCAATGCACCATAAGCTTTGCATTCCAAAACCTCTTCCCTAATTCCACATTACGTCCCAAAAAGTTGTTAGTCGGAAACATAATCAAATCATTATAATTCGGCACTGTAAAATGAACTAATTGAACGTAATCCGTTAAACTTACTCCAAATCTTTAATCGTGAATGTAACTCTGTTTGTTTTCTTGTCATTAGAGAGCGTAAAGCTTTGATCTCTCACAACAGTTAACTCACCAACGTTTTCTAGGTAGCCTATGAGATCTACGAAAATTACCAAGCATAATTTAAGACAACAATTCAATCCACAAATAACTGCATATATAATTGATATGTAAGAAAGTTTATGTGCATATAAATACATTTTTGTTGACATACCTATTGGATAGTGTGAGCTATAGACTCCATTCATGACATCATTGTATCTCTTGAAGTCATGTAGTGGTCTCTGAAAACACCATAACCATTGTGCAGGTCTGTTTCGCCGGTCAAGATGATGGTTTGTTCATTAACAGCGAATCGGAAACCAGGTGGTGAAAACTCCACATTAAAGCCAGTTATGATTTTCCATTTGTTCTCATGCATAACATCGTCGAAATGTGCATATAGATTTGTCCCTGGACCTACAATTGCAGGTATTTTACCACCCTGAAAAGAAAAAAAAAATGTTATAGACAATGAATCTGATATTTCTTATTATATTACATGCCTGAATCGTATCATAACATTCATAATTAGCGATATAGAAACTTACATAATCATCTACTAACAGAAACCGTAAGATGTCACCACCTCCATCAACCATTTCGCTCCACTTTTTCAGAACCATAACCCTTATTGTCCAATCATTACGGTGAGGAGTAAGTTCGGAGATCTTTGAGATAGTGGCCATCTTTGAAACTATTTGATGAGGCTGCGTTTATACATAATATGTTATGTGTGGTTATTTATAGGAAGAGAGTTAGGTCATAGTCAATTCCTTGTCCGTCAATGGTAATATAATATTCTCGATGGGAAAGACAATATTTTCAAAATCTAATTCGATATTCACTGCTTTTTTGACCGTTTGGTATAATCCTTTGAATGAGTAGTAACTTGTTCTCTGTTTCCAAGATAAATAAGAGATGCCCATTGACTGTATATGTTTTGCAGGCAGCTTTTGTTCTGTTCCTAGAGGTGACAAAAGCTCTCCATGTAAGAGAAGTCTTTTCACCGAAAATTCAGCCTATTGCTATATAAGTCACGGTAAACACAGCTTGTTTATTGGCTTTATCATTATTTGGAATGTGTATATTTATGTGACTCTATTATCTTTATTGGCTTTATCATTATTTGGAAGGTGTATATTTATCTAAATATATTGATATAGCTGTCCTGAAGAATGTAAACCATATTAATTATGAAGGTTTGTTTCCTTATTTTTGGACGTAGATATTGAGACAATAGAAGTAGAAGACTCAAGCAATTATATAGACCGGGGTCAATGAAGAAAGATGCCTCAAATTTAGGCAAACAGAATTAGCATATCCAGAATTGACAATGTCATATTTGAAAAGTGAACATGGAGCAGAAACAAACCTCTCCCTAATAGTATTGAGCCTCTTTTGATCCTTCCTCACAGTGTTGTTTTTCATCCTTTCTGAGGCTCTTTTTCATCCGTGATATTGTTATTTGTATCGTAGTTTGGGAGAAGCTTTTGAGAGAGTGAAAGAATCAGACAGTGACATTTTTAGTGTATTTGTTTTCTTCTGGAAATGTATTTGACTTTTTTGAATGAAGCTTTATATAATATAGTTTTTCTGGAAAGTGTTTAACAGTCTACTGCTTATAAAAGAGATTGATCTGTAGATTAAATAAATGCCATAACTCGTTAAGGCACTAACGAACCCATGGGAGGATAACATATAAATGAACCTCGGCAACATATAATTTCTGATAAAAAATAAGTTTGTAGTGTGAAGGTTTAATCTAATGAGGAAATGTTTGAAAGAAAAACAACTAAAGATTCTGGAAAACCTCTTAGAAAACTACATTCATTGTCTTCTTCTTGGGCTTCCCATCCTTGTCAACAATCAAAATCTTCAAACCTTTCTTTGATGTCACCCTAGAGATTGCTACATAAAGCTGACCATGGGAGAATACAGGTCTTGGTAAAAAAATACCAACTTTAGACAGAGATTGCCCTTAACTTTTTATTTTTTATTAATTTAATAAAAATAACAAAAATATTTAAGAAAATATAGAGTTATTGACGAATACACTATTTTAGGTAAACCATATATTAATACATATACTATAAATATTACTGTTAGATTTTAGTGTACACCATAGGGTATATACATCATATGGTGTATACAAATGTACACTAATGACAACATAAACTTGTGTACATAATTATTGGCATAAACACAATTACATATACACTATTTTGTGTACACCATATATTGATATGTACATTATAATTATTATTAGATTTTAGTACATATATTGTATTTTGGTGACTCGTACACCATATATTGATACTTACATCATAGTTAGCGTGTACATTATTTTGTGTACACCATATATTGATATGTACACTATAACTATTATTAGATTTTAGTTTATGCATACTGTATTCTAGTGATTTGTACACCATATTGATACGTACACTATTATTAGCCGTGTACACTATAACTATTATTAGATTTTAGTATATATTCTGATGATTAGAGTGTACACTATTTTGTGTGATATATATAGTTGTTATTAGATTCTAGTGTATATATACTGTATTATAGTGATTCGTACTCCATATATTGATATGTACACCGTTATAAAAAGTGTACACTATTTTGTGTACACCATATGTTTGTATGTATACTATGGATATTATTAGATTTTAGTGTATATATATTGTATTTCAGTTGTTCGTACAATGTTATTAGTGTGTATATTATTTTGTGTAAACCATATGTTAATATGTACACCATAATACGTACACTATATATTAATATACGTACACCATATATTGATCATATATCATATGCTAATTTTTATACTATTTTTGTGTATACCTATAGTTATTATTAAATATTGATGTATTTACACTATATTCTGGTGGTTCGTGATAGGCATACACTTTATAATCATGTTAATATTGTTCAATTTGAAAAAAAATTAAATTTAATATGTATAGCAAAAAAAAACATTGTTTTTTCTAATATAAATTATTATATAATTTCGATATAAATGATATAATTGAATCATAATTTTAAAGGGAAAAACTCTATGTTTCTTCCTCTTTCTTATCAAAATATCCAAAATGTCTTCTTTTTATTGGGCCCTACAAACTTTGAACTATTCTTATTTAAACTTTATTTTTTATCCTCTCTCACATAAAATACCTCGTGTATATTTTTGGCTGCACAAGCGCGTGCGCACATGTCCTTAGCGGATGGGTCCACCACTTTTCACTTTCTCCTCTCTCTCCTCAGTCCCTCTCTTACACCCAGGGTGATTTCGGTCCACATTGTGCGAAAGTCTAATTCTCTATTTTGATTTGCCAATTTAAACTTGACCCCACCTCATTTTCTAATTTTAAACTTGAAACTACCCACTTTCCAAAGAATCCCATATTAAGTTTTATCCATATTATTCAGTATTCCATACCAGAATCCAGAAAATGGGTTTGCTTGTTGTCATGAACCAATAAATCTTCCAGTAAAAGGATTGCATAGGACATTATTAGTTATTAGATGGACAAGCTCAACATTTATGTTGAAATAACACATTTGTCTTTTCAGCTAGTCTATGATATTTCATTATGGTCGAAACTGATGTCACTTATTTCTATCTATTGTGATAGCCAAACAACTTTCGTTAAGGTTTATAGTCAAGTGTATGATGGAAAATCGAGATACCTAAGTGTTAGACAAAACATGGTACGTGAATTGATCACTCACAGGGTGATAACTATAGAGTTTGTTCAGTCTCAACAAAATATAGCGGCTCAATAGAATCATCTAAAATACACTTTCGTGATAAACAAAAACATAACGAATTGAAAGCTGATTTGGTTGAGCATATTTGAAACAATTTTGGTTCTTAATCATGTTTTCATATGTTTTAAAACATGTATGTTTGTCTTCGTTTTATGTTTTTTTCAAGTATGCGGTTTTTTTCCCTTTTTATATGTAATATATGTTTTATTTGTTTTTTTAATTATGTACTCTAGTTATTATGAATAATTTTATTTTCTTCATTTTATAAAAATTTAAAAAAATTCAAAAAAAATGTATTTTAAAGAAACTCATATGGAGCTCTCCAATGTTGTGGCATTATTATCAAGTTTCTTCCCAAATCTCTTTAACTAAAATAATAATTTATTTAATATATTTAATGTTTAAAAAAACCCATGAGCACCTACAACGGTGAGACTGAATGGATTTCTTTAGACAAACAAAAAAGAAAAAAACAAAATATTTATCTAGGTGGCGAGTCTCAAGGTGATAGACGCCTCTCTCAGTCTAAACCATTGATCATTGCTAAACCATTAATAACAGTTGTTGGTCTTTGCCTTATCACATTGGTGTTAAAGCCTTTCAGGCAATAGGAGGTAAGATCGACTGGTCGTCATGGTCATCAATCAGTCATATCTCCAATTTATAATAAATTTTAACGAGAGACTGGCTAGTAAATTTATTTCACTCAAGAACTTGCCCCCTACTCTTCAATTTCTCAGAGTAACATTTTGTCAAATCGTCGAGCGCTGCCCCTACTCTTCAATTTCTCAGAGTAACATTTTGTCAAATCGTCGAGCGCTGCTTAATCATGTCACTTGTAACTGTGATTATATCTCGAAGTTCGTGCTTCGAACGCATAGAGAAATATCTACCGACCCATGGCATGGTCCCTTTAGAAATATACACGGACAATAGAATAACAAAACCAAAAAATATTATTTAAATAAGAAAACAAAAGACATACCTTTTTACTTTCTTGTCTGTCGCTCATGTGAGGTTTCTTAAGCAGGATCGGCAAAGCTTTTTTTTATTCATATGGAGATATCCATAAATATTAAGAGGGACATAAGATATAATATTTCCTGTGGGTTGCTCACATGAGATCTCTTTAAAAGAGACCCACACGTTTTTAATGTATGTGCTTCCTTTCCTTTCCAACATTAATTTAATTATATAGCAATAAGAAGATTGTACGTCGTTCGTCTTCCTTTGTCAGTCGATCAATTTCATATCATTGGAGTCACGTGGGACTAATAAGGTAATGGAGATGGACATCTACTTTCCTCATCCTCCCTTTAAGAATATACTTCCATTGCTTTTTCCACGGGGTCTTCAGCCGAATGCATCTCGATGATCAACAATGTCGTTTGGGACCGTTGGTCGCTTCCTGATATAGATGTTATTTATTTCTTCTGTATCTCGCTCCTTTTGTCTCCTTAGTCATTCCCTCTCTCTTTATTTGGAGTTATTAATCCTTTTCCTTTGATGTCGTGTGTATAATAGAAAACTCATGACCTTTGGTAGAACTCCTTTTTATCTCTAATTGATCTTGGTCTCATAAGACCTAATAAAAACTAGCAAGGACAAACACTTTTTATATGTTTGCCTTTGGATGGTCGCTTTAAAATATGTTGAGAGTACAATTTTTCTGATGATGTACGTAGCAACGACACTCTTGGGTGTCTTGCCCCCACTATCAATCAGTGATATGTCCATGTAAGGAATCTATTTGAGTTGGCCAGTCGATGATGAACGAGCCTGATGCACGAGCCTGTCGTTTGTACCAGTTGGTCAGTCGATGATGAATGAACCTGCTTGCACTCTTTTGAGGAGGTTATACCTCACCCTTCTTCTAACGCCAAACTGTTTGGGCAAAATTTAACTGGTTCGCAAGTACAATAAACAGAATGACGCAGGAGAAGATATCTTATTAATCAATTGACTACCAGTCAAGCTACAACAAAAGCCTAATGCGACGGAGGCGGGAGCTTTTTAGATTAAGCAAATGGCGACATTTTCTTTGTTTAATTTGGTGTATAAGACATGATTGGTTGATGTATAAGACATGATTCCTTTATATATATGTGACATGATTTGTTTATTTTATGTCAAATGGGATTGGTTTAACAGTTTCAAAAACCCCAACTTAATTAAACATCTTCATCACGACATCACCCACGTTTTAAAACTAAGACGACGAATTTATCTCTTCTCCTGTTTGCACTTTATACAAACTCTTAGATCACAAATAGAAAAGAAGAAAGATTTATTCACAAATCACAACTGACGAAGAAATGTACGTTCGTCTTTCGTCCATGTTTCAACTGGAACGCATCATCCTAGTCGCCGCCCACTAAGGAGATTGGCCTGCTCTACAGCCAGCATATAATTCATGATTAGCTGCATCTAACATATAAAAAAACCTCATTGCTTCTAAATTTGGTTCCTCTATTCTATTTCCATCTTCTATAAACAACGGAATATGCTCACGAAAAGCATCATTAACCATGAGAACCGCACTATCTTCTTCAACAGGCATTATAGGTTCCTCTAAATGCTCATAAACAAAATCCCCACTACTACCACCTACATTCCCTACTGCACCATGAAAATACCACACTTTGTAATTCTCTCTAAATCCTCTTCTATACAAGTGATTCCACACTTTCTCTACTCTGCGAAATTTATTATTATCACAAGTAGGACATGGACAAAACATCCTACCAGTATCCAAGCATCTTTGTTCTTGTGTAGAAAATCCCATGAACTCCGTAAGACCTTCTCCAAACTCAGGTGCACGTAGTCCAAAACTTGAATCCCAAAGATTGTGGTACATCAATCCTCGAAAATCATTAGCATCTGAAGACATCACAAAATTTTCTTTAGAATCTTCAGAAAAAAAAAAAAAAAAAAATAGCAGCCGTGGAGTTTCATATCTGTTTTATCATCGGAAGAAGATGGGGCTATTTTTGTCATTTCCGTTGTTCGTAATTAATAAACGTATTAAATGGGTATCCTAAGGTTAGAACCGGCATCCACATACCTTTTCTTCGAACATTTTTCCAACTGGACTAACTAAATTTGACACAAATCCATCACCTGAACGTTATATATAGAGCTGTCAAAATGGGCGTCCATGTCCATTTTGGCCCGTCCAATAATGTCCATTGTGTTTTGTGGACATATATTGTCCATGTCCAATTAGGCCCATGTCCATAATAGCCCATGTCCATTATAGTCCATTTTAAATGGGCTGACCATGGGCAGCCCATGTCCAACAAAAACAATTTTTTTTTCCCAAGCTATATTGAATAAGCCGAACAAACTGAAAACAGAATGACACCAAAAGACTTGTGCTACACTCATGTGACCTGTCCTTGACACTGCGACATAAATGTAAAATGTATCAAATTCTGTAGCTTCCATGAGTCCATAACTCAAACACTTTAGCGAGTCTTCCAAATCAACAAAGAAACAGAAAAAGCAAAGCAACAAAACTTACCAAATCCAACCAATGACTTAATCTTCTTCTCCTTGGTTCTTGTCTTCCTCAAACTTAGAGAACTCAAACTCATCATCTAAAACACAACAAAATAACAAGATTGAGAGATCATAGAAACAAGCAGAACCAAACAAAATAAAAAGAGAACTCAATTCAGAACATAAATCTTACCAATCTCTTCAAAACCGCGAAGCCAGTTCCTTGCACAGATCAAGGCCTGCACATTTGAAGGAAGAAGAGAACTCCTATACTTATTTAGCACTCTACTTCCTATGCTAAATGAAGACTCCGAAGCTACAGTGGTAATAGGGATGCTCAATACATCACATGCCATCTTAGCCAAATCCTTAAAACGGTTTGCGTTGTCCTTCCAATAGCCTATAACATCAAAATTCGGAAATGCAACCATATCCAACACTGACTCCTCTAGATATTTGTCTAGAGAAGACATTGCATTACCACCTGTTGCTTGAGAAAAAAAAGCATAGAAACCCTGAAAGGTAGAAACAAAATCGCATTCAATTAAGCAAGCATAAAGATATATAAGAAACTGAGAATACAGAAAAGAATCTTACTTCATATCCAGGAAGAATATTTGTGTTTCTTTCAGAACTTTCTTCTCCAGTTCCATTGGTGTTTTTGGAATACACACTAAAAAATTTCTTCATCTTCTTTCTCACATTATCCACTCTGGATTTGCTAGTGGTTGGATCTAGGGAATGGAAGCAATACTCTAAGCACTTGAACTTGAGCCGAGGATCTAATACAGCAGCAATTGCAAGTATGTCACTGTATTCCTCCCAATATTTATCGAATTTCTCCTTCATACTTCCCACCATCTCTTGGATCACCTCATCATAAGAGAACTCATTTGTTTTCAGCCAACTTTCAATGATATAGACTTGCATGAAGTACAAATTCGCAGAAGGATAAGTTGATCCTGAGATCATCTTTGTCATCTCTGCGAATGGACACAATAGCTCACAAATACTCTCGGCTCTTCTCCACTCTTCCTCAGATGGATTGCTCACATACTCAGCTCTACTTCACCAAGATGTCGAAAAACTTCCTTAAACTTGATAGCTCTCTCCAACATCATATAAGTAGAATTCCACCTAGTTGTCACATCTGAAACCAGTCCTGCCTTAGCTATATCTTCCCTAATCCCCACAACTTCCACACAATCCTGAAATGACTTCTCTCTAGACTCAGAGGCCTTCACAAACTTCACACTGTCTCTGATTTTCTCCAAAGCTTCTTCAATCACAGTCAAGCCACTTTGCACAATCAAATTCAGAATATGAGCAACACATCTAATGTGAAAAAACTCTCCATTGCATACCAAGTTTTTTCGCATCTGCCTCTTGAGAACTCCCTGCATGTTATCATTTGATGAAGCATTGTCCACAGTGATAGTAAACACTCTCTTCTCTAGACCCCATTCTTTCAAAATCTCCATCACCTTTGAAGCTATAGCAGCACCAGTATGTGGAGGAGGAAACACACAGAAAGACAAGATCTTTGCCTTCAAATTGAAGCCTCTGTCAATGTAGTGGGCAGTCAAACACATGTAACCCTCTACTGTGATTGCTCTCCACAGATCAGTTGTCAAGCAAAACCGACCAGGAATATCACTTAAACTCTCCCTGAGTTTCCTTTTTTCTTTCTCAAATATCCTAAGACAATCTGCTACAGCTGTATTTCTACACCAAAACTCTATAGACGAATTCGCATAGACAAAAGCTTCCCTGATCCTTCTGTATTCAACGAAAGAGTAAGGCAGATTATGCTCAATGATTGCTACTGCAATCATTTCCCGGAATACCATCATATCCAACTTCCTATTTCCACATCCAGGAGTCATTGAGCATACTCTCATGTGACGCAACATAGTATTGGTTCCACTACGCAGATCTAAGCAGTAAATATGCTCACAATGGCGACACTGAACATCCTTTTTCCCATCAGGATACGTCCCTAAGACCTTAAAACTCTTCCAACACTTAGATTTCTTGCGTCTATTGTTACCTCTCCCTCGATTCACAGATGTACTCACTATGGAATCAGCTTCTTCTACTGGGTTCTCTTCATCTGGATCCATATCCTCATCACCAGTCATGTAATCTTCACCAAGGTTCAAAGCCTCATCGTTCTGTTCCTGAGTTTCCTGAGTTTCCTGACATAGCAGTAAATAAATATGAAATTACAAAAGAGAGCAGCAAACAAACAAGAGACAAACAAGATATAGAGCAGAAACTTCAATGCATTATGTTTAACAAGACATGACCAATGATCAAGACAAGCAGAATATCACACACTTAACAAGGAGTGTAATCCTCAGCAGTAAGTTAATCATAAGTTTTCAAAAATCAGAAGACTGTGAATTCTATGGATACATGACAGCAGTAAGTCTAGCTCCAAAGAGCAAACAAGCATTCAATTTTTGAGCAAACACTCTGTATAAGAACTAAAGAACATATACAAAAACCTTTCATGTATGACAAAAGATAAACTTACATTTCACACAAACTAGTCAATTACCATCTACTTAACCCATACACAGAACCAATTGATCAAGAATCATTTATACAAATGGACAAAACCAGAGGCAAAATCAACAAACCCTTTATACAAATCAACGAAATAAACAGGCCCTTTTTACAAATCAACGAAATTAGCAATCTAATCAATGAAATCGAAAAATTACTGAAGCCATGAAGGATGATGTGTTGTCGTCTCACGAAGAAGAAGACGATGCTGTTCGTCGTTGGCGGAGAAAAGGTCGTCGTTGCCGGAGAAGACCGCCGGAGATGAAGGGAAACGGCCGGAGAAAAGAGAAGCAGAGAGTGAGAGAGCGATTTTTGTAGAAAGGTCGTGAGTGATAATGAAAACCCCCAAATCGATTTTAAGTTTATGACCTAGCTTTTAGTGTTTGTCGGGCCGCCCAGTTCCATTAGTGTCCGTCCAATAATGCCCATGGGCGAGATTGGACACGCCCATTTATGTCCACAAAATTATTGGGCTTGTCCATAGCCCGTCCACAATCAACTGGACATGGACCGCCCATGGGCATCGCGCCCACTTTGACAGCTCTAGTTATATATAACTGTATGTTTATATAAATAGAAAAGACATAATTTCCTAGGGATTCGAACTCTAAATCTTGTTGCCTTAACAGAAAACGTTTTACCAATTGAGCTAACTTTCTCACCAACCAGTCTCTCACATAATAGTATTTATAGGTATTCGTAAAAATATAGAAATTTAAAAAAAAATACACTGATTACTGACATATTTTCCACCGACTATTTTCGGTGAGAAATTGGTCACAATTTTTCCACCGTTTTGCGACCAAAAATTTTTCTGGGAAATTTTTCACCGAATATTCACCAATATTTAAATCTGTCAGAAAATGGTAGAATTCTGGTGAAATTATTTGCCCACCAATTTTTTTTGTGAGAAATTTGGTGGTAAGATGACCTAGTTTCTTGTAGCACTAGGAGATATCCCGGCTACGCCGGGTAATATTGAATATTGAACTTGTTTGAAGTTTCTATAGACAACATCTTGAACCTATAATAAGAGAGCTTCATATTCCGTTTACAAAGTGATTTTTCTTTCTTCACGTTGGTGCTTAAGTATCTTCCTCTTATTTGTCGGCAGGTTTTTGTCTTCTGATAGAATTGGCTCTTTGCTATGATATTTAGACAATTATGAAAGTTATTTCTGAATGAATGAAAACTGTTATGAAAGTTAAAGTTCGGAAGTGGGAACCAAATTAAGAACCACCGCATAAAATAAACCAAACTCTTCAACTCATAAACATGTCTAATGAATGTGAATTTGTCTGTCTCTCTAATGGCCTTTTCCATATCTTTCTAAATGAGGGATGAGGTTCTGTAATACGTCCCCCCTTCTCACGTAATACATTGACATAAACTAATCGTTGTATTGTATACAAACAATTGCCACAAAACTCCTACTAAATGCAAAGAGACATATAAGTGAATTTTAATTTCTTTAGAAATTGTTCTGATTAGGATTTAACGTGACTTTCAAAGTAAATAATATACAGTTGTGGACATCAATTTATTTTCTAATGGGTTTTTGTGATAGTTATACTTTATGTCAATGTGTTCGCCTTCTCAGTGAATTAGCACAAATCCTTATGAAATCACTCATCTTGGAGACTTAGTATTCTAAAGAAACTTGTATATATCAGCCCTATCATATTCCGAAATGCAAGAAGTGAAGAAGACAACATTGAGAACTCACCTTTTAGAGTATTTTTTGCGAAATGCTCAAAACCAATTTTATGGGCAAGGTGCCTCTACTTGTTTTTTTTTGTTTGGTGTAGAACATGTGCCTATACTCTCTAGTACTCCCTTTCTTTCTTCTCCGAGGTGAAATTATAGTCCAACGAGTCTTTTCTTTCTCTTCCAGAGTCTTGCCAATAACTTTATTTGTTACGTCATGATGCACACAATGTTTATGAGATTTAAGATACACCAATGTATTATCTTAAGCTAATTTACATTGTCAATAAGTTTTTATCAAAAACAAAGAAGATTCTTAAAGAGAGACAGAGTAAGAATTCTGTTTACATATTCAATGTAAGATTCATACATCAGTTTATATTTATTTGAGTGTCCTTCGCTAACCCCTAAATGTCTCTCTGCATCGAATAACGTTACTGTTTCATGGTAAAGTACCTGAATGCTATATTGCTTTATGATACATTGGTAGAGGAATAAACCTAAGAATTACACATAACAACTAACATTCATACGTACCCAAAAAATACATAACAATCAGTGTCAACCTAACAACTACACATATAGCAAGGAGAGTAAAAAATAAGTGAATGACATGCTTTATAAAAATTAAAAATAAATACATTTTCTCTTGATCTCTTTGTTCATTGAACCTCCAACCCAGCAGTTGCCAAGACAAAGCAACTTTACAAAAGCCTTGATTAAACCAAAAAGCCCTGTATGTGAAAGTAGGAAGATCAGTTAAAATTCATCTCTTGTTTTAGCTAGACAAACAAAATTGGTAAACATTTAAATGCAACTATAACTTGAGAATTTTACCAAAAAAAACTATAACTTGAGAAAGCTTTAGCTGTTATCAGTTTTCAAGTGCAAAGTATACATAGATTGGGAGGAAAACAGGATATTAAGCAATGTGCGAGGTATATATATAGCGGTTTGAAACAAAAGGTGAAGCATCTTGGAGAAGAAAAAGCTATCGGAAAATAGTAAGAAAAAAAAATGGTTGGGACAAAGAAAAAACATGATTGGAGGAGGTACATATCTTGAGGCTGAACATATCAATATATTGAATATAATTCATAAGAGATTTCTTAGTGCCCTTACGGTGGTCGTGTGGCAAGCCACCTTTTCATCCCATTCTCGTAAGCTTGATTACCTAAGGAGCCAATTGAGCTTAAACGGTTACATACGTTCTTATCAATGATCTTTGCAAGTCTAAGCTGGAGAGGGGGATTCTCCATGTCTGCGATTGTTTCTCTCTCGCCATACATGAGAGAGCGCTGTTTAAAAAGTATATCGCAAAAGGAAAACTTTCGATCACTTGATTGCTGGTGAAGGAGATACACCAACTGATTCCAATCAGCTGAGTAGTCTCTAGCAAGGAGATTGCGCATGAGGTCTGGCCAGATTGTCTCTGAATAGAAGCACATAAAAAACAGATGATTTTGTGTTTCCTCTGGATCCCCACATAAAACACAAGCCGTTCTCTGTCCTGAGCCCCAGCTGCCAATGCGGTCTCCCGTGGATAGACGATTTAGCATGCCGCGCCAAGAAAGGAATGCATATTTTGGATTTAAATGCTTGAACCAGATTCCTCTGTACCACTCTCTCTGATTCTGCGCTTCTCTAATCATGTTCCAAGTACCACTTGAAGTGAATCACCTGAATAGTTTCATTGCGACATGTACACATAAAAGAACTGTCTCAAGTCAGCATAGAAAAATTAGGAAAATATATCGTCAAAGATTAGGAAAAATGTTCCTTGAAAGACAGAAAAGACTTTGCAATCTTCGACTACATAGTCATCATGTGATTCTACCAATCGAAAAGGCTTCATAACAGCTGCCAAAACATATTCAAGTCAAAAGCCATTTAACTTCAGATTAAGGTGTTGAGACTAAATCAGCAAGGTTAGTGTTAAGAAACTGATTGTATTATCTCTTAACAAAGTACAAATCCGATTAAAGCCAGTATCTCTCTGACATTCAATCGAATTCTCCTTTTGATTTGATGAACAAGCTCATCCAAATCACAAATCTCTCAAGAACAATGTAACTAACTTTCTCTCTCAAAATATCTTGATAAAATGTTTAATGCAACAAATCAAGTATTTATATTCAGAGTAAAGAAGCTGAGCTTCATTTGTCCACGTCATTTCCTACAAACGACTCTTCTCGGTTTAGCTCCGCTTCTTATATCCTCTCCTTTCTTCTGACGTACCGGTTTAGCGTCCTAACGATACCCCCCTCGCCAATGAGAAGCTTGTCCTCAAGTTCTGGAAATTCGTTGAGAAGCTCGGACGCAAGCACCAAAGATTGTTCATGGGAAGGTAAGCCCTTCCACTTCACTAAACCTTCCAAACGTCCTGCAGCATTGTAACGAGTCTTGACTATCTCCTCCGGTTCAATGACCAAAGTCAGACTCGTCGCAAACGATGCCGGAAGTGCAGAAACCTGATGTCCCGACCCCAACACCGGTTTCAATTGAGAAACATGAAACACCGGATGTATTTTGGAGTCATTAGGTAGCTGCAAACGATACGCCACTTCTCCAATCTTCTCCAATACTTCAAACGGTCCATAATAACGGGCTGCCATCTTCTGGTAAAGCCTCTTGGCCACGGATTGTTGGCGATAAGGACGTAACTTCAAGAAGACTTTATCACCTGGCACAAAAGAAAGTTCCCGTCTATGTTTATCGGCGTTATTCTTCATTCTCTCCTGAGCAAATACCAAAGTCTCCTTGATCTGATCCAACATCACATCCCGCTCCTTCAGCATAGATTCAAGCTCAAAATTCGTTGTGGATCCGTCTTCATACCTCAAAAGCATAGGAGCCTCTCTTCCATAGATAACACGAAATGGTGTAGATCCAATCGCTGTATGGAAACTTGTATTGTACCATAATTCTGCCCAACTCAAATATTTGGCCCAAGTCTTGGGTTGAGAAGAAGCAAAACAACGTAAATATGTCTCCAAGCAGCGATTAAGAACCTCTGTTTAACCATCTGACTGCGGATGAAATGCCGTACTATACTTCAGACGAGTTCCAGATTGCTTAAACAACTCCTTCCAAAACGAACCAAGGAAAATTCGATCCCTGTCTGAAACAATAGACGACGGAAAGCCATGTAGCTTTACTATCTCGTTGATGAACTTGGTTGCTACATCTGCAGCTGTGAAAGGATGTTTCAGCCGCAAAAATGTGCAAACTTGCTCAATCTATCCACAACGACGAGAATCACATTAACTCCATGTGACACCGGCAATCCTTCAATAAAATCCATCGACAAATCTTCCCAAATGCGATTTGGTATAGGCAGAGGCTGTAACAATCCCGCTGGAGACAGAGTTGAGTACTTATGGCGTTGGCAAATATCGCATTCCGCTACAAACTTCTTTATATCTTTCGACATCTTTCGCCAATAAAACATACTCTGGACTCGTTTCAGAGTCTTCAAAACTCCTGAATGACCACCTATAAGCCCCGCGTGGTATTCCTGTAAGAGCAGCGGAATGTGAGATGAATTTCGCGGAATCACTAGCCTCTGTTTAAATCGCAACCTCCCTGCAACAACTTTGTAACCAACTTGCTCCTTTACACCATCCTTCACTCTTTGTAACTGCTCTTGAATCTGCACATTTGCATCAATCTCTTTAAAGATGTCTTGCATTTGAAGATTCGCTGGCATTGTCAACGCTGCACAATGAGCAATGAACGAGTTTGATTTCTCCGATACGATTCTCGATAACCCATCAGCAGCCTTATTCTCAACACCAGGCTTGAATATTATCTCAAAATCGTACCCCAGAAGCTTGGTTAACCATTTCTGGTATTCCATTGAAACCTCACGTTGCTCAAGCAGAAACTTCAGGCTCTTCTGATCCGTATGCAGATAGTGCCTCCATTTCTGAATGGCTAAAACCACTGCCATTAACTCCCTCTCATAGATCGGCTTAATCTGTTCTCTATCTGATAGACCGGAACTGAAGTAAGCTATTGGTCTCTGGTTTTGCATCAAAACAGCTCCCATCCCGTAACCTGAGGCATCCGTTTCTACAATGAATGGTTCTGAGAAATTTGGTAAAGCCAATACTGGAGCTGTCATCATTGCCTCCTTTAATTCCTCAAAAGCAGTCTGAGCTCTCGTAGACCATTCAAATTGATCTTTCTTCAGCAGATCTGTCAAAGGTCGTGCCATTGCGCCATAGCCTTTCACAAACTTCCTGTAGTACCCCGTTAGTCCCAAAAATCCTCTCAACTCTTTAACTGATCTTGGAACTGGCCACTTCTTCATAGCCTTTGTTTTTGAAGGATCTGTTGCTACACTGTCTTCAGAGATGATATGGCCAAGGTAATCGACTTTAGACTGACCAAACAAGCATTTTTTTTTTGTTAGCAAACAGTTTGTGCTCCACAAAAACCTCCAACACTGTCTCTAAATGCTTGAGACGATCTGATACACTGCTACTAAAGATCAAGATATCGTCAAAGAAGACCAAGACGAAACTTCCCAAGTACGGACGAAAAATCTCATTCATGAGTGCTTGAAATGTCGCAGGAGTGTTTGTGAGTCCAAACGGCATAACTAAGAACTCATAATGTCCATTTGAAGTCCGGAAGGCTGTTTTCTCTATGTCTGCCTCCAACATTCTAATTTGGTGATAACCAGCTCTTAAATCCAGCTTGGAAAACACCTTTGCGTCGTGTAACTCATCCAACAACTGATCAATGACTGGGATAGGAAATTTATCTGCCACCGTAGCTTTATTCAAGGCTCTGTAATCAATGCAGAATCTCCAGCTCCCGTCCTTCTTCTTAACCAACAAAACTGGACTCGAGAAAGGGCTTTTGCTCGGTCTAATCGTTTCCGCTTCTAACATCTGAGTGACTAGCTTCTCCATCTCTTCTTTATATGTGTGTGGATATCGGTAAGGTCGTACACTCACAGGCCCTGTTCCCGGTATCAAGTTGATCGTGTGTTCTCTGCCCCTGATCGGAGGTAACTGAGTTGGTTCAGCGAACATGTGATCGAACTTTGTTAAAATATCCTCTACCTCTTCTGGTATTTTCTCCGTCAACTCCACATTGTTTACTTCAAGGAAATCCATGTCAAAACTCGCTAACTCCAGGCTGTTGAGTGAATGGTTCTCCTTGAACGATTTTCCCTTTTTCTGCAAGGCCGGATCACCATAAAGAGTTATCAGTGACCCTCTGTACAGGAACGACATCTCGTGCTTGTCCCAATCATGTTCGCATTTGCCTAACGTTCTCAGCCAATCAATCCCCAAAATCAGTTCTGCATTGCCCAGCTCCAAGACAACAAAATTCATCTCAAACTCATGTGACTGCAGCGTTACTGAGACATCTCTGCATACTCCATGGCCGTTAACAGTGATGCCAGTACCTAACAAAATCTCTAAGCTTCTGTTCTTCGTTGGTGAAAGACGAGTTTTGTTAAGTACTGAAGGATCTATAAAGTTGTGTGTTGCACCACTGTCAATCATTACCACCACTTTTACATTGTCAATCTCACCCGAGAGTTTCGTTACTGCAGGTGAGTCTAAACCCAAGTAGGATGATAGTGATAGTTCCATGAGTATTGGTTCTGCATTTTCCTTATCCTCCATATCTATGACCCAATCTTCCTCCAAGATCTCAATTTCTTCATCGTTTATCACCATAAACACCTGTAACATCATATTCTGACAAGTATGACTTCTCGACCACTTTTCTGGGCATTTGAAACAAAGACCCAAACGTTTCTTCTCTGCAATCTCAGCTGGTGATAGTTTCAACATTCCACTGTAGTTTTTGCCTACACTGCTTCTCCAAGGTGGTTTTCCATTTTGGCTTTGGGAATCCTTTGCCTTCTCTACTGATTCACTGCTCGTACTGCTCCCGCTTCTTTGAGTGTTGTAATTGAAAGCCGAACGCAATGGAAAGTAAGCGCGTCGTGATGGATTTGTAGCCTCAGCCATCGATTTACAAAACGCACTATCCTCCATTGAGATCACTGCATTGAAACAGTTTGTCAAACCCCTCGGTTTCTGCATCTTCACTACTTCTTTCATCTCCGTTTTGAGTCCAATGTAGAACATATGTTCCAAATTTTCCTCATCAATCCCTGTCACAATCCGCAATAGAACTAGTCTGTCTCAAGCTGAATAATCTCTTCCCTGGATTCTCTTCCATCTTTTGACTAAACCTCGCAATCATCCTTTTCTTGAACTGTGGCCAATCTCTGAATGGTTCTCTGGACATTTCTCTGTTGAACCAGTGAAGAGCTGGACCTTTCAGCGTAATGGAAAGTAGATCCAACCTATCATCATCCGAATACCGCCCCAGCCTGAAAAATCTCTCCGCCAACGAAATCCAAGTATACGGATCGGATCCGTCAAATTGTGGCAACTCGATCTTCTTCAACACAGCATTTATATTTTCCAGAGCATTATTGATTCCCCGATAACCTAATGGTCTAAGATCTCCAGGTTCCGGATGGTTCTGATTACATACCTCACGCACAAGTGGAGAATGCGTTGTGAAATTTGCCGGATTCTGTTGACTCGTCGACGGATTCCATTGATTGTCGTCGGATTGCTCTGATTCGCCACAATTCTGGTCATCATCTCCGTGAGTCGTGATAGATTCGAATGAATCTCCGAAATGCTCTGGTTCGTCATCTCGTTCGTCTTTTTTTGCTGCTCCCAATTTTCTGCCATCGTCGCGACCGTCACCGTCACCGACGCCAACGATCCGTGAAGCTCATCCGCGAGATCATCAATTTTCCCCATCTTCGTCGTCTCGTGATCGCGATACACCGCACCAATTTGTTAAGAAACTGATTGTATTATCTCTTAAGAAAGTACAAATCCGATTAAAGCCAGTATCTCTCTGACATTCAATCGAATTCTCCTTTTGATTTGATGAACAAGCTCATCCAAATCACAAATCTCTCAAGAACAATGTAACTAACTTTCTCTCTCAAAATATCTGGATAAAATGTTTAATGCAACAAATCAAGTATTTATATTCAGAGTAAAGAAGTTGAGCTTCATTTGTCCACGTCATTTCCTGCAAACGACTCTTCTCGGTTTAGCTCCGCTTCTTCTATCCTCTTCTTTCTTCTGACGTACCGGTTTAGCGTCCTAACAGTTAGACCAAACTAAAATATATTCAAACTAAATAACACTAATTAGGTGCCTGGTTAAGTGGCAATCAAACAAATTAGCAAAAGGGTAAACTTCCACAAAACAGCACATAGTTACCATCCCTTGTTCTCTAAGCTTCACTCAACAGTATCTAAGTCATTGCACAATATAAAAAAAAAAAAAAAAACTGAAGAATTCAAACCAAGAACACCATAAATATCAGAAGCAGCTTTGGCCTCAAAAATCAGGAACGCCTTGAGAAAACATACCTTACGACGATTCCATAACCCAATCCACTTAAACGACCATAGGCTCCTTTATATGTGAATATATACTAATAAATTAAAGCGCACGGTCAGCAAATCACTAATAGTGGGATGATAGTTGGCTGTCAGGTAAGTTGAAGAATTCTCATTTTTTTTTAAAAGAACTACAGTGAGAACATATACACACAATTATTCACCTGTAGAGCTCATAGCATTGACGTCACATCGAAAGAGTAGGAAAGAGACGTCAACTTCAAGAAGTACTAAATCCTAGAAACCATCCAATGGTCGTGAGACGCTAACCACAACAAAAACAACTAATTCTCAGTTGTAGAGAAAAGAAACAGCAAAAGCCAATGGAGAAAGCAAACATTCTAGTCATGAACTCTGCCATCTAAACACGGGCGGGTCTAGTCATTCCGTCAACTAAGCTTCTGATCTAATTAGCAAACCCATCTATTTAAACCTCCACGAAAATATTGATGTAAGAATTATCGAGTGGAATGCAAGAGTTAAGAAATGATATTTTTATGGTGATTTAGGGATGCACACCAAAAGAAGTAGGGGAAAAGAGATTAAAGATTGGAGCGTTACCATTGGGTGTTGGATGAAGCAGCGGAAGGCGTATTAGTGAGAGCTGCTCCGAGAGTGATTGAATGGTGGTCGTAATAAGAATACATCGTGATGGCACGTCGTTGTATAGCTTCCGCTGGTTTGAAGGTGGAGATGTAGAAGATCTGAAAAGAGGTGAAGAAAGGAGAAGTGGAGAGGACGGGATGTTTAAAAGAATTATCTATAGTAACTTAGATCAACAGGAAGATAGCATTGACACAAATGTACAAAGTTCACAGTGGATAGATTGCGAGAAATCAAAAGAGATGTAGATACCTGAATCAGCGATAATGGCGGAGTTATGGTGAAGAAGAAAATCCTAAAAGGAGCCCAAGGATGAAGGATGAAGGAGATTATATATGATCTAATTTAAGGTGTAAGGGAGGATTTAAGAAGAACTCAAGAAGAGTAACCGGTTACAGGGAGATACATGAATCGATTCATGTTCCGGTGGGTTTAAAGAAGCATTGAATAAGGAGACGACTATTCGTGGGTTACAAAATTTATGGGCTGAGATGAAATCAGGTTTTATAAACGAAGGCCCAAAGATTATTTTGCTTCTCGCAGCTGACGTGGCATGTAGGTGACGTGGCAGCGTGAAAGTTATTCCAAGAATGCTGAGTAGCCTGAGTTGGACATCTTGAGAGGCCCCAAACAGTCCCTTTCATTAGTATAGATGTTACTCTCTCTTCTTATCTACTATATCACGTTTCCTCTTCTCCATTATTTTCAGATCAGGTTTCTGTTATTTTTCTAAACACACACTATCGAAACTTTCTATAGATCACGCTATCTCTTCCTCTTTTCAATCTCACCATGTCTGATTCCGAAATTGATGATCCTGCAAAACGTTCGGAAAGCCGGAGCCTAATAACAAAAACTATTGGCATTGTAGTTTCTGTCCTAAAATAACGAAGGGAGGGATTTTTCGTTTCAAGCAACATCTGGCTGGAGAGTTTAGGAATACAAGTAAATGTCCCTACATTCCGCTGCATATAAGAGATGAAATCAAGAAATTCATGATGAGAAAAGCTGAACTAAAAGCTGCTAGTCAAATGAAGCCACCGCTTCCTCAAGACGTTGATGGTTATGATAGTGAGGAAGATATGGATGGTGAACCAAGTCAAGTACAGCAGTCTAAGAAACAAAAACAAAAAGGTCCAATGGACAGGTTTGTCACTTCTACTCCTTGAGATATATTGAAAAGAAGAAAGGAACAAAAGGGAATATTTGGAGTTTGTGATAAGGTTTTAAGAGATAACGCTTGTAGATCGATTGCTAGGTGGATCTATGATGTTGGTATTCCATTTAATCAGTGCTGCCAGGGATTTTTGGGGCCTAAGACCATCTCCAATGGTTCATGCCATATGTTATTGCAAATGGCAAAAATATAACAATAACATTGGGTTTCTCTCCAAAGACTTATGCTATAAATTTTTTTCCAACTTATTATTAATAACTAAAACTATTTTATTTCTTCAAATTTTACAAAGTTAATCATCTATTTTTCTTTCTTGCAAAAAAATCCACAATTATAATATTTTTATTTTTATTATTATAATATTAAAACAAAATACATCACATTACATAAAATTTATAGAAAATAAAGATTTTTAAGTTTATTATGGTTATGTTTTAATATTTACTATGAAATAAATATTATTTATATTTTGACAGAGTTATGAGTATTGCTTATTTATTTAAATAAAACATAATCAAAATAATTAAACTGTTAAATTAAAGTATTTACAAATTGAAGGACTATTTTATAAACAAAAAATTTCAATGGCAAAATAGCATATTGTATAATCTCATGCCAAACATAGAAGCAAAAATAGCATGATGCTATTTTGCAATAACATATGCAATAGGGTTGGAGAAAATGCTATGGCAAAATAGCATATATGTCATATTTAGCATGGGGTTGGAGATGCTCTAAGGCAAAAAGTTTAAGTAAACATTTTCTATATTTTTTTAACAATAATTATTACTTAATTTTAAAAATATTGTTAGTTATTAAATAAAAAAAATTTACTTTAGAAGGAAATAGGTTTTGAACTTGCGTTAGTTTAATAAACACTCTTCATTCTTTCTTTAAATTGACTTTTGAAAAATGGGGTCCTTAAAATTGTATAATATTTTTTGGGGGGGGGGGGGGGGAGGGGGAGCCTTTTTCATAACACAGTAAGCATGGCCCTGCATTTAATGCTGTGAATTGTGAAAGTTTCGTAGAGTTCGATTGAAGAAATTGGTCAATATGGTCCAGGGCTGAAACCACCAAGTATGTCTGAGCTTAGAGTTCCTCTTCTACATAAAGAAGTAGATAAAGCTCAAGTTCAAGTTGAGCAGCATAAGAAAGAATGGGCATCTAAATGTTGCTCAATAATGTCTGATGGATGTGTGATTCAGTTGTCCAAAAGGATATTGTTAACTTTCTGGTGAACTCTTCAAGAGGCTGTGTTTTCATGAAATGGAAAGACGTCTCATAAGTTGTCAAAGATGTGAATCTGTTATTCAACATGCTTGATGAAATGGTTTAGGAAGTCAGAGAACAAAATGTTATTCATGTTGTAAAAGACAACACATCTAACTACGTAAAGGTTGGTAAGATATAAATTTACATTTTTTCTTTCTTATATAGGTAATAGATTGGATCTAATTTTGCTGTTTTGAATATGATTATTAGGAAAATTACTAGAGGCTAAAAGACCAAATCTCCCGCAGGTGAAGAGTGCTTTGAAGAAGTGTATTTTCATGAATGATTACATCTATGTTCATGTCTCTCTTGTGAACATGATGAGAAAGTTCACAAAAAGCAGAAACCTGCATAGGCCAGCGGTTACTAGATTTGATAAATAATGATGAGAAAGTTTTATCGCTCTTGCGCAATATCACAAGCAGCAGAATAATTTGAGGAAGATATTTACTTCTGATGAATGAGAGAAATCGAAATGGTCAAAGCAAGCAGGAGGAAAGAAAGTCAAAACATATATTCTGGAGGAAAGTTTTTGAAAAAATGTTAACAGTAGAGTTTTTTAAAAGCTTTTCGAAACATATATTTGCATATGCAGAGTTTTTTTTATAGATTTTTGAAATAATTTACGAAAAAAAATGAGTACTTTTATTAGTAATAAATAATATTGAAAACTTGATAAGAAATCTCTTAATAACATAAGATACTTCAATTCCACTATATAATAAAGTGTATTAGTCATGTAATGATTCCATAATAGGCATATTATAATACGATGTATATTTAAATGATATATAATATTAATATTATAATAATATATTATTTTCTTTATGGTTTCTTGTTTTCCACTTTTGAATAAAATTCTATAGTACAAGGATAATTTCATATAATGTTCATTTAAAAACATAATTTTAATTCTAAATTAGAAAAAGTAGAAAAACAATGGAAGCACAAAATTAAATTTTGAATATAAAATTAAAAAAAAATTGAATATTATAACTTATTATATAGGGTTTGATAAGACAAATAATATGGAAATATGCATTCTACCTTTTTATCTTAGAATATGGAATATTTTTCTGTTAGAATATGGAATATTTTTCTGTTAGAATATGACATGCCAAAATACTTTTTTCTCTTTTTTCCGTTAGAATATGAAACATTTTTCCGTTAAAATATGAATGATCATTTTTTTTCGTTTCCATTCTTTTTTGTTTAACATATTTTTAGTTATGTTTTTCAATTTCTTTTTTAATACACATGTTAAGATTTTAATAGGAGTAAAATTAAAACTTAAACATGTCGTAATCATTTAAGGGCCTGATTGGTTCTCCCGCTACCACCCGCAAACGCAGCGTTTGCGGTTCGTAGCGGTTTTCGGCGGTTTATAACAATCACGACAACCGCTTTGAATCGCTCTATACCACTCTGTACCGCTCTATATCGCTGAAAATCAAAAGCTCCTTTCCGCAAGCGTTTGCGGTTGCGGGTGGATAATTAAAAAAAAAAAAAACACAAACTTATATAAAATCCGAAAATAAATAATAATATTTATTAAAAAATAAGATTTGGATAATAAAATCACAATATAAATAAAAAATTAGTACTTTTAGTCAATATTCATTAAAATCATATAATACTTATATATTTATAAGTTCTACAAATCAAAATTCTCTTCATAAATATTCTTTTCATACTAATACATATATATCTAATAAATAAAATTGTAAAATAAATTTAATTTTCACATTAAATATATATTTTGAAAATAAAATCACATTTTTTATTTAAATTATAGAAATTAAAAGATAGACGTAAGTATTATACACATATTATTCTTTATAAAAAAATTATTTTTAATTATGTTGAACCATAAATTTAAAATTTTCATTATAATATAGTTTTGATATTTTTATAATTATATAATGTGTTTATATTATTAATTTATTGTTTAACCGCTATTGCATCCGCAAGTGAACCAGTCATAAGTATCCCGCAAACGCATCCATTTTCAATTGTTATGCCAGTCGTACAAACCGCTTAATAACGCTACTAATCACAACCGCCCGCTTCCGCAAACTCCCGCACCCGCAACCGCAACCGCAGCGGTTAAACCAGTCAGGCCCTAAGTTATAGTTGTCCTACATTTCACGACCATGTCGCGCTTATTAAACTTCATATAACTAGAGATTATACCCCCGCGCAAGCGCGGAGTTTTTTTTTCCGGTTAATCATCATTTATATATTTCAAAAAATATGTTTCTATTATTTTTTTCTTTGCTATTCTGTATAATACTGAAGATTTGTAATAGATTCTCCTGTCATGTTTATTTTAAATGGTCTAATTCTAATTTTTCCAAAGATTTGGCAACTATTTTTAAGATTTATTAGTATTTACATGAATAGTTATTATATTTTTAGTACAAAAACGGTTGTTTAGTGAACTTAGAACTTCCTCTAGTCACCATTGCCTCAGTCACCTTTTGAGCCATGCTCTTTGCCATTTTTTGTCTCGCATTTTCAATAAAAAACTTTTTGAACTACATTTTCATTTGCCGTCTGAGCCATTTTTCGTGTTGTTAACTTGATCTGACATTTAAAAATGAATCTTTTTATTTCTATTATAAATCTTTTCAATTTATTTATATACATTTACAGACAAACCTATAATTTTTTATATCCTTATTAATTTGTAATTCTTAGAAAATCTATGTTGTTTCATATATTATTTTAAACATGTTGATTTTTTTCTTATTTATAGTTATCTTTATAAATTTTGAATTATCAAGTTATGTAAAAAAATGTTTCGTAACTTTTAATAATTATCTAATATTTATTAATTTTCTTAAATAGTATTTTCAATATTTTTTCTGTGAAATATATTCTAGGATTTTTGGTAAATGATATATTTTATTTTAAGGAAATATAGTAACAGTAAAAATGTGTAAATGAATTGATTGACCAATTTTAGTTTTAATGTTTGTCATTTATCATTTTCTTCTCTTTTATTTTATAATTTATTATTAAATGTAGGGCCCATTAATTAGAAGTATGACCCACTAAAAGGGATTAGTTTGATGAGGTAGATAGCTTAGGAGAAGGGATGACTCTCTAATTATATATAAGATATATAAGATAATATCGGTTAATACTTATTATTAATGATTTTCTTTTTCACACTAACTACCTTTCTAATAGTATCAACCAATAGTACTACAAGTATTCAGTTACTTATAATTATTTTTCCTTGAAGTTTATAAAGTGGGATCCGAGGGAATAGCTTTTATATACTACATATTTTTTTTGTGCACAACTGATTTTATAAACTAAACTTCGGTTACGCCTCGCATTGGAGGAAGAGATCCAACATAAGAGTTGAATCTAAAATTACAATAAACACAACCAAGCTGAAGTAGAAAAATGAAACCAACAAGATAAATTCAGAATAACCACAATGAATTGATTCTTCCTTTGAGATAGATAGGGATGCAGAATTTCCTGAACACAAGACTACTAAATTCATTAATGTGTGAAGCTAAGAAAAAAACAGCATCAAAAGAGGTAGACTTGACATCAGATTTCTTTAGACCCAAGACCACGTGATCATAAACTGCTTGCACGATTATAGCCAAAGCCATCGATGTAGAGTTTAACAATACTCGCTCCATATAGAAGGAGAAGAGTTTCGTTTTGAAGCCGAGAACAGTTCACCTTTCATAGAGAAGATCAATGAAAATATAATTAGCTTACCTCTCATTAAGGACGGTGGGGAAACTCGCTCCCGAAGGAAGACACAAGTTAACATATAGCAGAGCTTTCTTTGTAGAGACTTCTTTAAAACAGAGCTAGCTATGGACAAATCGTGGACCAGGTTCAAATTTTTACAACGCCGGAACAAGATAAGCAAATTGACGATAACGGAGATCCAAGATTCCGATGTTCAATCCCTTCGCTAGCGAGGAGTACGATGGAAAGCTTCAAATGGCCAAAGCTTATAGATACGGTGGAGGACTGACCGATGAGGATAAATGGAGATGTGAAAGATACATAATGTAAGAGTAAGCCGGAATGGTTCCTCGTCGAAGATAGCAAGATCTAAGACAACAATGCAGAGGAAGAAGTCGACCTCTGAGAAGGAGAGAGAAGAGAAGAGGGTATCATAGATCCACAACGTCTGGTGGGTCAGTCGGATCCGGTGGATCTGGAGGGTTTGAACTTTGAATGGTTCACCTGCGAAGACGGAGAAAGCTGAGCAAGAGGAGAAGAGACTGTCTTCACCAGATCTAGAGGATCTGACGGTAAGAGACTTTCACAGCGGGCATGGACGCATCAACAAATCCATGGAGAAGCCAGAGAACATGATGGCCTTGGAATAATCACCTCACCGTGAAAAAGCAGATAGAGAACACACAGAAAATCGTCAGGAAAAAGAGGCGACGAGGGAGAAGAACTGGCCAACCTCTGTGACGACCAAACAAAACAATGGCTTCTGGGGAGCAAGACGCACGTGGCCGGAGAAGAGGCAAGGTCGGAGACTCATCTGGAGGTTGAGTTGCATCGTGGCGGCTGCCTCGGTAGTAGTGCATGGGAGAAAATTAGGGCGAACACCTTCAGTTTTCATCTAGTCGAGTGAAAATTCAGCGGGTCCCGGACTTGCAGCTCCTGTGTAGCGGAAATTATGTTTGGCAAATAGCTTTTATATACTACATACATTATATATTCTTTTATAGAATTTTCACATAAATAAAATTAAGAAACATTTATTGTTTAATTATTAATGCATTATTTTCTTACACAAATCACATTTTAATAAATATGAGAAATTTTAAGAAATACACCTTTTTAGGTGCAAATTTTCAAAACTACACATATAGTGTGGAAATTTTCAAAAATACATTTTTTCTAATTTTAATTTATATGTTTGGGTTCACTAATACTAGATTAGAGTTTAGATTTTGGAGTTTAGGGTTTAGATTTAAGGGTTCATATTAGATTTTAGGGTTTTGGGTTTATATTTTAGGGTTTAGAGTTCTTTTACGCCATGAAAAAAGTGTAGTTTTGAAAATGGACACCATAGAGATATAGGTGTATTTTTCAAAATTGGCACCTTAAGAGGTGTAGTTTTGAAATTTTCCCTATAAATATTAACCAATTGTAATTCTAGAATTTAATTATTTTAATTAATAGCTATTAAAGTTTGTAGTTTGATAACATTAATTAACCAAAAGTACCTTAAAACATCATATGTTCTGCAACAATGAAAAAAATTAAGATATCATATATTCTCGAACGAAGGGAGTACAATTTAAATACTTGGATAGTTCTCTAAAATAACATATTCTTAAGATTTCGTTTCAGAAAGTAGCTTCATATAATTTTTCCTTTAATTAGCACAAATCCAACTTCAAAATGACTCAAACCTCTATTTTTAATAGGAGAAACTGAACCTCTAAATGGAATATGTGAATATAAACATAAATTACATAATGTTTTAATTATATCCCTTATATTTTTTTTTTGGTAATTGGAAGGAGAAAAAATTCTGCCTCTTGTATTATTAAAACTCAAACCAGTCTTACGAAACGAGCTCGAGCTCGTGTAGAGCCAAGTGCATCCTCCGTCACCAACTCTAAAATATCAAAGGGGGAAGAAGGAAAGAAATGAAAACCTAATGGCAAAGAGAATGCATGGTTAGCTAGGCCATCTGCCACTTTGTTTGCCTCTCTATAGCCGTGAACGACACGGACTATCCAGTCCCTTTAATAAAGCCATAGCACAAACATACTAGGAAATACAGCGGGTGTGTATGTGCTACCCCTGACTGAAAGAACCCCCACGACGATCTCTGAATCCACCTCCACAACCAACCGTTGTACTCGCTGCTCCCACGCCATACAGAGCCCATAGTATACGCCCCACAGTTCTGCCAACGGGGCTGAGCAAACTCCCCTTATATATTAAAAGAGAAGACATTTATAAAAATCCCCTTTGTTTTCAACTTAATTTCAAGTATGTCATGCTGAGGTGTCGCAATTTGCCACACTATCAGAATATTCTAAAAATAACCTCTCTTTGTTAGGCAAGTGCTGAAATGTTTATTATTAATTTAATCAGAAAATTAATTATTAATTAATTTTTTTTCTATTTCCTTATCTGATAGTGACGAACATTATAAATAAATTTAAAAGTATTTATTAGTCAATCAATCAGTAAAATATGGAAAGTTTTATTCAATTGTATTATATTAATTGTTTAAAAATTAATTTATTATCTTATCATTTTTTTTAACTTTACTTTTTCAAAAATAAATTATATCATTACATCAAAATATTTCATAAAACAACCGTATTTTTTCTGCATATGTTATGATTTGAAAATTTTAAAATGAAACAAATCTCAAAAATTGTTAAAAGTCCTATATCGATTATATTTTGAGATGATAGTTTAAAAACCTATTATAAAAAAAAATCCAAATAATGATCAACCATAGTAAAAAAACTGATTTATTAGGTTTCCAAACTTTAATTTTTTTTAATTTGATTTAATTTTGTTCTTTAATTGAACTAAATAAATAAATCATAATAAAATCTACTATCTTAATATATATGTTAAACTATTTTAGTTATTTAAAATTGATCAAAAATATTAAATATACATATGCCATATAAAACTACTAGATTAAGGCCCACATATACGCGGGTATATTTTAAGATTTTATAATAAAAGCATGGAAAATATTAAACAAAATTTGATCATTTTTAAATGTAAATAAGACAATATTGAGATATTTAAATAAAATAAGATTGGTAATACTTTTACATTTTTATTGTAATTGATTTTTCTTTTGAATTTATGATATGACAAAATGAATTAATCTGTTTTACTATTATTTTTATCTAATACAGAAAGACTTACCCATGTCTAAATCTGATCAACTGATTAATTAATCAAACTTTTATTATTCCATTCAAGAGATTTTAGTTGATGAAATTTTTTTACTTCAATTTTTTTTTGTTCAAAATTATTTCAAAAATTATTTGTTCAAAAGTATTTCAATTTACCTAACAAAAATTGAAAGTCAAACTATTTAAAATTAGAATATCAATTATAATTTTTCAATATTAGTTAATTGCTTGATAATTATTTTGTTAGTTTTCTATTTATATATTTTTGTTCTCAATTTTGTTTTTGCCTCCGACCATTATAAATACTATATATTGGTATTTTTCCTTTTCGAAATGGATTGTTTTTTTCCTTTTCTTAATAGATGTAACAAAAGTATTTAAATTATTTGTTTCCTGTTTTTTTTAATTACTTTTAATGGATATTATTTTTTTCATTTTAATTAGTTATTATCTGTTTTTCTAATTTTTAGTTAGTCTTATACATATTAAATTTTTTTTTGTTTTTTTTGTTTCTTTTTTTTTTCTTTAAGACATGCGTAACGATCTTAACGGACGTAACATTAAAAGTGACACATGTCACGATCTTATAAATTATAAAAATCCTACGTGTCGCAACCACGTCGTGCGCATCCAACTTTATATAATAATAAAAATTTGATGAATAGGAAACTTTTTTCTGTTTGGATATGACAAATATTTTTTTTCCTTTTTGATATAATATATTAAATTAAATTTCGTTTTTTTTTAATTAACATTTTTCTGGAATTTTTTTTTAAAGTTCTCCTTTTTTTCCTAAGACACGTGTCACGATCTCAACGAATATAAACCTAAAAACATTAAAAGTGACACATGTCGCGATCCTGAATTTTATAAAAAACCTATGTGTGGCAACTACGTCGTGCGCATCCAGCTTTATATAATAAGATTTCAAACTTATTAAAATATATATATGTGGATTCAAATGTGTCACTTAATATTTCGTCATGTTCCAATTCAGGCTAAAAAAATATACATCACTCAAAATTTTGTCTAATGTCAACTGACATAATTTTTATTGTCTAACACTCTATTTTTCTAGAATGATACTTATCTAAAAAGATATCTAAAAATAAAACTAAATCAAAAAAATATCACCCCGTGTAGAACGCGGTCCAACCCTAGTTTGTAATTTATTTAGAATCAACAACTCTCTTAGTAAATTTCTGTTCTTTTTGAAAATTTTAAATTTAGTGTGCTAGCTTTGGAACAAAAAGTATTTTTTATCATTATTTTTATAGTTTTTTATTGTTTAAAAAACAAATATTTATAAATGATTTTATTCAAATCGTCTAACCTACACATCTAAAGCAAACAGCCAAACACATCCCCGAGTTTTCTTAAAACAGTGACGGAAAGAGGTTTTAGGGTTTAGATTCGGAAGCAGCGAAAAGGTAAAGCCTTTCTCTCTCGTCTTCCTCTTACGTCTATCTCAACACGTTCAACACTCCGATTTGGTAATTTTCGAGGAACCAACCAGAACCAATTTTGCAATCGTCCTCCTTCGAAATCTTCCCTTTGTGATTTGGGTCGAATTACGCTAGAATAATCTCTTTTTCTCGCAATTATAGGTTCATGTATAGTTTGATTAAAGTTTCTCATCTGAAGAGCGATCAATTTTGTTGATTTTGTTTGTTTTGCTTTGCTATTCTTAATGCCCACCACGTGTTCGATGAAATTTCTCACTGAAGCTATTTTAGTGTCCTTTTCAGATTCATATAGGTGTTTGGACTTGTTTATCATGGCGGCAACCACTGGACTTGAGTCTTTTGTCGATCGTAAGTTGTCTTTTAAGTATTATTCATGATTCGATTTCTTGATGTTTCTGTCGCTTGAATTGTCTGACAATATCTCTTTTGGGTTTGTGTTCGCAGAGATTATTTCTGTAATTACAAACGATGGACGCAACATTGTGGTATGTTATTATCCTCTCTTGTTTGTTGTATGGTTTGAAACTCCACATTCTATAAAAGCCATTTACTTAGCTAATAGATCATTGTCGAATTTTCAGGGACTTCTTAAAGGTTTTGATCAGGCTACAAATATAATCCTGGATGAATCTCATGAACGCGTCTTTTCCACTAAGGTAAGCTTTATATTTCTGTGTTGAGTTTGCGAAATCATCAAAATACTGTCTTTTTAAAGACTTTGACTGTTTTTGTGACCTGCATAACCTTGTTCTTGATGTCCTCAAGTTTGGCATTGTATTGATGCTATAATACTAGAAAACTAGTTTAATAACTTTCTTCATCTGGTATTGGTCATTTACTTGGTATTACTTTCTTGATTCTTAATGTAAACTGCTTCATTTATTTGCTTTAGTCTCATCTTTTCGAAAGAATACTTAAGGAACAAGCATATTCTGACATCTAAGATAGGCTGGTCCCTGCACTACTTGGCTTGGAGTGAGAGAAAATGGTGGATAAAGGAATCATTGGCCTCTGAATGAAAGAATATAAAAGCAGATAGTGTGGATATGGCGATGGAGCCTTATACTGAAAAGTTTTAGTGCTAGTAATGAGAAACAGTGCTAGTAGACCAATGTTCTTGGGAGGGATTAGAATTCGTAATAGCTTAACAATGGAACTTTTTGGCTTGGAAATAGATTTGCTTCTGTTGAAGTGATGAATACTTGGAGATTAACCTTTCTGTTCCCAAGTTGTTTCTGTCTAGGGCATTTGATTTCAATAGAGTTGTGTCTTTGGTCCATTTATAAATGTCTGGTGGCTTCAAACCCATATTCACTTACCACAAAGTGTTTGATTGAGCATTGTGACCTCTTACTATGTTTTTAACTCTTTTTCTTCACGCTAAGTTCTTATTGTCACTGTGTTTTTCTACGTTTCTTGATGTTTCAGGAAGGAGTACAACAACTTGTGTTGGGTTTGTACATTATCAGAGGAGACAACATGTAAAAAATTTCATCCTAACATTATCGTATTGACTCTAGCACAGATAATTTTCTTCTAATGCTAACATTTGCTTTTTGTGTCATATGTTGATCAGAGGTGTGATTGGGGAGCTCGATGAGGAGCTTGATGCAAGTCTGGATTTTTCGAAACTTAGAGCTCATCCTTTGAAACCCGTCATGCATTGATTGAAAATAGTTATGATGAGAGAAAAGCTTAAACAGAAGAGAATGATTGTAAAACAATTTGTGGTGCTGTTACTTGGAGATTGTCTGCTTTGTGTATCCTTTAGGTATTTTATAACGCAAACAAAAAGCTTACTTTTCGGTTCTCTGTCTTAACGTTTTGGGATGATTGTTGTATTTCTAAAACGCAAACACAAACTTATTTTGCGTTTATATGAGAATATTCTATGTTTAACGATTTTGGCCTGAAATATCATTTGTATTTCTAAAACACCAAACAAAACACAAGCTTGTACTTCGCGATTCTAATGTGACTTGTGTTTCAAATTGCGCTTTCGGAAGCTTCTGATATTAATAAGTGTAACTTAGTTGGTGAACTATCAAATGCGAAAAAGACCAATATTACAAATAAAATATGAAGAACAGAAGAAGTCTTCTTGAAAATTTTCGTTCAAATGTTCTGACAACGATTATATTAATAGTCAAGAAAAATAAAACAATCAATAATCGTTGAGGGATGTGTGATGGGTTTATATTTGTATAAAAATTAAATAAATAAATACAAAATCTAGTGGCATCTTATATATAATTAGGGAGTTCCTCTTTCCATCTAGAGTGTCCACATCAGCACAAATATATTAAACTGTATTTAAATATTTATTAAATGACTATTCATATTTCTTTACATTTATTCATATTTTAAATATAAATAAAAGTAAGAAAAATACACAAATAAATTAATTAATTTATATATAGTATGTGATAACTTGATGTTAAAAGTTATCAAAAAGTTGGAATATAAAATGGAGATGGAGTAAAGAAATATTTAACTTGAAATAGTATATATTTACCCTTTTATTCAAAGGATTTATCATATTTAAAAATGTTATAATGTGTTTACAAGTTAAAATTGAATATAATTAGCTTAGATAATAGAAATCTAATGAAAAATTAGAGTTAGAGATTGTTTTTTAAACAAATAGAAGTCGAGTTTTGATAGGTAAATTTAATTGCAGAGAAAAACATGAAAATTTTAAGGATTGTGATATGTTTGTTTCAAAAATATAATTTCTATTTACAAAACTAACATAATAAAAATAATCAATGGTCATGAGGCTCACATTCTACCACAACAAAGTAGATAAAAAGTATACATATTATTTTTTAATCTTATTTCGGGTGCAAATGCGATGTTACATTATGTTTACAAATTTTTACGTTGATTCAAATTTATATGCATGTTTATAGTCTAATAGAAGTAAACAAACGTAATATTTACAACATGCTAAAATTTTAGAAATAGATAACTCGAGATAAAGTGAGGTGTTAATATCCTAATAAAATAAAATAAAAAACAAATTGTTCATATATTTTAGTGTAAGTGGTTGGTTTAACTCAAAATATAACAAAAACATGAAAGTTAATACAAAACCATACAGAAAATTATCGCAAGCAACCCCGTGCTTGCGTGGGGCTTCAAACCTAGTGTTAATAATAAGTAAGAAAAAGAAACCATGACGAAATGCATGAGAACACTGGTGCATAAGTCTATGGTGATTAGGTCAACAAATGTAGATATATTCATTAAATGTATTTTGACTTACATTCGAGTCAAAGTTTGCAATATAAATGTTCACAAACTCTATTTTCTTAAAGATGATTTGATGTGTCAATATGGAGTTGTTCAATTTTTTTTTTTATTTTTTTTTTTTGTAGATTAAAGAACAATTGTATTAAAAAAACAAAATTGACAAAAGATGAAGATGCAAAAGAGTAAAAGACTAAACATAAAATATATTTAAAGGAAACTAATATGAAGAAATAGTAACTGAAACAAAAAATAGAACTCCCTTCGTTTCATAATAAATGTTGTTTTGACAAAATGAATCTGGACTATTTAATGATGTATAGAGATGTGTTTTGAGTAACTGAAGAGTCAAAACGACATAGTACATCCATATATTTCTAGATACATTGGGTAATTGAAGAGTCAAAACGACATTTATTATGAAACGGAGGGAGTATGAAAATCAAATGGCAAGATATTTGTCTATTGTTTGATAAGGTATGGATGCTTTTCTAAAAGGTCATATTTCTTTTTGCCATGTATTGCAAATTCACATATATGAAAGCCACATGTATATCCTTATTACCTACAAATTTTTTTATTTCTATATGGGTATACATCAAATTCAATTTCCACAAATGACCGCTGCCTTAACAAACAACCAAAATAAACAAAAGATAACACGTGTGATAGGTTGTATGGAAACGAATACATTTACCTCATTTCTCAAAATAAACAAAACCATACATAAAGCATTTAACAAATTAAGTTAAACACTAAACTTGAAGATCGTCTCTCCATTGAAAAGTTCTTCCTTAACGAATTTAAAACTCATACTTCAACATCACACCTATTCTTTATATATCTCTCAAAGACTCAAACCCTTTAAACCAAATCTTCTCAAGATCTAGAACACAAAGTCTCTTCCTCTTCTCGTGTAATCAAGATTCTCCAAAAAAATGTCTAATCACCCAAAAATCCACCCGCTCCACGACCCGGAAGCTCCACAAACGCGTCCAACGGCTCCTCTGGTTCCACGTGGTGCCTCGAGATCAGAACACGGAGATCCGACCAAAGACCCGTTGTCCCAAAGGCCTCAACACTTCGTGCCGTTGCCTCCACCGAAGAAGAGAAGACGAAGCTGTTGCTGTAGGTGCGTGTGTTACACGCTCTGCCTTCTCTTGCTCTTTGTTGTTGCAGTAGGCGCGACGATTGGTATACTCTACCTTGTCTTTAAACCAAAGCTACCGGATTATTCTATAGACCGGTTACAGCTCACCCGGTTTACACTTAACCAAGATTCAAATTTGTCCACTGCTTTTAACGTGACGATAACCGCTAAGAATCCGAATGAGAAGATCGGGATTTACTATGAAGATGGGAGCAAGATTACCGTGTGGTACATGGAAGCTAAACTCAGCGATGGTACGTCATTTTGGTTTACCCCGGTTTGGATTTGCTTTGGTTTAATTTGCTTAATTTCAGAAAGAGTTCAAGATCCTAGTGTAAATCGGTTAATTTGGCTTGTTCCGGTTCGATTTCTGTTCGTTTTAAATGGTTACCACATTTAAGAGCTTCAAAATCTCAATACAATCCGGTTTATTTGGTTAATTTCGGTTCGGTTTACTTTGATTTGATTACTACACTAAAAGTTTTTTAAAACTCTTACAAACCGGAATATTTATCTGTTTGATTGAAATTAGTTTAGATCACCCAAATCCAAGTATTTCTACAAAGATCCGGATTTGGGTATAATGTCAACTAATTTCAATCAAATAAAAACTAGACAAATATTTGTATAGACTAAAATTTGAAGACAGTAACTATGAAAAGATTTAGACGAATTTCTACAAAACAAATATTCGTTTTCGAATAGTACAAGAAATAGCACACACAAATCATAAGATTTTTGTTTCATTTTTTTTTTCTCTTTGTGAAATGGATCATAATACTTGTAGTTCTGTTACTGAAATTGGGATAGTTTAATTTTGTAATTTTTTTCCGGTTTCTATAATAGTATTGCCACCTTTCTATAGTTTTAAAAGTTCTTCTCACACCGATACTTTTTTTATGTCACAATATATGTATATATTTTTAATATTGTGGTTTTCTAATTTCATAGGTTCGTTGCCGAAATTCTACCAAGGTCATGAAAATACAACAGTGATATACGTAGAAATGACTGGTCAAACTAAGGATGCATCGGGTTTAATGACAACATTACAAGAGCAGCAACAAACAACTGGAAATATACCATTAAGAATTAGAGTTAACCAACCGGTTCGGGTCAAATTCGGGAAGTTGAAGCTGTTTGAGCTAAGATTCTTGGTTAGATGTGGTGTATTTGTGGATAGTTTGGCTGCAAATAATGTTATTAAGATTCAGAGTAGTAGCTGCAAATTTGGGCTTAGACTATAGTTTCATTTTTCTTATATATATTATAATTGGTTAGCATTATATATATATATATATATATATTGTATTTTATATATTTTCATAAAAGAAGGGTGTTCTTGTTTATCCTCTGATCTATACTTTTGTGCATCAGACATTTGTTATATCGTAAATAATAAATAAAATGATTGATTGTAATAAGAATAATTGATACAAAATCATCTTTATTCAATGTTTTTAAAACTGGACCGGACGTCAAACCGGATGTGTTTTGGGTCATGGTTCAACTTGGTCCAACTGGCTGGACTGGGTTTTCTAATTTTTAATAATAAATATTTTTAAATATAGATATATAGCAAAATATTATAATTTAGTTAACTTTAAGTTTTCAAATTTTTAAAATTTCAAACAAAAAGCAGTAAAATTATATGATAGTGAAACATTATGCTTATGTGAATAAAAAAACATCATAGTAAAAGTATTTAAAAACAGGTTTCAGAGTTTGATTCTTAATATATTCTTCAATAACTGCATTCTATAAGGCATTATAGTAAAATGATAATATGTTATTTTTAGAGATTTTAGCTAGAAATTAAGAAATTACTATATAAAAACCAAAACCGGATTTTCTAATTGATTCAACTCGGCCGGTGTTCGGTTTTATTTATTTATTTATTTATTATTATTATTATTTTTTTGTCAACAGCTTATGTTCCTAGATTGGATGGGAGACCCAAACTGGCGGAACAAAATTAACATAATACACATCATGAAGGAGATCTCGTGCACTGCTTGCTAGCTTGTCTGCCTTCGTGTTCTTCGTCCTGGGAATGTGATGGATGTCGCATGAGATAAATCTTCGTCTGCATCTGTCTACTTCTTCAAGGAGAATCGAAAAAGCTGGCCACTCCATTGGGTTAGATACCATCTTAACCACGTCCGAGCAGTCTGTCTCGAAAACCATGACATATTTATTATACTGAAGCATACATTGCATTGCCTAAACCAGCGCCTCCAGTTCCATTTGGAGTGGAGTAAGCCCCGGCCGCAAATTACTCGACTCCATAAATTGTTCACCTGTTTCTCGGTTGTGGTAAAACCATCCGAATCCCGCACGGCGTTCTGTTGCTTTCCACGCCCCATCGACCTGACAATATTCTCAATATGTATGTGGTTCAGCCATAGATTCCCTTGGTATGCATGGTACGACATCTTGAACTTGCGTTGTGGACTATGCATTTGCCTCTGCTTCTGCAAGAACTATCATGTCCCGAGGATCCTTGTCCAAATTTGAGAAAAAATTATTATTTCGTGCTTTCCAAATATACCAAATGAGCCATGGGTAAACCAACATAGTGTCATCCTTTGGCAGATGCCAAAACAAGTGAGCCAAATTGGTGAAAACGGCGTCTGTGGGAAAAATATGTGGTGGCGTGGGAATCCTTGATAGAGCCCAAGTTTGAAATGCTGGAGGGCATTCAAACAATGCATGGTTTATCGTTTCCTCATGTGTTCCACTCCGAGTACATATTGGGTCAATTTGGATGCCACGACTACGTAGTTGTGCTCCTACTGAAATACATCCAGTCAAAATCTGCCATAGAAAATGTTGTATCTTTGGCGGGCATTTGACAGTCCAAGTGAATGCCAGTAATTTCCTTGTATCAGGTCCAAAGACAATTGGTGCCTCCCCATCTGGGTATTGTTTTGCAATAAGATATCCTGATTTGACTGTATAGCGTCCAATTTTTGTGAAAGCCCAGCCAAAAGAGTCTGACCTGTAATATTAGTTGTTGGAATACCATTAATAATAGCTACCTCTGTGCTATCAAACAACTGTTCCAATAGTGGGAGATTCCACGTTGATATATGAGGATCAATCAGCTCACTCTCTCGAAAGTGAGGATAGTAATTAATACATCTACATAGAGCTGACCTCGGACGAGTAGCTGGTATCCATGGATCATTCCATGCTGAAATGGAGGAGCCTGAACCAACCCTTTTAATAAGCCCTTTGTGAACCAAAGGTCGAGCTGAGATGATACTTTGCCATCCATATGATGGTGAATAGTAGCGAATGTGTTCCAATGGGGTCGTATTCCGAAAATATCTTCCTTTAAACACCCTCGCAAATAACGATTCCGGATTGTCCAATAGCCTCCATAGTTGCTTTGCTAGCAAAGCTGTGTTAAAGTCTTTAATGGCTCTAAAGCCCAAACCACCATCAAACTTGTGCCGGCATAATTTCTTCCATGCCAACCAGTGCATACCACGCGTTTGTCCATTATTGCTCCACCAGAAGTTGGAAACAACACTAGAGAGTTTGTTGGTTACCCCTTTTAGGAGTCTGAAGCATGACATCACATGCGTTGGAATCGCAGAGACGACTGATTTTATGAGTACCTCCTTGCCTACTCTGGATAAGAGTTTCGATGTCCACCCATTGATCCGCTTTTGCTGCCATTCAATTAGAAAATTAAATATTTTTGTTTTTGCTCCTCCAAGACTTTCCGGGATTCCAAGGTAATTCCCCATGCCCCCAATCTTTTCGAGTCCTAAGATCCGATGAATATCTGTTCGCACCCTTGTATCCACTGTATGTCCAAACTGTATCGAAGATTTGTCAAAATTAATCTTTTGTCCCGATGTAAGTTCATATTGCCTGAATAAATGTAATAGTACTGTAGCCTCGTCAACTGTTGCCTTGCAGAAGAACAGGCTATCATCCGCAAAAAAATAAGTGGGAGATCGCTGGGCTGGCTCGAGCTACCTTTAGTCCAGTAATCAGCTTGGTCTCCTCTGCTTTCTTGAGATTGGTTATCAATATTTCCGTGAACAGAATGAACAGATATGGAGAAAGTAGGTCTCCCTGTCTAAGCCCCGATGTGGTACTAATCGACCACATGGTTGTCCATTAAATTAACACCTTGTATTTAACCAATTTGATGCACCACATCATCCATGTTATCCATTGTTCTGCAAACCCTATTTTCCGCATGAGCGCTTCGATAAAGGTCCATTTAACTCGGTCATAGGCTTTACTCATGTCGGTTTTAACAACCATATGTTTCCCTTTGCAGGACTTATTCGTTCGCAGACCGTGAAACATTTCTTGAGCGATGAGGATGTTATCCGAAATTAACCTACTAGACACAAAGGCAGATTGTGTCTCCGAAATTAACTTTGGTAGCAGGGTCTTGAGTCTTTGACAGAGAACTTTGGAAATGATCTTGTAAGCCACGTTACAAAGACTAATTGGCCTTAGTTCCGTCATTCGGTTTCGGCGATCCGTTTTTGGAATAAGACAATTGTTTGTCATATTCAATCTTTCATCAAAGATTCCTGAACCGAGAAAATCATTTACCGTTTTTAATATGTCTCCTTTAATTACATGCCAAGACCGTTGGAAAAACAAAGCCGTCATTCCGTCTGGGCCTGGTGCTTTTTCTGGATGCATCATAAACAGTGCGGCCCGCACCTCTTCCTCTGTCGCTTGTCGAGTGAGTATTTCATTATCCGTTTGCGTCACCCGCTCTGATATATTCCCAAGTACCTCATCAAAACTGACCAACGGGGATGAGGTAAAGAGGTCCTCAAAATACTCTACTGCAACCTTTTCGACTTATTTTTCTCCATCAACCCAAACATTTGCTTTATTATGAAGGTCTACTATTCTATTTGTTGCTCGTCGCTGCTTAGTTGTGGCATGATAAAATTTGGTATTTAAATCACCATTTTTTAACCACAGGTTCCTGCTTTTTGTTTCCAATATTTAAATTACCATTTTAACACTGGCTCGTCTCGGAGATAATTAAAGGATACGTATCGAGATGAGCCAATGTTCGTTTTTTTGCCGGGTTTTATTTGTTCTTTTTTTTTGTGTGAACTATAATTTTGGGTTTTTACAAAAAAACAAAGAGGGTTACCCACCGGTTCATGGTTCAACCGCTCAGACCGCCTGGTCCAGCCGGTTTTCAAATCACTGTCTTTATTGAGTATGATATTTATAATGATATTTATATGTGGTCAAAAATTTTGGTTTCACCGTTATCTTTTATACCTTTACCATATATTTATCACTAATCTCAATAAATAATATTGTAGCTTATTATAGAGAAACTGCACAAACTAACCTCAGACAATTGGAAAATTAGTTGGTGGTCACTCTCAACTGTTATACTAATACTATTCACAGCAGAAAATTGATTATACCCTTGCATGCGAGTGGGATTGAGAGTGTAACATCCGCACACCAAAGAACTGACTTTTGGAGTTGGTGTCGAGCAACATCAGGAGGGTGTCGGTCGACACTGGTTATTGGAATGGATTTTTGGTTTGATTTAAATTGACCGGTTTGATTGTTTTGATTCAGAGAAACCCTAAGTCATGTTTATAAAGGGAGGAGCCACATTTTTGTTGGGTTTTTCGAGGAGAAAGTTGCAGAGGAGAAGAGAGTGGAGATTTTGGGCGAAATCTGAGTTCTAGTGGTCAAATCGAAGGTATGTTTGTTGCTGTTCATCGCCATCTCCCGTTGCTCCCTCTTTCAATCAGTTTTGAGGTGAGTGCGCGACCGTAGGCTTGTAATTGCCAGAGTTTTTTATTGTTGGTTGAGTTCATGTTGAGTTTAGGTTGATTAGTGGGTTTAATCGTGTTATTGGTGATGATTTGTGTTGATTTCGTGTTTTTCGTATTGTTTGGTTGTTCTGGGTTTTGATCTGAGAGTTGGTGTCGAGTGACACCATTTGGTGTCGGTCAACACCAAGGGTCGAGTGTCGACCAACACCTTGTCGCTCGACACCAGAACTGTTCTGCGGTTATCTGTTTTGTTTATTGTTATTGTTTATTGTCTTGTAATTGCGTAATTGGCATGTAGACGGGATGACCATCTCACTAAGTATCAATGAAATACTTACTCAGCTCTTTTTCCCATGTGATGCAGGTAAAAGAAATGTGTGATCGCGGAATAAGGACCGATGAAGAGAATGATAGGATTATATTTAAACTGTTTAAGTTGTTAGTCTAGTGGAACATGGTGTTTAGGTTGTTAGCATTTAGTTATTATGGATTAATTTGTTGGTTGAATTATTATTTAATTATTTATTGATTTATTATTGATCACTTCCACATCGCTGAGAGCTAGAATTATTATTTTTAAAAATAAAAAAGTTTGGTTGTTTCATTTTGGTATCAGAGCACTTACGGTTTTAGGACTGTTAGTAATTGGTTGAACTAAGACTATGCGTTTAATTGATTATGTGTGTTTAGTCAGTTTATAGTCTTAGAATCATTCTCTTCGGCCTTCAGAGATTCCGCGGTGAGTTGTTTGTTTTTGTTTGTGTTCTAGTATGGTCATCTACTGTTCTTTGGAAGTGCAATGAGAAGAATCCAAGTGCTAGAGGGCGTGGTGCTAGAGGCCGTGGTAGAGCCGGTGCCCGTGGGGGGCAGAGCAGTTGCCCATGGTGGCAGAGCTGGAGGCCGTGCAGGCCGGGGTCGTGGTCATGGACTACCGGCTGAGTCCGGGGAGAGTGCAGCATCGAGTGTGGTGACTGCGTCAGTGTCTCAGACGGTTTCAGTGGACATGGCGAGTGAGGCCAGTTTTTGTACCGGTGGTGGTGCGGGGTTTGGGGCGGCCTCAGGTGTGGATCTTACTCCAGCTCAGGGTCGTGATGATCTTGTTGTGGGGTTACTAACGCAGTTGCTGGCACGTTTCCCGCCAGCAGTTCCACAGCAGGCTCCGGGTGTGCCTCTGATATCACCATATTTTACATGATTTTACTATATAATTACCTATGTTTTCAAACGGTTTTTGCAAGATTCTTTGCCTTTAGAGGTAGTTTTCTTGTATTTGTGGGATTTGAAGTCTTTGTAGGTGAAATAATCAAAAAGGATGCAAAAAGGAGTAAAAGAGCCCTAAATCAAGATCCATGCAAGTTTCCAAGTCAAGAAGATCATTTTATCTCCAAGTGTTAGTCAAGAACGAAGCTTCGGAAGTTTGGCCGCGCGCGGAGGAGTTCCCGACGTCCAAAAGTTACGATCTTGATATGGAAAGATAGATACTTGAGTCATGCATCACGTCGAAGTGGAATGAAGCCATTTGGATCAACTATGAGGCCTAGACTTATTTTCTACCGAGACATGTCCGGTAAGCGAGTAAACGAAGCCCATGGAGGATTTGGAGTGTCTAATGGCCCGAGCAGCAGCGCCAAAGGCCTTGATCGAATAGAGAAGAGGCCTGGCTAATGTTTGGAGCTTTCCTTGGTACAATGTCGGCCCATACACGACGTGGAGAAGAAGGCTTTGCTCACGGGAAACTTTCCTTTTCCGGCATGAAGAAAACCCTACGCGACTTCGCCCATATATACATGTTTTTAGCCGCTGAGAGAGATCAGAGAGTCAGTCCGAAAATTACCAAAGAGTTCACGTGTGAGAAGAGAGAGAAGAGAAGAGAAGCCCTAGGAGATCGTCCAAGAAGAAGGAGGCGCCGCTCAACTCTTGTTCTTTCTTTTTCATTGTTTCCATTTCTATAAACTTGATCTTAAGAGTTTTCAAGGGAGAATCCGACTTTGTTCATCAATAGAGAAGCTTTCTTCATCCCTTTATCTCTTTTAATACTTGCATAATGTTTACAATCATGCTTTGCTTGCTTGTTTGCATCATGGCCGAGTAGATCTCTTAGTTAGGCCGAGGAGATCTATGGTGGCCGTGATGATTTGATTGTGTTGCAACTTATTGGGATTTATCTTATGGATCTTCACCTTTACTTGAGCTTAATGCATGATTACTCTACCGTACATCTAGTAATCTGATCTTAGAGAAATAGAACCACGACAGTGCTGAATCTAGATCTCAAAACTAGTATTTGGTGAGCAATAGATCATAGCCAACGAAAGCTGAGTTATGGTTTATTGTGAACAATTGAATCTTGAACCTTGTAATGCATGTTTGCAATTCTAATAGCCAACGAAAGCTGAGTATATTAGGTTGTTTTAAACATAGTGGTTGGAGCCACGACAGTGGAAAGACCATACACTAGTGATTCATGTTCAAGACGGCTCTACACACATCCCATGCAACTATCTTTTCATCATTGCTCCATATGATTGTCCTTTGCCTAACTCTTGTTTTAAATTGTTTACAACTCACTCACATTTCTTTTGTTTGTTTTCTCATTCTAGGTCCAAAACCACCTCATATTGCGAGCTAGCTACAAACCAATCTCACAAGGTGTTAAGTGAGAACACTTCCTCCTCGTGTTCGACCCCGACTACAACACGGCTGTGCACTTGCAGCTCATTAGTTGGGTTTATAAATTGTGAAAATTTGAGGCAATCTAAACCCGCCATCAGCCTCAGGTGGCCGGGTGCAGCAAGGAGCTGCGGTAGTCATGCAGTTGTTGGTCTTCCGCCTTAACTTGATATGGTGGGGCAGATGCAGAGGATCGCTACACCTTTCTTTGAGGATGGAGTTGGGCCTGAGGAGTGATGGCAGGATTTGTGTGTGGGTGTGAAAGATATGAAATGAGATGTGGTGGAATGCAACAGTGGTATATGATGAGGTGGTAAGATGCAAACACAAACACAGTCAACAATTCCCTTTAACCATCATAGTCATTTATAGCATAAAGGGTATCAATCCAAAATGGGAAACTTGTCACTCTATGAGAATATGAAAACAAGGAAGTCAAGCAAGCAGTAATGATATGGGGTAACACTAACAACCTAAATGAAAAGAAATGAATGCAGTAAAAGTAAATAAAGCAGTAAGCAACAGCTCGACCAAGGACTCGAGTCGAGTGGAACAGAGTACCGAGCTCGATCGAGTTTAGGGTCGAGTTGAAGTAAAAAGCATAAAGGCAGCGACTTTAACAAGCTAATGCGAGAATTAGGGTTCAAGACAGGGTTTTGCAATCAGGAAGCTACACTTAATCAATCTGCTCTTAAAACTCCTTGTATCAAGGCTTCTCTTGATATTGGGCTTCTCAATGCCTAGCCAACCCTTTCCCAAGGTGAGGCTATCAACCAAGGAATGATCTCAGAAACAGGGGGTTAGCCAGTGAGAATCAAACCTTGGAGGCCATAGGATCATTGCCCAAACTAATCCATCCAACCCCTAGACCTCATTTCTAGAGCAAGAGTATTGGAGCTCTTAGTGGATCTTTTCCAGCGATTTCCATCACTTCCATGTGGAGAATCGCCTAAGGACATACAAGCCAGGGGTAGTGGTCATGTAGCCTTAAGATTATCCAAAAGAGAGAGAATCTAGATTAAGACCATAAGCAAGAAGGATTAAGCATATGAAACCTCTAATCTATCCCATCTCAAACCCTAATGGGTAACTACTCACTACACATGAATGTAAACACAAGCAAATGCAATAAAAGAGACATCATAAGAAAGAGGAGATGAAATAAACAACTTTTATTGAAATAAGCAAGTGCAAATACAAAGAGATTATCCAGGATCTAGGATTCAAGAAGCAAGAGCTTCAAGAACACAAAGATGGGATTAGAGCTCTAAAAAGTAAAAGACAATAAATTAAAAGAAACTAAAACAAAAGTAATCTAAAGCTTGGTGGTTTTTTCGTGGCTTAGCCTTTAAATACAAGAGGATTAGGTTTAGGGTCAAAGGAAAGTCAAGGGGGAAGCAACATTTTTCGGGTTTGACTTTGACTTCTCAGCTCGATCGAGTTGAAGCTTGGCCGGTCGAGTTGAGGAACTCGACCGGTTGGTCGAGTAGATGGTCGAGCTGGTCTTCAAGATGGCTTCTCCTTCTTCCTTTGCGTATCCAGTTGAGCTGCGTCCATGCCAAGTCCCTCCATGCTCCTCACGTCCCATATGCTCCAGAATGCTCCAAAAGACCTATTTCAAAGGACCAAACATGCATATGTATGCAAATGCAACCTAAAACTACATGAATGCATAAGAAGAGAAAAGGAACAAGATATGATGCTAATGGATGCTAAAACTATGCAAAAGATGCATAAAAGATGTACTAAAACTATGTAAAATGCAAGTACATCAACACCCCCAAACTTGAACTTTGCTTGCCCTCAAGCAAACAAATAGAACAAGAAAGAGATGAGGTTTGAAAACAAGCTGATTCAACACTTAAAAACATGTCCTCAAAAGCGATTTGCTAAATGTCCAACTTAGAGATTCTAGAATGCAACAAGGTGAGAGATATTCATTAAGATTTAACCATGCTTATCAACATCAATCCCACTTCACAGTCACTCAAACAATGCATTCAAATCAGCAAATCCCTTTAACATTCATTAAGCAAAAACAGTGAACCAAAAACATGCAAGATCAATCAACTCATTTGGTTTCAAGGGTTTATGGGTTAAGAGACAAAGAGGGTCTCTTTTGTATGGTGGTTTAGTAACAGGGATCTCTCAAGAAAGTGGCTTTGCTTTGGCAGAAGGCTAAGTGTTAGAACCAAAGATGATGCAAGAACAGCAGCTCGAGCCGCCTAATCCTAACTCGATCGAGTTCAACACTTAGAGCTTTTTAGAACAAAATCCTAACTACCCTTTTTGGCATTTCGCCTTTGAAACTGAGGAGCTTTGCTCACTTTTCTTTTAAGAACTTCCTAGGGAGAGGCTTCTTGAGGTAACATCTAGCGGTTTGGGATTTTCTAAACACTTAGGGAACTTTTCTTTCTTTTTGACACTTGAGGCTTTGCCTTCTTTTCATTCTACTTAGAACCCTTTTTACTTTCCTTTTTTAACTTCCCAAACCTTTACTAGACCCTTTTTAACACTGCCAACTCCCTGGACTTAACTAAACTCTTTTTCCTTTGGATTTTTCCCAACTTTTACCACTTTTCTGGTTTTTACACCCAACTCGATCGAGCTCGAGTTGGCACCCCCAAACTTAGCCTGAAAACAATCCCAAGAGAACTAGACAACTAGAACTACTGCCCCTGCCGGTTTAAACACAACACCTTATGCTAAGCAAAGCCAAGAAAGGTTCTCACATTCGCACAAGAGATAATATGGGGTTTGAAATGAAAAGGCTTAGGTTTAAGGTGTGGTAACTGTCTCAAAGATAGAGATCAGCTATCTGGACAAGCAAAAGGGATATGAAAATAGGTAAAGAATGTCCAGATATGTATGTGGTAGCCATGAGTTGAAATCAAATGCAAGCATTGGTAATTAAAGATCAAGTTATGGTTCAAATAGATAGGGAAATGCATCAAATCACAGCCTTGGAGGGCTGAAGTCAATGTTGTACCTCCTAGAACCGTGGTGAGCTCAGGGTTGGGCAGAAGAAGCTTGGAAGGGCCAGCCAATGGATGAGTGAACTTGAATTGGAACCTCCCATCCAACTCCTTGTGTTCAATGAGGAGGTTGGTCTTGCAAAACTTAATGTCCATCCATCCTGCTGGAGTAGACCTTCTCTTGTCCAAATGGACTCCAGCTGCACAGAGGATTGGCGTGATGACTCCTCCAACACTAAGCTTCCTTCCCGTTTGAAACCGAGTGCTATAGGCGGTTGTCTTGTAGGAGAGTAGCTGGTCAATGAGAGGCATGAGATTCCCTGCATGGATTCTATCTCCTCTGATTTTCTTCCCATCCTTGGTGCGTGAGATGATGGGCTTGATTCCCATGTCAAGGAGCTTCACCTCTCCTTCATTTATTGTCCCAGTGGCTTTCCTTGCAAAGAAGGTGTTGGCGAGAGCCTTGTGGACATATCTCAGCATTTGGGCAGCTTTTGACCTTGAAGAAGAGTATCCTCTCAGCGATTGTAGCCCATACTCTTTGTAGCTCATCCTCCTTGATATCCCAATGGGTTCCCTCCCCATAAGTGAAACCGAATAGGATCTCCAACTGCCTGAAGGTAATCACCTTCCTTTTCCCCTTGCCAAGAACGTGATCCATCCCCAACCTTGATCCAACTCAGCTCGATCGAGCTGCTTGTACTTGTGGAACCTCATTGACGCCAAAAACTCACAAGTGAGCTCCTTGTATGACTCCAAGCGGTAAGAGAAGAACTTGGCCAAGCGCATGTTCTTGAGGACTAGCTCCACATCCTCAAAGATCCCAAGAGCCCTCATTGTGTCATCATGTGGGTACTTGGTCTCCACAAAGTCCATGGAGAAGTGCTCTTGGTACATGGGGAGCTCATCCTCTTCTTCCTCTGACTCCTCCTCTTCCATGGGCACATTCTCATTGCTCTCATGCTCACTCTCCTCAACTTCTTGATTGACTTCTTCTCCTTCCTCTTGTGAAGAGTCATCACTCTCTCCCCTTCCAATGTTCAACCAATCTCGAATTCTCCCAATTCACTCTCACTGCTGATTGGGTCATTCCTCCTCTTGGTCCTTCTCTCTTCCCTCAACCTCTCAATCTCTTCCTCATCTTCCTTGGTTAGTGTCTTAAGCATTCTCCTTGCTCCTCTCGTTATCTCCTCTTTGTGAACGCTGCCTTGCTTCCTTCACCTCTCAACATCTTAAACTGGTTGCTTCTTGAAGTTGGGTTCCTGAAATGCATCAAAAACTCAAGGAATTAGAGTTGTAATCGTTGGTTCGGCCAACTCGACACTCAGCTCGATCGAGTCAAAAAACTCGAAGTGACAAACTCGATGAGCTAAGCGAAAACAGAGTAGAACCGAACCTATATCAAACAATAAGAGCTGGAAAGGATGCTTAATAATCAAATCGAACCAAACAACAAGTAAATGGAACAATAAGCAATTCTAGTGAAAACCAAAGCATCTTAACCAATACCAAACTCAAATTCAATGGATCAAGACATGCAACAAGTTCTAATGGAAAAACAGAGGTGAGGTGAGGCAAATTCACAAAACTATAAACAGGAGAATGATATGAAAGCACTATGATGCTCTCTTCTCCATGGACTTTGTGGAGACCAAGTACCCACATGATGACACAATGAGGGCTCTTGGGATCTTTGATGATGTGGAAATGGTCCTCAAGAACATGCGCCTGGCCAAGTTCTTCTCTTACCGCTTGGAGTCATACAAGGAGCTCACTTGTGAGTTCTTGGCATCAATGAGGTTCCACAAGTACAGGCAGCTCGATCGAGCTGAGTTGGATCAAGGTTGGGGATGGATCACGTTCTTGGCAAGAGGAGAAAAGAAGGCAGTGACCTTCAGGCAGTTGGAGATCCTTTTTGGTTTCACTTATGGGGAGCTTTAGATTATCTTTGTTTTAGCTTTTCTTTAATTTTATTGTCTTTACTTTTTAGCAACCCTAATCCCATCTTTGTGTTCTTGAAGCTCTTGCTTCTTGAATCTTAGATCCTGGATTAATTTGCTTTGTATTTGCACTTGCTTATTTCAATAAAAGTTGTTTAATTTCATCTCCTCTTTCTTATGATGTCTCTTTCATTGCATTTGCTTGTGTTTACATTCATGTGTAGTGAGTAGTTACCCATTAGGGTTTGAGATGGGATAGATTAGAGGTTTCATATGCTTAATCCTTCTAGCTTATGGTCTTAATCTAGATTCTCTCTCTTTTGGATAGATCTTAAGGCTACATGACCACTACCCCTGGCTTGTAAGTCCTTAGGCGACTCCCCACACGAAAGTGATGGCATTCGCTGGAAAAGATCCACTAAGAGCTCCAATATCTCTTGCTCTAGACAATAGAGGTCTAAGGGGTTGGATGGATTAGTTTGGGCAATGATCCTATAGCCTCCAAGGTTTGATTCTCACTGGCTAACCCCCTGTTTCTGAGATCATTCCTTGGTTGATAGCCTCCACCTTGGGAAAGGGTTGGCTAGGCATTGAGAAGCCCAATATCAAGAGAAGCCTTGATACAAGGAGTTTTAAGAGCTAGATTGATTAAGTGTAGATTCCTTTGATTGCAAAACCCTGTCTTGAACCCTAATTCTCTCTTTATCTTGTTAAAGTCGTCACCTTTACTGTTTTTGCTAACTCGACCCTAAACTCGATCGAGCTGGTGCTCTGTCCCACTCGACTCGAGTCTTGGTCGAGCTACTTCACTGCTTTGTTTACTTTTATTGCACTGCTTTTCATTTTTAGGTTGTTAGTGTTACTTCAAATCTATAACTGCTTGCTTGACTTTCTGGTTGTTTCATATTCTCATAGAGTGACAAGTTTCCCATTTTGGATTGATAACCTCTTATACTTCAATGACTATGATGGTTAAGAGGAATTGTTGACTGTGTTTGTGTTTGCATCTTACCACCATCATATACCACTGATTGCATTCCACTCATCTCATTTCATATCTTTTCACATCCACACACAAACATCGACCATCAAAGGGGCACATGCAATCAAAATCAAAGAGAAAACAAGCAATAATGAGAAATCGAGATGAAGGAATCAAGGGTTTTAGGGTTCATACCTTGTTGAATGATGATTGAAGAACAGTAAGCTAGAACCTAAACAAGATGAAGAACAAGAAAATCGCAAAAACTTAAGAGAGAGAGAAATCGATTTCTTGTGGTGATGAGAGAGAGGATGATTTCAGAATTGAGTTATGGGGAAGAGGAGTGTTTGAGATGTGTGGTTGAGATTAAAAGGTGAAATAAAGAGGGGACAAAAGCTAGGGTTTTTCTGATCAATTTCAGGAAGTGGGGGACCAAAATTACTTGTGGGACCCACTCCCTTGACCAAGGAAAACGGTTAGAATTTGAAATTCAAAAACTTACCTTGGTCGAGTTGTGGAACTCGATCGAGTTGCCCTGGTTTCTAGCTCGATCGAGCTGTCGGTCGAGCTGGCTCTTTGTCACCTAAACTTAACTTATTGAAAGGTTAAAACACAAAATAGATAGAAATTGCATAAATAGAATATGTACAAGGATAAACATGGGACTTCCTCCCAAGTGAGCTTGTTTAAGGTCCCATAGCTTGACCTTTACCTTCTTAGGCATTGGTTGAGCTAGTCCCACCATCAAGGGTGATAGTGAGGACTTGAGACAGAAGCTCCTTTAGCTTGGTTGGGTCCCTGGACTGTTCTGAAGTCACCAAGGCCTTGGCTCTAGAGAATGGCCTTGATCTCCCCTTGTACCTTATCTTGTACTCAATCTTCCCATTTTCAAACTTGGTGGGGAACAAAGTCATTGTGAGCTGAGATGGCTTGACTGAAGGGGCCTGAGCTGGTGGATCCTTTCTTTTATCCCTGGTCTTGCCTTAGAGGCTACATCCTCCCCTTCTTTTAGAGCCCTTCCTAGTGGCTCATCAAACAAAGCTTGAAGGCTCTCTTCATCAAGCACACAAGGGGCTTGAACAAGTCTATCAGCTCTTGGCCTATCAGATCGTGGTTTCTCAACTCTAGCCCTCTCAAGACGTGGCTTCTCAATCCTTGGTCCTCTCTCAACCTTATCCTTCCCAACTCTTGGTTCTTTGTCAACCCTTTCCTTCACAACCTTTGTAGATGACTCTTAGAACTTGGTTGTCAATTGTGGCACAAAAGTCTGAACCTCTAGGCTGCAAGCGATATGACACCAAACTATTCACCTTGTGAAGGATCACTTCTTGCTTGTGAAAGTCTATTGAAGCGCCAACTGTACTAAGGAATGGGGTTCCCAATAACAGAGGTAGATCCTTCTCTTCTTCCATTCCATCACAGTGAGATCAGTTTGGATGATGCATTCTCCAATTTTCAAGTGATAGTTCTTGAACACTCCAAGAGGAGACTTAGAAGTTGCATCTCCAAACATGATTGAAGTAGTAGGGCGCTGCAAGGCTCCAGCAATGCCTAGCTTCTCTGCCATGGAGAGAGAGATCAGATTGATGCTTGCTCCAGAATCCACTAAGGCATTGTCAAGCTCAAGATGCCCAAGTGTGCAAGGGAGAGTGAATTTCCCTTGATCCTTGACCTTTGGTAGGAAGTGGGTGAAGTAAGCAGGTTGAACTGATGAGTAGACTCTTCAGGACCTCTGAAACTTTATCACTGTTGGCATAACATCCTTGACCATTTGCATTTGATCAAATGCCTCACTCATGCTATCCATAGGAGGCAACTCAATTCCAATCCCACTGAGATCTCTTCTGAACTTGTGAATCACTTCCTTGTGACCTTGACTAAGTAGGCGAGACGAGGAAGCGGCAACCGGTTGGTAAGGATCAAGCAAAATGGCTTTGGACAGAAGAGGTCGGACTCGATCGAGCTAGAGTCGACTCGATCGAGCTGCCGATCGAGCTTGTTGTGCGAGCTCAACTGGTGAAGTGTGAAGGCCACAGTAGGTGCCTGCACTTCTGGTTGATCAATCTGGACTCCAGGAGCCTCAGCAGCAACAATCTCTCATCATTCAGCAGTAAACAAAAATCTTCAATGACCCTTTCTTGATCCTCTTCTTCAACAAGTCCTTCTTGAGTGAAGATGACCTTGCACTGTTCCTTGGGGTTCTGAATAGCTTTACCAGGTACAGTAGAACCTCTATAAAATAATACTCGATAAAGTAATAATCACGATAAAGTAATAAATTTCTTCGGTCCCAACTCGGGCCAGTGTAAAAATAAGCAAAATGCGATAAGATAATAAGATAATAATATTTTTGAAACTCCTATGTAAAAATATGGTCCCAATAAAGAGTTAAAGTAATAATTATATTAAATGATACATATATGTCTAAGAAGGTTGACAAAAAAAAATATATGTCTAGGAAAATTTATGAAACTATAACTTAAAGTTAATCTTTAACTTTTTATTATATAAAAAACTCATAATGATTTTTTATATGCATCTGAAATTGTTAAATATGTTTAAAATCATTATTTTCAACTTCATTAATAGCTATATTTTTCTAATCTTTTATTTTAATTTTTATCGTCTATCAAATTTTATAGAATTTTTTAAATAAGCTAATAATATATATTTTATTACGATATCCAAAAGATTTGATCATAATATCAAGTTTATGTATGATATATTAACAAATAAGTTCTTCTAAATTCTTAATACATTATCGTATGGAGAATAATTTTCGACGATTATGAATTAAAAAAAATATTTTTATAAATGAATAAATACTTTATTTATTCATAAAGTAATATCTCTATAAGATAATAAAATTTCAAAGTCCCAACATTATTACTTTATAGAGGTTTTACTGTAGTTGTCCTTGCTTTGTAGCAGCAGCAACAGAAGAAGCATGATTCTCCAGAGAGTAAACCCTTGTGTTGAGGTTCTCGATCTTAGAGTTTATTTCAGCTAGCTTCTTGCTTGTGTCCACTACCCCATCAGCTTGCCCTTGAAGTAGTTGCTTTAGCATTGCCTTGAGCTCATTCTCTTGTGAAGGTGCAGGCTGGGGTGGTTGGTGGGGAAGCCTGGTGGGATATTCATTTGTTGTCCAGGGAAAGTGCCTTGTGGTCCTTGGTAATTGTTCTTTTGACCATACCCATGTTGTGGCTTGACTCGATCGAGCTGCTTGTTGTTGAGGATAGACTTGGTCCTGAGGGTTAGCAACATCAGTGTTGCGGTATGACATGGCAGGGTTGGACTTGTAATTATAGTATCCTTTGTTGTAACCTCCTTGCCCATTGCTCATGTAGCACACCTCAGCAAATTGTGTATCCTCCCCTTCTTGGACTGGTTCCATCTCCTCAGCAGACACAAAGTTGACTTTCTTCATTGTGGACTGAGCTAGGATCAGCTTATCCAACTTCTCATTCAATGCCTTAACATCTTTTCTCAACTTTTCGTCTGACTCGATCGAGTGGTGGGTCGAGCTCCGGTTGGTGCGATCATACTCTTCTCCATAGCTTCCATTTGAGTTAGCTATGTTCTCCACAAGTTGCCAGCCATCATCTACATCCTGGTTGAGGAAGTTCCCATTGCTAGCTGTGTCTAGCATCTCCCTATACCTAGGCAAGCATCCTCTATAAAGAGTGGAGAGTAGTGATTCATTGTTGAATCCATGGTGTGGGCACTGACTTGTGTAGCCTTTGAACCTCTCCCAAGCCTCTGCGAATGTCTCATTGTTTCGCTGGATGAAGCTGGATATCTCTCCTCTAAGCTTGGCTGTGCGACCGGTGGAGAAAAACTTAGCAAGAAAGGCCTTCTTGCATTCATCCCAAGTGGTGATTGTGCCATGGGGCAAGCTCTTCTCCCATTGGTGAGCTTTGTCAGCTAGAGACATAGGAAAGAGTCTCAGCTTGATGGCATCTTCAGAGACACCATTGATCTTTGTCAAATCACAAAGCCTATCAAACTCATCAAGGTGGTCAATGGGGTCTTCACTTGGCAATCCATGGAACATCTTGTTCTGACAAGGTTGATCATTCCCAGCTTGATCTCAAAGTTGTGGTTCTGCACTGGTGGTGGAACAATCCCTTGTCTCTGTTGGTGGCGGTTTGGAGCATCTCCTTGACCAATCGGTCGAGTTTGCCTAGCTCGACCGAGTCCATTGCCCAAAGGGTTTCCATTCCCCTCTGGTACATCCATTGTATCAGCAACAAGCACCTCAGGTTCCTCTTGTACCCTCTGTGACCTCTGAACCCTCTTTCTACCCGTTGTAAGTCTAGCTCGACCAAGTCTTCTGTAGACCGACTCGATCGAGTTCGCATACACCTGCAAAAAGAGACAAAAACCCAGCAGTACAATAGAACAGGGGTGGTATAGCTTGATCGTCCAAGTGTGTTTGAAACTCAAATGCAACAAAAATATTCCCAAATCGGCAACGGCGCCAAATTGATGATAGGATTTGTGTGTGGATGTGAAAGATATGAAATGAGATGTGGTGGAATGCAAACAGTGGTATATGATGAGGTGGTAAGATGCAAACACAAACACAGTCAACAATTCCCTTTAACCATCATAGTCAGTTATAGTATAAGGGTTATCAATCCAAAATGGGAAATTGTCACTCTATGAGAATATGAAACAACAGAAGTCAAGCAAGCAGTAATGATAGTAACACTAACAACCTAAATGAAAAGAAATGAAAAGCAGTAAGTAAATAAAGCAGTAGAAGCAACAGCTCGACCAAGGACTCGAGTCGAGTGGAACAGAGTACCAGCTCGATCGAGTTTAGGGTCGAGTTGAGAAAAAGCTAAAGGTGACGACTTTAACAAGATAAAGAGAGAATTAGGGTTCAAGACAGGGTTTTGCAATCAGGAATCTACACTTAATCAATCTAGCTCTTAAAACTCCTTGTATCAAGGCTTCTCTTGATATTGGGCTTCTCAATGCCTAGCCAACCCTTTCCCAAGGTGAAGGCTATCAACCAAGGAATGATCTCAGAAACAGGGGGTTAGCCAGTGAGAATCAAACCTTGGAGGCCATAGGATCATTGCCCAAACTAATCCATCCAACCCCTTAGACCTCTATTTCTAGAGCAAGAGATATTGGAGCTCTTAGTGGATCTTTTCCAGCGAATGCCATCACTTCCATGTGGAGAATCGCCTAAGGACTTACAAGCCAGGGGTAGTGGTCATGTAGCCTTAAGATCTATCCAAAAGAGAGAGAATCTAGATTAAGACCATAAGCTAGAAGGATTAAGCATATGAAACCTCTAATCTATCCCATCTCAAACCCTAATGGGTAACTACTCACTACACATGAATGTAAACACAAGCAAATGCAATAAAAGAGACATCATAAGAAAGAGGAGATGAAATAAACAACTTTTATTGAAATAAGCAAGTGCAAATACAAAGAGATTATCCAGGATCTAGGATTCAAGAAGCAAGAGCTTCAAGAACACAAAGATGGGATTAGAGCTCTAAAAAGTAAAAGACAATAAATTAAAAGAAACTAAAACAAAATAATCTAAAGCTTGGTGGTTTTTTCGTGGCTTAGAGCCTTTAAATACAAGAGGATTAGGTTTAGGGTCAAAGGAAAGTCAAGGGGGAAGCAACATTTTTCGGGTTTGACTTTGACTCCAGCTCGATCGAGTTGAAGCTTGGCCGGTCGAGTTGAGGAACTCGACCGGTTGGTCGAGTAGACGGTCGAGCTGGTCTTCAAGATGGCTTCTCCCTTCTTCCTTTGCGTATCCAGTTGAGCTGCGTCCATGCCAAGTCCCTCCATGCTCCTCATGTCCCATATGCTCCAGAATGCTCCAAAAGACCTATTTCAAAGGACCAAACATGCATATGTATGCAAATGCAACCTAAAACTAACATGAATGCATAAGAAGAGAAAAGGAACAAGATATGATGCAAATGGATGCTAAAACTATGCAAAAGATGCATAAAAGATGTACTAAAACTATGTAAAATGCAAGTACATCAAGGAGGCCGATGAGTGGCGTTTGAGACTGGAGGGTAACTTACTCTCTATCAGATGCCCGGTGGTATAATGCCCCGACCGTCCCTCCCGGTGAGTCACCCACGCCCTCTCTCTGGGCCCGCATGCCCATCTCGGCCCGTGGGCCTCACCCCTGTCCAACGGCCGGTCCGTTATTTTTGAGAGGCTCTAATGACTTGTTTACTATCCCTGCAATCAACACCCGACCTTTCCCCGTGTTTTGGCCTCACTCACACGGTTTCGGAAACCACTTCCCGGAAGGTCACCCATCCTTCAACTACTCCAGCCCAAGCACGCTTAACTCTGGAGTTACTTATAGACCTTTGACCGAAAAGGTAAGTGCACTTTGTTGACATAGGTAGCCAAATCAATTCTTTTAAGCCTCTCCTCATTTATCACAAACCGGGATGTTAAAGGTGGAGTACCAGGTGGAGTCAGCTGTCCATTATTTGAGTGGGGATACGCATTTGTGGTGACGACCCATTGAGGCTAGGAGACCATAGTGGACTTGGGGCAAATTCCTAGCGGAGTTCAATGCCAAGTACATTTGTAAGGAGGCTCGAGAGCGTTCAGTTTGTGAGTATGACACCTAGTTCAGCATGGTCATGATTCACACCGGCTGTGGATTGGAGGACGAACGGGCCCTTGTGAAGAGGTTATTGCAGGGACTTTGTTTGAGCATCAGAAGTGGAGTTGCCGTCATCGATTGAGGAGGATCAGCGTGAGCAGGTTGGCCCGGTAGCTGTGCCATCTGCAGTTGCTCCTGCTATTCAGCCGAGGAGTCAGCAGCAGCAACCGGAAAAGCGCAGAGGTCCTGGTTTCGGCAAAGGCGGTAAGCTTGCTCAGGGCCAGAAAAGGAGGTGGGATGAGGATTCTGGAGGCAGTCAGAGTGATCGGGGCGTTTATTTTGGTTGTGGGAGCAGGGATCATCGTGTAGCGAGCTGTCCTAAGAGGATATATCTCGGGAGGCTAAGGTGTGATTTTATTGCAGAGAGCCGGGACATATCATGCATGTGTCAGAAGTTGCAGAATATGTGGTAGAATCGATTCAGCCGATAGGGGCTACGCTGGTGGTTCAGATCACGGCGGTGCAGCCGTTGGGTCAGATCGGACCGGCACCGCGAGTGTACTCTTTGGTAGAGTTTGGCCAGTATAGTCAGTCTGGGCAGATCACAAGTAATTTTTGGACTCATGCTTCGTAAATTCTGTATTTTGAATTGTTGTTGCTGTTTGTTTCGTCCATTTTTACATGTGATGGAATTATCGGGTTTCTCAACGCATGTAATTGTGTAGGAACCTTGTTAGTGGGCGGTTTTGAGTCTTATGTGCAGGTGGCGTTCGGGTATGTGATATACCTTTATTTTACATGTTGGTTACATGGTTTTTACAAACTTACACATGGTTTTATAGTGGATTCTTGTCGTAAAAGGTAGTTTTGATGGAGTTATAGTGCTAATAGTCATTTAAGGTCAAAAAGTGTATTATGGAGCAAAACACATGAAAAGAAGTTCAATCCCGTTCCATACCGCAACATCAACTTTAGGAGAAGATTAAAAACATTATACTCAATGGATTTTAACGAGGCCACTTCTACGCGATGCCTTCATGAGTAAGCTTTCCAATGCAATTGGATTCGCACAATTTTTCTTTTTTCTTTCTTGTGAGGTTTCTTCTCTTTCGTTCTTATTTGATTTTCTTTTCTTTTTCAGTTTCATCTTCATTGTTTTTTATTCGGTTTTTCCGTCTTCATCTATGTTCTTCTTGGGGTTTCTTTTTTCTTCCTGCTTTAGTATTTCCATCTTCCATGTTTTTCGGTTTCATCCTCTTACGTACTTCTCCTAAAGGTGAAAATGATCATGATAGTTCTCGAATGAATCTATATGTTACTTGAAAAATGATCATGATAGTTCTCCGTAATGATCTTCAGAAAAAAAAATATTTTTCGGTTTCATTCTCTTAATATACTTCTCCAATATGTTCGTCTTTCTTCTTGTTCTTTCATTGTTTTCATCATTATTTTTTGCGGATTAAGTTGTGAGCTGTTTTAAACGTGTCAATTTTATTATAAGAAGAAAATATTTTCTTTAACTTTTTATATAGAAATATTTTAATTAAATATTAGCAAATATTTTCTTCAAATTTGTATAGAGAAATCTTTAAAATTAAATATCATGAAAGAGAATTTTTTGTATGAATGTTAAGATATCAGTAAATAGTTGTATTTAACATATTTATTATTTTAAATTATTAAAACGAACTTTTAAATGTATTAAAACTTCAAATGCTCTTTTGTTTATTTTTTCAATATTTTTAACTTAACACATGTTATTAGTGTATAAACTTTGATAAAATGTTACTCCCTCTGTTTCATAATAAGTATCGTTTTGACAAAATGAATCTGGACTATTTATTAATGTATCTGGATGTGTTTTGAATCTTAATACATCTATATACATCTAGATACATTGGGTAAGTCAAGAGTCAAAACGACATTTATTATGAAACGGAAGGAGTAATATATTTTCTTATAGCCTTGAGAAACCTTAATAATTTTTTATTTAATATTAATATTTTTTGTAAATGAATTTACTATGTTTTTTCTATGCGTTATTTTTCTCTTTTCATTACATGTTTCGTTTTCTTTTTGGTTGGTATTAAAAATATATATTTTAATTTATAAACTCTTTAATACAAAAGTCTATATTATTTTTGAATTCGGAAACTTTCTTGAAAAAGAAAAAAAGAAATTAACTTATTTTATATGGTGATGTGGAATTATACTATTAGTCGTTTAAAATTCGGAAACTTTCTTAATCTTTAGGATGCTTATGTGTATCAATGAGATTGCGTCTTTAAATTATATGTGGACACTCTCAGAGGCTTATAGCCTCAACTTTTATATAGTATAGATTGTATAAGTTGTTAGTCTAGTGGAACCTGATGTTTTGATTGCTAGCATTTATTTATTTTGGATTACTTTATTGATTGAATTATTTATTGATTTATTATTGACTTTCGCATTGCTGAGAACTAAAATTATCTATACTATTAAAGTGGAAGCAATCACGGGTACATGTTAGAGTTATTTCTCTGACCAAATAGGAAAATATCCGTTTTTTTTTAAATAACCCGGAAGAAAACCGGGTCGGATCCTGTAAAAAGACCTTTTACCCCAACGCATATCAAATAAAGCTTTTTTTAGAAAGGTCATTTTTGTCCTGGACATATTTCGGATTTTCGCTACTTGAAAACAGGTTTTCTGACTGTCCCGACCCAACAGAAGAAAAGAAACACGCGGATCTTTGCAAGAAACTTACATAAAACAAGATGAAAGATTTCGATTTTGAGACCAAACCGGACAAGAACATTTCCTTTAAAGAATTAAAGGTAATAACTCCAAAAAGGGGCTTCCTTGTCCCATTACACCTTTGCATTTGATCTTTGTCCCAATACACTTTTTTTGGTAATTTGTCCGTTTTTAACCTTGAAATTGAGTTGATAATGTTTTTTTTAAATTTAAACATTTTCGATCTAAAAAAATTAAAATTAAAATAAATAAAACAAAATCATAAATTAAAATTAAAATAAATAAAATTTCTAAAAGTCCTATAAATGATCTAAAGAATGTATAAAATATTTGAACATTTTTAAAATTGTTTTGGACGGTTAGAAAATTCTATGAAGTTTTGTTCTACAATTCTAAAATATCAAAGCAGAAGCTACATAGATTTAAACCTTATTTATTTTAAAATAAATTAAAACATTTTTCATGAACCACAAGCTACATAGATTTGAACCATATTAGTTAAGAAATGATAGAGAAATAGAGGACTACAGAGGAGGAAGGGGATGAAGAAGACGAGGAAGAACATGGAGGATTAGTCGTGGTATATTTTCGGATGGTTGGAGGAAAATAAGGAAACAAAGATTTGAAAAATATTTGGTTGCAATATTCTCTCGGTTTTGGCAGAAGTTGAACTCTACCAAATGTAGAACTCACATATTTAGTAGAACATCCACTGGAAACACGATTACTCCGGATTGTAGAAGTCTTCTTTTTAGTAGATCACTGGTTCTACGCCATGTAGAAAAATATGAAATGTGTAGTACACGAAAACTAGGACCGGTAGATAGCAATTTTACCATAGAATTTGAAATCTACGATTAGTAGCGGATGGTGTATTCTGTAGAATATATTTGGAGCGAATTCTACAAAATGGTAGAGTGTATTGTATATGGTAGATATCGAAGTCTAATCCGGAAGATGAATGAAGAAGTTGTAGATATCATATTCTACGGCGGTTAGACGTGCGAATATCTTATAGAAAACGTATTCTGCTTTGATAATTTACTTTGTAGAACAAAAACTTCAAAAAAATTTCTAACCATCCAAAACATTTTAAAAAATGTTCAACTATTTTACACATTCTTGACATCATTTTTAGGAATTTTAGAAATTTTGTTCATTTAAAAAAATATTCATTATGAGGTTTTAACAATATTGAAGGGCAATTAAGGCAAAAAATGGTCAAGAGGCTCTCTTTTCACAAGAGGCTAAATCGAAATACAGGGCGGCTCTCTTTCACAAGAGGCTAAAAATATATATATAGTGCTAGGTCTTTTGAGGCGGCTTAGGGTTAAGCCGGGCTTGAAAATATGAAAGTTTGGGCTTCAAAAGGGCTTCGGGTCGACCGCGGCGTTGGGACGGTCGGTCGGGACGATCGGCCGGACAGTCGGGTCGTGGCCGAGTCGGAACGGTCGTGGCCGGACGGATTCACGGTCGGCCGGCGTGGTCGGCGGATGAGATTTGGCCGATGGTTTCTCGGCCGGACGCGGGACGTTCTTTCCCGGCTCGGACGGATGCATCGGCCGTGGTACGCGAAGGTTGCGCGGCCGCGAGGCTTGTTTCCCGGCTCGCGCGGCTGGTCGTGCGCGGCGTGGCGTGCGTTGGCTTGGCCGACCGCGGGACAATGTTTCCCGGGTCGTGATTGCGTGATCGGCCGGTCGGTTTGGACTTTGGCCGAGACTTCAGACGGACGGATATGATTTGGCCGAGCGCGGAACATTCGTTCCTCGGCCAGCCGGACTGCGCGGTTGGGCGCTGATTCTCGATAGAGCCGTCTGGACAGTCTTCACTCTTTTGGTATAACTCCTTTTCTACTCATCCAAATAGGCCATTCCAGTTGCGTTGGAAAGTTAACTCAATCAGAGCACGCAGGGAACTGGTCTTGATGAAATCCATTGAGTAGATCTTTTTCTGGGCCCTCTTAAAGTTGGTGCTTGTGCATGGAGCGGCTTGAAGTGCAAATCCTATGGTTTTGCTCCAAAATGCATCATTTCACCTGTTTAGACTCTAGACACTATAAACACAGTAAAACTACCTTTTTAGATAGAAAACCTGCCAAAAACCATTAGAAAACAATGCTAAAACAGTATAAAAAGTGGTAAATAGAGGTATATCAACTCCCCCAGACTTAGATCTTTGCTTGTCCCCAAGCAAAAAGAATCTAAATCCGTGAAAGAGGTTTGAAAACGTGGAACTCCCTTGCTCTTTTGAATATCCTGTGAAAGGTTCCTTTCCTGTATTCCACTATGAACATAGACAACATAAGGTTAGCTTCACATACACCCTGCAAGTTTAGCGAACAATACCAACCCAACTAGTCTCATCCAGCAATCCAAACTCTCTATTGCTAACCTCTTGCATAAATTTAAAGCGTGAATTCTTTATCAAGGGGACATCGATCAATTGAACTTGTTCTTACCCACTTGATCTTCTCCAAGATTGTCTTTTAAGTGCAATGAGTTCTTTTCCTCTCTCTTTCTCACATCAGAACTTTGAAAGGTCAATTTCTCCCTACTTTTCTAGGGTATCATTTTATTTTTTCTATTGACCCTTCTTTCAACCACAGGATAAGTCTTTAGCTTGTTCCTTGTTTGACTAAGGTATTCCATAAGACATGAAGGTACAGACATATGCATTCCTCATGCTTACTTGTTTTCCTTGTGCTCTTTGAGCTTTTTCTCATAAACATTACTTACCATTTGGGATGGGAGAGAGAGGAGAACTCTTTAAAGATTAGACAAATCTTATTGAAAATCAAGCAAGGAACTGTCGACATGTATGCCAACCCCCTTGACAAGAGTATTAAGATTGATTAAGGGTGAGGTTAACTCTAGATTGCTTGGTTACCTTAGAAATTTTGCTGAGCTAGCATGTCGATCCACTGTAAGAGCTTCTGTTAGGCTTGTGCCTTTAGCTGGTTTCTGCTCTAGGGTCATGGATTGTTAGCATAACACTCTCAATTCTCAAAGCAAGTTCATAACTTCCGGACTGGTTTTTGACTCAATAAAACTTTTTGAAAAACATGAAACAAAGTGAATAAAACATAAGAAAAGAAAGAAAAATGCATTAGTAACACAATAAAACTCCCCCCAGACTTAACTTGCACCGTCCCGGTGAAAGCAAATCACATTAAGGTGAGAGGTAATATTCAAAGTAAAAGAAAAATAAAGAAAAATTCATTAAAATGAGATAGGGATAGAAAATGGAGATTTGTAAGTGTCCATTGCACTAAGTACCACTTGAGATGACTATGTGTGGCAGTGAGAAGAACTCTCTTCCTCATCTATGGGGTCATCGCCTTCTGAACCAAGCTCTGAGTCTAGTGAGAACTCACCAAGGTCAGGCTCATATGGCTCTCTAGCGGTGGAAGAAGGGCGAAAGAGTCTCTCCGGTGCAATGTGGCGAACTACGCGACTAGGCGTGAGATGAAGCGAGATTGGCATTCCACTATCTTCTCCAGCTTGTTAACACGGTCTAGAGCTTGGTGCGCAGCCATGCCAGTAGTGAGAACATGGCGTTCTTGGAGGCGGCGTTGAGTCTTGACTGCATGCTGAAGTGTGCGATAGGTGAGCATGGGGAATGATGGTTTCTCACTTGATGGAACATAGAAGTCTTCCTCATTGGGCTGGAAAGTGACAACTCCTGAGCGTAGGCTTGGGATGTCTCATGTGGCAGCAAGACAAGGGAAGTGTTGGCTGGACCAATTGGAAACTCATAGCAAAACCGAGTTGGGTCTTTAGTCCAACGGTTTAGGAAGTGGATGTGCTGAAGAGCATGGAGATCCAAAGGGGTTGGCTTGGGTAGTGGCTCATAGTTGGGAATGTCAATCCCCACATGCAGTACTATGGCCGTGATAAGCCTCCCAAAACGAACACAAAGCTTCTTGTTGCCTTCCAAGTCTTTGAGCTAGCTTCCTCACATTGATGAATGTCTTGGCAAGTAAAAGTCCAAGGTTGGCCTTGTACTCATGCTTGATGAATGGTGTGGTGAGGATGTAGAACTCATCAGTTGTGACCTTGTTGGCTTCTTGTTTGCATTGGAAAGTGGTGGAGATGAGGCGGTGCACATAGCGAATGGCTGGATGAGTGATTCTAGACACCTTTGACCTTGAAGGCAAGAATGGTTCATTGGCAAAGTGTGTCCAATCAGCAAAGGCAGCTTGTTTCCTCTTTGAGTTCTCCTTGAAGTCATGTGCTGTCTCATTGGGAAGTCCAAAGAGTTGGCATAGAGCTGAGATGGAGATGCGCCCATTGGCATCGCCTATCTTGAAGAGTAGGAGTCCATCACCAGCTGGTTGGTCTCCATTGTGGTTGGGAAAGGCAAGAGCTACTGTGGAGAGGAACTCCTTGGTGAGTTGTGAGTACTCACTACACTCTAGCTTGAAGAGCTTGCTCAAGCCTAGCTTCCTTATGTACCATGTGACATCATCTCTTATCTTGAGAAGATCAAGGGTTTGGGTGTCCATCTTCACACATGGCTCGATGTTCACCTTCTCCATTGCCTTCTTACACTTTCTTGGGTCTTGATTTTGTTCTCCAACAAAGGTTACAAGTGCCCAATCATCTTCTCCTCTTCTTGGACTTGCATCAATGGTGTGTTGGTATTTGCTGCTCTTGCATTGGAGCTACTACTCCCTAGCTTGATTTGCTTCTTTGGTGGTTCCATGAATGGGTTCTTCTTCTTCTTCATACTCTCATTTCCTTTTGTCTTTGCCATTGGTGTACCTACAAGAGCAAATTCTTGGGAAGAAATATGAGTTTGTGATTAATGCAAAAGAAGAATAAGCTAATTGAGTTGTAATAATGATATGGAATAAGGAACAACTCAAGGCTTAATCATGAATCAAAGAGACAAAATAGAAATTTCACTTTTTCAAAAGTTAATTTTCGGATTTTACTGTTCATCCCAAGATTATGGTGCTTAAAATCAAAATTTTCAGCAAATCAAGAGAAATTGAGTTTCTAATCCAAGTAATCACTAGATAAACTAATGAATTGAAGTATGCCTAAGCAATTTCACCTTTGAATAAGGGGTTTGGAATGCCCAATAAGTTTTGTGAAAAACTATTCAATTGTGAAATTAAACTTCAAATTAACTCTAAACCACCTAGGTTCCACCTAGCAAAGTTCATTACAAGACTATAAGGATGCTAATTTCAAGTCTAGACAAGAGTTTAGACCAAACATGAAACTTATTGAGATTTTCGATCTTGCATAAACATAGGATTAGAGTTAGAAGACATACCTTGTGTGTTGAAAAGTGAATAAGGTTGCAAGAGCAAGTAAATTCCAATTTAGAGTTATGAACAGTAAAAGTTTTGAAATCAAAACTCTTAGAGTTCCTCTAATGGAGTTTAGGGTTTTGGAGAAGAAAGAGAGGTTCTTGTGTTTTCAAGGGAAAGGTGAAGTAAATAAGATCTAAATCCTATCAATTTTCCTTTTCAAATTCGAATTTTGATTGAAAACCGGTTTAAGTTGGTTTAGATTGGTTAAAACCGGTTTGAATTAATGAAAAGGGGACTTACCTTGGCCGAAAAGTTTGGGCCGATGGCCGATGGATTTGTCGCGGTCGAGCGATTTGGTCGGCCAAATTCGTTTGGTCGAGAGATTCGGCCGAGGCCGAGCGTTTGTTTCCCGGATCGACCGGCACGGTCGGTCCGTTCCGATACAAAATTTCGGCCGATCGCGGCCTTCTTTCCCGGTTCGTGCGTGCGCGCGAACGGTTTCTGTCGCGCAATAGAGTGAATCCGGCCGAGCAGCTATTCCTTCCCGGCTCGACCGTAACGGTCGGCCGAATGGAATTGCTCGGCCAAAATCTTTTGCGCGTCCGCGGCCAATGTTTTGGCGCGGATTGTGTTTTCACACCTTTTTCTCCTTCTATCCTATCTTAAAACAAAGAAAACACAAAAGCAAAACAAAAACTAAGAAATTAAAGAAAGAAAAGTAAAAGTACCTCATGGGTTGCCTCCCATGCAGCGCTTGTTTTAAGTCTTTAGCTTGACTGTAAGGCTTGGCGCTCAGGAGAAGATGGAGACAAGAGGCATCCTTGATCCTCCAAGTCTTTTCTCCTTGCAATGAGTATCTGGTGGGTGATTCACAGCTGGATAGACAATCTCTCCATGAATGTCCCTTGGCACTACTGCCTTAGGAAAAAGCTTTAGAGTTCTTGTCACTTTCTCCTTGAATCCTTCTAGATTCTCATCAATAAGCTCCTTTGGGAATAGAAGCTTCATGTTGCGGCCAGACCTAGGTTTTCTAACCTTCCTTCTTGGCTTGGCCTCATCTTCAATCTTGGTTGATCCCTTGGGCGGTTTTGGTGTAGGGGCCTTAGTCTTACTCCTTGCTTGTTTGGCAAGCTGCTTGGGCTTAGGAATGGGATCTTCCTTGATTGTTTCTTCAGTTTCTCCTTCTTGGGGTGGCTTCAAAGTAGCTTTCTCCTCTTGGACCATGTCAACAAAAGAGTTCTTTGTTGAACACATAGGGAAGAACATACCCTTGTTCACCTTGTTGAAAGAGATTCTTTGATTGGGGAAATCAAATATGGCACCCACAGTAGACAGGAAAGGGGTTCCAAATATGAGAGGTCTATGGCTACTCTCTCTCATTTCCACAATCTGGAAATCAGTAGGGATAGAGCAATTTCCAATCTGCACCATCACATTAGGCACAAAGCCATAGGGGTTTGTGAGAATGAATCAGCATAGTTGATGGAGATGGATGATGGCTCTATCTTGGTGAGGCCTATCTTGTCAGCTATCCTCTTAGACATGATGTTCACATTGGCTCCTGTGTCACACAAAGATTGCTCAAGAATGTTACCTTTGATGATACAAGGCACACAAACTTTCCTGAGTTATCTGTCTTGGGGATAATCTTTGGGAAGAGTCTTCTCTTTCTAGCTCGATTGGACTCTCTCTCTGGGTAATTCTCTTCAGGCCAAATCATGCAATCAACAGTAGGTTTTGAAAGCATCCATTCTGGAACTTGGTCTTCAAATCTTTCTTCTATGGCGGCTGAGTTGCAAAAGGACTTCTTGGATTCAGCTTCCTGTCTCTTAACAGCTTCCATAGTTTGAGTGACTTGAGTCTCTAGTTTCTTCACATGAGTGGCAACAGCATCATACTTGGTGTTGAGATTGCTGAACAAAGTGTCCATCTTCTCATACATCTCTTTAGTGTTTCTCTTCTGGCCATCCATGATCTGTTGGAGGATTCCTTCAAATCTCCCACCTTGTTGGTTTGGAGGAGCTTGATTTGGTGAAGAAGCATATGGCTCCTTGGGCGGATATGATGATCTCTGCTCATATCCTTGCCTTGGCTGAAATTGACTTCCTTGAGATTGGTAAGGAGGTCTTTGTTGTTGTGGATACCTTGGAGGATACACTTGGTCTTGAGGATTCTCCACATTGGGGTTTCTATAAGACATGTTGGGGTTTGGGCGATAGCTTGGATTGTATCCCTTGTTCCCATAGTTTCCAATGTAGTTCACATCTTCTTCATTGGCTTCATTAGAGAAATCTCCCATGCATTCTCTTGATGGGTCTTCATTAGCATCACTCATCCCTTCTATTGCATTGATATGCTTGAGCTGTCCCTTAAGAACTTGAGCCATCATGTTCTTGAGTTCAGTCATTTGAAAAGAATCAGGGGAGCTAGTAGTGGTGCGGCTTGAGCGGTCATAATCAGGACAGTTGTTACAATCACTAGCTGCAAGATTCTCAATAAGAACCTTAGCTTCATCAACAGTCTTGGTCATGAAGTTTCCATTGCTTGCAGTATCCAATGAAAGCTTGTACTTGTGGTCTATGCCACGATAGAAGATGTTCCATAGGTTTCCCTCATTGAAACCATGATTAGGGCAGTCCCTAATGTACTCCTTGAATCGTCTAGCGCCTCATAGAAAGATTCATTGTTGGCTTGGCGAAAGTTGGAGATCTTGTTCCTACAGAAATTGATCTTTGTTTGGTGTAGAAGTGGTTGATGAAATGCAGCCTTGTACTCATCCCAAGTGGTAATGGAGTGAGCTGGCAGAGACTTCAACCATCTTGAAGCTTTGTCGCCAAGAGAGAATGAAAAGAGCTTGCACTTAAGTAGTCAGCAGAGACTCCATTGGATCTTGTAGTGCTGCAAATTTCTTCAAAGTTTTCTATGTGATCAAGAGGATGCTCAGCTGGAAGGCCATTGAATTGGTTCTGTCTAACCAATGCTATGATCTGAGGCTTGATCTCATAGTCATTCCTTGCAGGAAGTGGTGGATGGATAGGGTTTCTATCCATGAAGAAAGCATCGGCAGAGTCATAGTCTCCGATTGTAGGTGCTCCAGCTTGAGGTTGTGCATTCACATCTCCAGCAGGGTCTTGTGGATTAGGAGGAGGAGGAGGTGGATCTCTTCCTTCTTCTTGAGCGCGCGCCACTTCAGCGGCGTGAGCGCGAGCTGCTTCGTCGGCCATCTCTTGGGCTTTTGCTTCCTAAGTTGCTTCTCAAGCTTGTCTATCTCTGGATGTTCAACTAGGTTGTCCTTGTTGGACCTCCTAGTCATGCACCTGAAAAGAGTCTTGGAAACAAGTTAAATCAAAAGGGAAAAACAAAAACAAAAGCAAAAATCAAAGAAAAGAAATCAAAAACTGAAAATTCAAAAGCAAAAGAAAAGCAAAACAGGAAAAGGTTCTAGACTAGATCCTAGTCGAGTTCCAAAGGTACTGCTGCAGTCCCCGGCAACGGCGCCAAAAACTTGATGCGGAGTCAGGTTTTACCAAACTCCTAGACCTCTGCAAGTGCACAGATCGCGGAAGTATGGGTATCGAACACAAGGACTGGCTATTGAGTACACTTTGAAACTATGGATTTTGGATCAAGCTAAAACAAAAGTATGATTGAGGTTGTAATGGTGAACCGAACTAGCAAGTATAACGAGGTTGTAAATCAATAAAGGAAAAGCGCTAGGTCATAGGGGCTATCGCAGAGAAGCAAGCAATGATCAATGAAACAATGATAGATTAATTGATTAGGGATATTGGGATATTAAGAACCATCTAGAACACAGATCACGAATATAAAACCATTCCACTTTCGAGGCTCCGGCTCCTTTGTTAATCTACCTAGTCGCTAAACTTTTGGTATGTCCCTAGGTGATTAAATCAAGCATTAGAATGAATAGGTTCTGATACAGTTCACTAGATATAGATAGATCAACTTTCGCAGTCTAAGAAACCTAGCTTGTCAAAGAATATGTCCGGCGAATGATACAGCACTGTCGAGGCTCAAATCAACCTAAGATCGGATTACTAGATGCGCGGTAAAGCAATCAGCATTAGTTAAGTGCACAAGACGAGACAAAGACTCTAATATAATCCCTAGCTAATCATTGAAATCAAAGATCATGCAAGCAACTCATTGAATAGTAACCCTAGCAACCTAACTAGTGGATTACTCAGACATGATCAAAGCAAACACACATAGAGATGAAGAAAACATGATTGCAATAAAACTTAGAGTAGGAAATCGAAATACAAGGCGGCTCTCTTTCACAAGAGGCTAAAAAGCTATATATATAGTGCTAGGTCTT